AAGCTCGGCCTGTATAACACCCAACTATTGGGCTATAATAATTAAAGCCCTCTTGGCCGGGCTCAACTCCTTACAGTTCTCCTGTATAGAGTAGACATTTAGCGATAGAATTGTACCGAATTCGCGTATTTTGGCTAGGAATTGACTGAGCTGTTGTTGTTGTAAGTGGTAGGTTGTATGGCGACACGGTGGGCGCGAGGGACGCGATTTGGCTAAGTGGGGTGAACCCACAAATACTTTCGCACCCTGATTTTTATCTTACGTACCAAGTGACTGGTGACTGGTTTCTTCACTGACCCCTAGCAAGCGGGAATGCGGAAATCCCGTCGACAGCCGCATTGACGAACTCATCGCTCTCGGACCGCTCCGGATTTACAGGGAGCGGCCTCACACAACCAATGCACATCGAATCAGCCGCTGATATCTTGTGATGCCGGCCCACAGTGCCTCGTCCCTCCAACGCCTACCAATCTGTCCCAGGGTTACACGCGGACTTCGTTTATAGGGGCAACAGGTAGGTCTGGAGACGAAAAGAAATCGATTGGAATTATGGGTGCCGAAACCCAAGCACACCGACACCTCCGAAGGAATGCTTCTGCCTGGCAGCCTCGGCAGCCTACATCCGTCTGCCGTACTATCTTCTCATGGTGTTCTCCTGATGGTGTTGCTTGTCCGCTTGCTTGCCCGCTTGACCAAGCAGAAAGAGCTGAATAAGCCTTTCCCCTATACTCAGTACGTAGCTACTAGTACTCAACCATCTTCAGCCTCTCCCTGACCTCGTCGCCAAGCTCCTCGGCCTTGACCAGTCCCAGCAGCACGCAATCCCCGAGAAAGAAATATGCCCTCTCCTGCGCATATCCAAGGTAATCAAACTCTGCTTCTGCCTCTGCCTCAGCCTCGGCCTCGGCATCCACCCCATTCTGCACTATTCCATTTTCCTCTTCCCCATTCCCCGTTGCCTCCTCCTTCACCTTGACCTTGGCCTGCACGATGCCCCACGCAACCCATTGCGCACTATTAGCCGGCCGCCAGAGCCTGGTCTCCTCCATCAAAGCCCTCACCTTCTCCTCCGCCTCCGCCTCCCTCTTCCTCTCCTCTTCTTTCCAGCCGCCCGGAGGGACCCTTGCATCCAGCATGAACTCGACGATGGAGCTCGTCGACGGGGTCGTGTGCAGGCCGCCCCCGCCGCCAGGCGTTCCCGGAGCACTGTGAGTACCACCGGGCGTGGGGTGGGCAGAAGAAGGATCAACGTAGGGGAACTGCGGCCTGTGGTCTACGTAGGCCTTCACAAACCGCCGTTGCTGGTCCGGGGTAGGGTAGAGGGATGCGTCGCAAGCGTAGGGGCGGACAGGGTCGTGGTAGTTGTACGTCCATTCCGAGAAGTGGTTGGCGAACTCGAGCCCGGGGACGTTGGCGGCGGCGTATTCAAAGTCTATTACGACGAGCTGTTTGTGTTCGTTGGCCGGTTGGAGGAGGGGCGATTTCTCGTCGTCCGGGCGGACACGGAGGATGTTGCCGTATTGCGTCTGGTTTGTTGTCAGTGACTGCAATAGAGGGAATGGAGTTTGCAGCTAGGATGGCTTACGTCGTTGTGGGAAAAGACCAGCTTCTCCCGGATTTTCCTGGCGTCGCCGCCGTAGTAATCTACCACGAATTTGCGGTATTTCTCTACCAGGGCTTTGAAGGCGGGCCACTGCACGCCACAAACGAAGCCGCGAGGCTTCCACACGCTGCCTGGACTCCCTCCTGCGCTGTGAGACGAAGCCATGACCTGCTTGTCGAGGAAGTTGACTGTCTTCTCGACCTGGCTCACCCACTTGTCCCAGTTCTTCCACACAGCGGGGCCCTGATCCTTTTCCTCAACGAGCAACTCAACACCGTCATGCAGCTCCCGCATGCGCTTTGCAATTTGCTTCGACGTCTCTGGTTCCCGCAAACTAGACGGGGTTAGCGCAACAGCGTTCAACCACTGTTCAAACCTGCCATTAAGGAAGGTTCCGAGTAGTCTAGGCCCAATCTTCTTCCTGGCCAACCGTCGCAGAACGCCCAGCTCGTTCTCTCTGTCAATGAGATGTTCTACTTGCGGCCCATAGATCCTCAGCAGCACCTTGGTCGGCCGCTTCTTGCCATCCTGTGGGGGCAGTACGGACTCTGGGGGCGGCGAAACTACGTAGACAGCATTGGTCAAGGCGCCGCTGAGACGTTGGACGGAGATACTCTCGCCGCTATCGAGAGGGACACGCCGCCAGCCTTTCAGCCTCAGGGTATGCGCGAGGCGGATGATTTCGTTCTTGAAGGTGATCCAGGCCTGCTTGTCCTTTTCCTCCTTCCGGCTTGAAATGGAGGAAGTATCATCGGCGCCAACCTTGCCGCCCGTGTAACTGAGAGTCTTTGAGTTGTCTAGGAAAGCATCACAACTCGGTACCACGACGTCCCCGTCAAAGTACTCCGTGTCTGAAGGGTCGCCGCGGGTAAGATTCTTGCTTGATCTCTTGCGGTGTCTTCGGCCGAGGCGGGGGCTGTATTTTGGGATGGTATTCAGGCCCAAGGCCGCCATGCTGTCATCCAAAATGTGCTGGAGACGATCTAGGGACACCTCGCTCGAGTCAGAATCGAGCGAGTCAGCCCGCGGCCTGCTGCCTGGCCCTAGAACTGCTGAAGCGGCATGCTCTAATTTGCGCCGAACCGTGTGTGTTCGAGACTTCCTGTGTTCTCTCTTGGTCTTCTCTCGCTCGAGCCATTCTGCCACCTGGACCAGAAGCCTCTCGCTGGCGCGGTCCATTTTGTGACGGTGATAGGAGGCTACGTGATAATTCTGGACGTCTTCAGCAGACACTGATGGGGAGCCCACAGCAGTTGAATCAGCGCCGCCCTCCAAGCTCATTTGACTGAGGGTGGAGGACCTGGATAAAGTGTTCTGGAGGGGAGGCCGTCCACTGAGTCTCTTGGCGACACCTGCTGTGAATTGCTTCTTCACTTGCTGCTCGTCAGGAGATGCAGACTCTGGCTCGGCGATTTGCACAGCTGTGTTGAATCAGTACCGAGTCTGTGGAGAGGAGAAGATGAGAGAGGAAGATGGAGTGGTGGGCCACTTGGCACTTTTACACAAGGCGACCTTGTTACTCAAAGTTTGAACGATGAGAGGGGAACCTCTAGCAGTTGATCTTCATGGCTCGACCTACCTTTGACAGAGGCGGCCAGAGGCGGGGTCCTGTCACTGTCACCGTCGGCCTTCAGCGCAGAACGCCGCGGCTGGGCTGAACTACCAGGGGACGGCGCAGACATGGCGACGCTACGGGCATGCGACACAATCCCTGAAATGGACGATGGATCCAACGTCTGGAGCCGTTTGCCGTCTTTTTCGACGAGCACAAGTGGAAAAGCGGGGAAGAGATAAGCCCTAAGCGGAGGTTTGAAAGGACAAGGATTTGTTGCGCCTGCTATGCTGAAATGCTGGAATGCTTAGATGTCTGGTTTGTGGTTTGTGGGTGTGTGATTCGAGGTTCCACAGAGAAGAAAAGTCTTTCTCAAAATCAGAGAAGTCTCAAGAAGCACGTCGTGCGGATTCCTCTCATTGACACCGACTGTCAGACTCCAAACGAAACTGACAGCGTAGCGCTCAGAAAGGACTGGAATGGCAAGAAGAGACTTTTCTGACTTTCGACCGCAAATGGCGGCCCTTTGTGCAGTGATTATGCAGTTGTGCGCCACAAAAAGGGTCATGACAGAGCCCGAAGAATTCTTTTCCACTTGGTTGGTATGTTAACGTATCCATACTGCACGATAACCTGAAGTCAGAGGGTGGGTCTGGGCTGCAGTTGCTGTGATAAAAGAGTTGCATCAAGGCTAGCCCCACTCAAGCTGCCCACCATAACCTTATGACGTAGATGTGTGCATGTCTGGCTGCTCAGTATCTGCAGCCTGCCGCCTGCCGCGAGCTTCCTTCAGATGATGCTGCTTCTCAGCCTCTCTGAATAACCCGACAATTCGGAACGACCTAAATGCCAAGAAAAAGCCTAGTCGAACAAGCGGAGATACCTAATCTAATGTAGAGTCACATAATATTTCACAGTTTGCACCCTGTCTACCAGCCGGTTCCGCTCACTTCGTCCTTAGCTGGCCCCTCCAGTCTTTCATATGGTCTAATATGACCTTGGCACCCTGGTCAGGCGAGTGCTGCCTCCCTAGAGCCTCTACAAAGTCACCATCAGGATCCATCAGATAAAAGTAGATGCTGTGGTCCACCAAATAGTCCTGGCCCGGCTTCACCTCGGTCGGCGTGCTGAAGTAAACGCGGTATGCCTTGCACATGGCTTTGATCTGGTCGTACGTGCCTGTCAAGCCCAGGAAGCTTGGGTGAAACTCGGCCAGATATTCCTTCAACACCTTTGGCGGGTCGCGTGCCGGGTCGCATGTGACAAAGACGGGTGTTAGCCAGCCGGGTCGCTGTTCCTCGACCAGATCGAACATCCTTGCCATCTTGTCCAGCTCCTCGGGGCAGATGTCAGGACAGTGGGTGAAGCCGAAGTAGACCTGCCCATCAGGGTCAGTATAGCCCTGCACACACACTAGCCGGCCGGTCTAATGTCCAGAACTCACAAGAGAGTACCGTCCTTTGAGGTCCTGCTCCGTCACTTTGTTGCCTTCCTGGTCCACCAGTTCAAACGGACCGCCCACCTTCGGCCTGCCAACGCCCTTGGCAGACTCGGCTATCCTTTTTCGCTGCATCCGCTCTTTCTCACTCCTGAAGTACCAAACCAAGCCACAGCCAGTGAGGACGAAGAGAAGGCCGGCTTTCCATGAGAAGGGCTGCGACGAAAAGTCACGAGTCAGCCTGCGTCGAACTGACGCCTTAATTGAACAATCTCCGAACCTACCCCTGAGCGATACCTGCTTTTTGCCTCTTCCACTGTGCTGAATTTGAACCTGCGCTGCACCAATGGCTGGAATGACTGTGAATGAGATTTATAGGGGGGAGGTGCGATGGGCCGAGAGTTGGGCTGCGCGACGCGCCATGTTGATACTAATCGTGAGGATTGCCGTGATACAGCCCTCGGAAGGGAATTTATGACGGTGCGGGCCGTCGTAGTTTGTGGTGGCATTGTGAGTGCCGTTGCATGCGGATTGTTTGGAGGTGTTATGAAGATGAGGAACTCAAAACCTCAAATGAGTACCAAAACATTGAAATCTCCTGATACACGGCGCCAAAGTCATACCCCGCTTTGATGCATGCCACATTGCAGAGCAAGACCAGCCAATCAGTTATCGTTACGATATGCCTATAGCGGAATACTCATAATTATGCTCTTATTCAACTCAGGTGTAACTTCACTCACTCATTTGACTGTGTTCAACTGCGGGCAGTTTTCACCATGCGCTCAACGCGACTGAACCTGAACACAGATCGCGTGTGCAACTCCAATGAATACGCTAGAAGGTTAATTTAGTGGCACAATGCACGTGAGGATACCTGCAGGACGATTACTGCCAGCTCCAGTTTCACATGGATAATGGCATATTCAACGTCGTTCTTTACACTTGACCCAGCACCGGCAACAGAGGGCAGCCAGTCGCAGCAAGACACTCAAAGTCGCAAAAAAGAAACAACAACCATGGAGGGGGAAACTCGCAGCCCGCTTCCAGCCGACCAAGGTCAAGGTCGACTCTCTGAACTACCTCGTGCCGAGTCAAATCAAGCCTCATCACCACATTCTACACTTCCACCAAGCAGCGACAGCGTCAACCAGGAAATTGCTGATGACGCCAACACTATGGCGAACACCACCAAGACTTCGTCAAAGAAAAAGAAGGGCACAGCATCCGTGGTTAAGGCGCCTTCAAAACGCGCCCGGCCCGGCCAGGGCGCTACCGGCACAGCGAAGAAAGCCAAGGGCGGCGGGAGCAAAAAGGCGAAGGCTGATGTTTCCTCCAAGCAGACGGGGGCCACTACCGCAGACGGCGTTGGAATTGGCGATTCCAGTGAATCCGACAATGGGCCTTACTGCCTCTGCCGAGGACCAGACGACCACCGCTTCATGATAGCATGCGATCGGTGCGAGGACTGGTTCCACGGCGAGTGCATCGGCATGGACAAGCACACGGGAGAGAACCTAGTGCAAAAGTACATTTGCCCGAACTGCACCGACGGCGGCCGCTACACAACGCGCTACAAGAAGATGTGTTCCCTCTCAGGCTGCAACAATCCGGCGCGCATCTACGACACGGCACAGCCCAGCATATTCTGCTCACCCGAGCATTGCCAGGCCTGGTGGGAGCAGTTAATCGCAACATTGCCCCGGACGAAAGGCGCCGCGACCAACGGTGCCGACATTCTCACCCAAGAAGAGTTCATAGGCCTGCTTGATGCCCCCAACTCCAAATCAGAAGACGGGGCCCCGCCTTGGAGACTAGGCAAGACACCATTCGGTATGGCGGCCCCCCTCTCCTACCCCAAACACCTGGCCCCTCTCTTCCATCACCTTGTCGCTCAGTATACTCACCCTTGCCCTTAACCGGGATCACCCACAGAAACTCCGCCAAATTTCTGGGACTCGCCCGCCTCAAGCAGCGCGTTGACGCCCGAGGAGCGGGCGCTCCTCTCGCGCTCCGCCGCGGAGCGCTACCAGCTCGGCGAGGAGATTGTCCTCTGCAAGAAGATGCTGCAGCTGATCGACCTGGCGCTCCGGCGGCGCGAGGCCGCCATCGCCGCGGGGCGGGGCACCGCCAAGGAGCTGTGCGGCTACGACTTCCGCCTCGACACGGTCGGCGCGACCCACCAGTTCGCCGTGTTCCTCCAGTCGCCGCGCGGCGAGGCCATCTTCAAGGCGGGCCGTCTCGATCCCCCTCCCCCCAACCACCCATTGGAAAACGGCGGCGGCAGCAGCAGCAGCAGTAATGGCGAGGATGAAGACCCCCTTACGGCGGGCATGTGCGTCAAGAAAAAGTGCAAGCCCCATAACGGCTGGAGCGCCATCCTCACCAAAACCGTTAAGCACGACATGAAGGAGCTCGCGGCGCAGGCCAAGGAGAAGCTGGACGCGGAGCAGCGCGTGCGGGACGGGGCGGCGGGCCGCTTCAGGAGGAAGATGAAGGAACGTAACGGCGTCGTTGTTTACGACCGGGAGGTGATGGGACTCTGAGGATCACCGACACACATACCCAATCCAACTGTATATACTGAGCCATGGCGATCAGCGCCTGGTGCTGTTGGTGGATTCATTGAGAGGGCATATCCGACGTGGGAGTGCTGCAATGCGGGCCGCTTAGAGACGTAGAATCCATGTACCGCAATTGGCATGATTATCAATCTCACAGAGAACGGCAGCGATCAGGAGAGACTTCATATATCTTCATTGTATATAATACAGTCATCTAACATGAAGGTATCTGTCATTCATGGCCAAACGTGAACGTAAGACGCATCTTCGAGAACTTTTGCGTGAGAAGGGAAACGTTGAGAACATTCGGCTTGCCAAAGTCCCGCCTGCCCTGCCACAACTTGGGGAAGCCTTTGGTACCTGAAGTGGTGAGAAATCTGGGTCAACAAGATGAAATAAGGGGTGCCGGTTGCACCGTTCCTTGAAGATATCAGTTCAAAGTGCAACATTGATTGATGCTGGTGGGATAAGTACTGAAGTAGCCCCTATGACAGTGGGCTCTATGTCAGCACAGGGGTAACTTTGCGCGTCGAGATCAGGGGGAAAAGATGGCCTGCAGGCAGCGAAACAGAAGATGGTTGGGTATGACATGGAATGTGAAAGGCAAAAACAGAAAGAAGAGGAGTAAACCAAAGCCGCGAGGCCAATTCCCGTCTTGTTCAGCCGTGAGGCCCGTCAATCTTTCGAGATAAAATCGTCAGGTATCATGTGGGTGTTGCAACCTCCGCCGGAGTGGACCCGGCGAGGAGGCACTCCACAAACGTCATTATATATCCGTGCAAATCATTGCATCGTCTCCGTTTCTGTTCCTTTGTTCCAAGCAATGGCATCAGATAAAGTCGTCTAGAGCTGTCCAACGGTGCTGTTGATTCCCGTTGAACGCCATCCATGGCATTGCGCAGCCTTGTCTGGCAGATATGCGTATCTTGCCAGCACGCAAACGCCCCTTGAGTGTATAAGTAGTGTGCGCGACCCACTTCTCGAGGGTCTCCTCGTTCGCATTCTCCGTTGTTGCATAGAGTTGTGCAACGGTCCTTGCCGCAGATACAGGTTAGCTCCCAATTCCCATACAGCTGTATGCTCGCGGCATCACCCAATTCGCGTCTCCCACAGGCATGACATGCCAAGGCGGCCCGTGTGGATCTGGCGTCGTCCCATCAAGCCCGTCGCCTCCCTGAACTTGAGTGTCCGTGGCTGCGATGAGACGACTGTCCATGGCCATGCCTCCTCGAGCTTCCACTACCGGACCGCTCTAGCTCACGCTCCAGCTCCTCGGCGCGGCGACGGAAATCACGAACAATATCGCGAATGTGTCGAATGCGATCAAAGTCCAACTCAAGCTCATCGATCTGGGCCATGATGTCGTGATAGCGCTGGATCTCTGCGTCGGCGTTATCGATCAAATTGCCGGCTCGGTCGTAGACGGAGAGCGTCACGATTTGCGACTGTTCCATTAGATACTCTAGTCGTTCCTGAATGTGCTGCATGACACGGTCAAAGTGGCGGCCCAGGGCTGTGAGCGACGAACTGTCCATCATCAAAAGCCCCTGCGAAGAAGCGCGACTAGCCGCGCGGGACGACGTCGACCCGCCCGCGGCCGCGACCTGTTGTTGGCCATGTCGCAGTAGCTGGATCTCATCTTCGGTCAATCCAAGCTGCGTGTCTGGCACCGCATTCGAGGGCGTCTGCTCCGACGAGGACATTTGGGATCGTGGTCGCCGGGTAGACGGCGGCTCCGGTTACGGGGGGCCGGTGTGAACTGCCGCCTCCGCTTGACAGCGTCAGCGATGGTCCGGGCGCTGCGAGCTGCGTCCCCGGTCGACCCAAGATGGGCAGGCTGCGGCCGCAGGCGGGCTATTCAGGATTTTGTAGTGCGATGTTTTAGCAACTCCTCCCAATCCAGACAGCGCACTGCAGGGTCGATACCCGCCGGTGTTCCAACCTTATTGTCTCCCGGGCCGGAGAAGGGCGGGCTGAGTCAAGGCGGCGGGACAACGAGGCTGCGGGGTATGCGGCGGCGGTGCTCCTCGAAGACCGAGGTGTTCGTCCTCGGGCAATGTTGAATGTAGCACCGGTAGCTCAGGGGGGGCGGACGCCTTCGGCTCGCACGGAGTCATCGTTTTCGCTCGCAGTGTCAATCACTGCATCGATGCCATAACAGCTCGGCCGAAAGGCGATCGGGACGTGTTGCTCGGGTTGTCAAGAGAGTTCGTTCAGGCAGCGTGGAAATTGGGAACGGACGGTAGCACTAGATCACCCGTATAAAACCAGCAAAGCCGCTGAAACGGAGTGGTGAGGCCAAAGTTTCCTCCTTTTCGCTCCCCTATCGCAAACACCCTAGGAACGGTTCACCATGTATTGCGCCGCGATCGCAAACCAACGTCACTGTGGGATACCGCAGGTTGGTCAAGCCGGATAACGAGTTTGCGTGTTTCGCTTCTCCCTCGCCGGCTGTGCAGCCGAGTCTCTGGGACCCTTGGGCTAATTGGGGGCAGCGCTCAGAGAAGTTTGTTGTATTAGGGATCATGTGCAGTCGGCCAAGTTGGCCTTCCCCTCGTTGGAAACAAGTCAGGTGATAGGTAGCGGATATGGAGCCCACACCGATTTGGGAACAAGTCCGAGAAGCAGATCCAGCCTATCTCAAACTCGTGCAAGTCGGCAGTCCCCGACAGACACAGCGCACCAAATGCGGGTAATCGACGTCGATATGTATCACGAACCGTGGGGCCGCCCGGGCGCGAACCCGGGTGGATACAGGTTTGCAGACGGCTTTGTCGAACTATTTCGCTGGTGACCGTGCCCCTGCCTCATGAGTTTTCTTTCTCCAAACCGAACCAGACCAACGCTGCACCAAGTTGTTCTGGTGTCCGTGTTTTGGAGTTGACTGACGTCCGAGGAGATTGCGAGCAGAACGAGGGAATTGTCAGTGAAAAAGACCAAAGTGCGGAATTTCTTTTCTGGTGATCAGCTGGGGTGGGTTCGTTGTCTGAGAGTGAATCGCTGCGCATCCCCCGGAATTCTTGGCATCTTGGACACGGCAAGTACAGGGCTTTGAGCAACTTCAGTGCTTCAACATAGATGGGGAAGTGCGAACCTCGTAACACTGTGCTTTTCAGTCCAGTTTATCAGGAATCTCCTGGTCATTTGCAAAAAGAGACTGACTCGCTGCGTTGAATGCGTTAGATGCCTATAGGCGGCCGGCTGCAAGGCTGTTTAAAGGAACCTCTTTGATCCTCTGTCTACCGATCCACCTCCACATGCGGAAACCGCCCGATTGCTATTTCAGCTTCATTGACAGTCTTCCGCGATGTCGAAGCTACTCTGCTTGGTCTTGGGGATATCGAGGTCTCTTGATCTCTGTGAAAGCAACGTGTCCTATTAAGGGTTGTCAATGTGGCCATGGGACGCAGCCAGCCAAACCTGATCACCATCAATCTCGGCATGAATGGCCAACCAAAGCCAACGAGCGTCTTACCAAGGGCTAATACTACGAACATAGCTTAACTACCGTTGCCTGGATGCTGGGGAAAGGGTCAGCGGCATCGGGTTGAGAGGACCATGATCAGCTTGGCTTTTCAGATCCGTCATCATGACACCGGAGTCACTCGGCGCTACGCCAGGACACCAAACGAGACCAGTCGGGAAGGCAAGAAACCAGAGGTAACGAAGCAAAAACGGCATAAGACGAAAACTATGAAAAAGAAACATACAACACCAGGGATTCGCTGGTCGTCACCGACCCAACTACTAATCTGGCGGTCGCTGGTTTGACTAGGGGAGAGCGGACGGGATCCCGTATATTCCAGCACCTATGGTCGTATGTGATGGAGGCAACTTGGGATTCTGCTTGATCAAGCCTACTTGGGCTCCCTCCGGCCCGTCTCGGCCGTGACTCCCCAGGGCGGCTAACGGCAAAGGGATGGGCGAGGTAATGTGCAACCTTGGACAGACTATCTCACCGTCAACAGTGAAATGCGCACGCGTTTCGCCTCCTACGAAATTTCTCTACATCGCCAAGTATCTCGCTCTGCTCGTATGTAGGGTTCGGAAATTTCCAACCTGGCTTCGAAATTCGGAAACTGAAAATCGACCCTTGAATTGCGAAATTTCCGCCATTTTCGCTAACCATTTCGGAAGGCTGGAGGTCTACAGAGTTAGGGTTATATATGCCCAACTATGTATCTAAGTCGCCAACCTTCCAACCTTACCACCCAGTGCCCGCCATTAAGGTGGTCAACCATCCTCGATTTCCTTTCTACAACAACGATTTCCTTGCTACAACAACGCAGATATTCGTCGAAATGGCTTCTTCTTCTTCTTCAGCCCCTGACCAATGGAAGGAGAATTCCTTGCGTGAAAAATGCTGAAATTCAAGGGGGTCCTTGAAATTGAAAATTTCCAAAAGGGGTTGAAATTTCGGAAATGGAAATTTTCGTTTCCGAACCCTACTCGTATGCTCGACAGCCTTTGAAAATTCTGTGGTTGAGTAGATTTGATTAGCCGCCACCCCAACTAGGCAATACAGGTGGTTGGTGAGATTCGCACAACTGTGTGAAAACTGTACTCTGCGAAGTCCAAAGATGCGAAAACATGGGGTTGGAAACATTTGTATCGAAGATGGGGGTTGTTGGGCATAATGATAGGTTGTGCGACTGACGGAGTTTGCAGATTTTCCCAGCAGGCAGCACGTTTTGATTAGAGTGTAGTTTTGTCGCACACCGCAAGCCATTCCATCAAAGTATATGTGAAAGAGTGCCAGTGACCAGCCGCTTCCATCTGGACGGGGGGGTTATCTTCCGCCGTCTTGCTCTTCCCCTACCGAAATCTGTATGTCTCGCTCCAACTACACATACCCTTTCCAGAGTACTTCAACATGAGCGACCCCCGTCAAATTGCCGCCATACAAGGGCTGACCGTCCTGGCTGAAGGTCCGTTAGCTGATCAAGGAGTAGACATAATCGCCATCCACGGACTCGGTGGCCACCCCTTCACGACTTGGACTGCCAACACACACGAGTCTGACAGAAAAGGGGAGAAACCAACACGGCTTTGGTTGCGCGACTTCCTACCAAAGGACCTTCCTTCGGCGAGGATTATTACATACGAGTACAGCTCATCGCCGTTTTCTTCTCATCAAGACCTGGGCATCTCCGAGGCCGCAGAAAAGCTGCTAGTCGCGCTTGAAAGCCTGAGGGCATTCGAACCTCAAGTGCGTTCCCACACATGCAGCACCTTGTTCCTTCTTCGAGGTCTGGTCTGGTAAATGTTATTGTACTAACCGCAATAGCAGCGGAAACCGGGACCACTTTTGTTCCTCTGCCATAGCCTTGGTGGAATAGTTGTCAAATCCGCTCTCAACAGAGCGTCCCACGACGGAGCCAATGAATTTCTCAACGATCTCGTAACGAGAACAAAGGGCATCGTGTTTTTGGGGACGCCACACGTGGGATCGCAATCTGAACTGCGTACAAGTCTGTCGAGGATCCGAGGTGCCCTCGGCGGTAGAGACATTGGCAAGACCACTATGGTTGCCGCTCGCTTGATATGGCGAATAGCACAGCACTTCTCAGGCCTACCTTTCGCCGGCTTACCATGGAGAATAACATCATTCTTCGAGCACGGCCGTTGCCAGGGACCAATACCACTGTGAGCATTCTTTCTTCCCTAGGTACTCAACCAGCGGATAGCTCTACCAAACGCCGGAAGAAAACTGATGCAATTGATCCCTTCAGGTCGTAGACCACAATCTGACAAGATTGTCGACCTTTCCGCAGATTTCCTTGCCTACCCATCATCATGTGAGAAAGCTCCAAACTCAAACTCGATACCACCATCACTAACGCCGACCTTGTGTACCTACCTAATCTAGGATATCTGCCGCTTCTCATCAGCTGACGACCCGTCATACCTGAAGATCTTGGAATCGCTGCGAAGCATTATTTTGGGCTCTGATGCAGTCAAGGGGCATTCGAGCTCTTTAGCAATAGAACAAGGTACGTAAACATCTTCAAGGGAACTGAACACTGAAAACGTCGGGCAGTGTGACTAACGCTGTTCTAGAGGTACTCGAATCTCTCAAAGTGAGAGATTCATCCGATATTGTCAGAGATGCGCACCAGAAGACGTTTGGATGGATTTTTGAGCACCAGACCTTCAAGTCCTGGTCGGAGGGCTTCACCAACACCGGGAACGAGCAGCCCATTGTCGACCATCCTGCCATCTTCTGGATCCACGGCAAACCAGGTAGCGGAAAAAAGTACCCTAATGAAGCACATCATCGATCGCAAATACTCGGTCAGCCACGAGTCTCCGGAGAGCGCCAACTTCCGACAACACGCCGTTTACTTCTTCTTTCACTCACATCAACGCACTACCCGGTCGGTGACAAACCTCCTGAGGTCCCTCCTCTCCCAACTCTTGAAATCTACGCAAGAATTTCTCAAGCTTGACACGATCTCCAGGCTTGCCGAGAGGATGGAGATGCTTGGGCCTGACAAGCCATGGGAAAAGAATGACCTGGCTGCAAGCCTCCTGCACTTTGTCAGGAAGTCGACCGCGCTGGGAGACCCCCTTTATTTCTTCATCGATGCTTTGGACGAGTGCGACGAGTACGACGAGCTCGTGTCGCTGGTCAAACTCCTTAGCAAGTCATCTCAACCCCCTGGTGCCATCCGGATTTGTGTTTCTTCTCGCCTTCGCCCCTCCGACTCGGTATGGGAAGTACGCATGGAGGACAACAATTCCTCTGACTTCGATGAGTATGTCAGGTCTAGACTCGCCGTTTGGCAGAGTCCGTCCCGCTCCGCCGACACTCTGCAAGAGCTCGCTCGAGTCATTGGAGAAAGGGCCGATGGCGTTTTCCTGTGGGTTGATCTTGTGGTATCGCACCTGCTCTTCGACCCTTCGATCAACCCAGACAATGCCATGCGTCACTTGCTCCCTACGGACCTGAAGGCGGCTTATGATACGATCTGGAGGCAGATGCTGGACACGCATGACGCGCGAAATTCCAAAACAGGGCGTGATATTCTCACTTTGGTGACATTCGCTCGCCGACCTCTCTCGGTCTTCGAAGTGTGGGATGCGTTGGCGGTGACTGGCGGCGGAAACCATTGTCACCACTACGACTACGGTCCAGAGTTCGAGGAAGACGGGACCAGTGCACTAGCAATAGCTGCCAGGGTACGGAGCAGATGCGGGGGCCTTGTTGAGATCTTGCGGCTTTCAAGGGCAACAACATCTGCCGCTACGAGTGACGCCGCCAACTTCACCGTGGAGCTCATCCACCAAAGTGTTCGAGATTTCTTACTGGAGAAAGTTGATGATTGGGCAGCTGCTCATACTCAAATTGCCTGGGAATGCTTTCGCTACCTCGATATGACACCACCCACACTTCCTCGACAATCTCCACCACGATACTTCTTGGGTTACGCTCTGTCATACGGCATGCATCATCTGAGCCTGGCCGGCCAAGTAGGCCTGGCTCGCGGGAGAGGCGACGATGACGACGCTCAGCGGTCTCTTCTTATCAACGACCAGTTCATCGATCATTGGGTCGATCTCTGGGGGAAGCACTTCGGCAGCCAAACCCTGTTCAAGATGGGCAAGACCAAGGCCATACACGTCATGTCTCATTTTGGCATAAGCTCGTTACCTTCACGGCTACATGAATATTCATGTGCCTTGGAAGTCCAAGAATGTGGCATGTACGTCGATGTCCAGGACCATTATGGGCGGACACCGCTTCTTCTTGCAGCGGCAGCGGGGCACGACGCTGTTGTGCGTGGCCTGATCAATGCCGGGGCGGACCTTAACCACAAGGACAGTGTTTACGGCATGACAGCTCTGCATACGGCTGCGGCTCATGGACATGCAGAAGTCGTGAAGATGCTCCTGAGGCACGGTGCCGATGTCCACCACGGGGATTCCAGTCCAGTGTTGTGGATAGCAGCGAGTAAGGGTCGTCTGAGCGTTGTGAAGCTGCTTCTGGAAGCCGGTGCGGAACCTGGTGTTTCTGAATTCTTCAGCGGAGAGACGCCTTTATCCTGCGCTGCTGCAAAAGGTCATATACCAGTAGCATCCCTCCTTCTCCAAGCCGGAGCCAAGGTGGATAGCTGGGACAGAATCGGCTGGACGCCTCTTCATCATGCTGTCAAACACGGAAGAAGGAAAACCGTCGAGGTATTGCTCAGGACTCTCGGGCAGCAACAGTTGAGAACGCTCAGGATTGGCCTAGCCAAGGCCGAGCATTCTTGGGTCCAGTCAGTTCTCAGAGCCCTCATCATCGGGCTCTGCTTCCGCCAGTGTGGCCAGTCCCAGGCATCTTCGTCTGGTGCGAATGCCCAGTCCAAGACATGCACTGGTGCTCCCAGTGGTGATACACCGTCGGCCATGTCGAGGCATAAGCGTGACAGGGGCCGCAAGGCTAACGCTGATCCCGAGTCCGATGGAGACGATTCTGAGGACAAGGAATGCCGTACACCCAAAAAGCCTCGATACTCAGACTCAGAAGACAGCCGGCGCTTTGCATGTCCGTATTTCAGGAAAAAACCAGAAAGGTACTCGACGGGGGCCTGCAATGGCATGGGATTCAAGGACATCCACCGCTTAAAGTGAGTCTGAGCTCTTCTCCTTTTTACTGAAAGCCTCATTTCTCCTGATATCGGAGACGTAGCTGATCAAGGCCTTACTTAGGACGCACCTGAAAAAAAACCATATTGATCGCCTGGACTGGCAGCAATGCCACGTCTGCAAGGCACGGTTTCCCGATGATGAGTTCGAAAAACACCAGCCCTGCGAGTGGCGAGAACAACCGACTGACTACGAGGATGGTTTTGACGTCCGTCAATTCAAGAAGCTGACGTCAAACGACATGTTCCCGAGCAAAACGTCCAGCGAGAAGTGTTGGAACTTGATCTTCAAGCTCCTGTTTCCCGACTGGCCTGATAAGCAACAACTTCCCAGCCCATGTGAGTTTTTTATTATCTTTTCTTTTCTTTTCTTTTCTTTCCTTCTTTTTTTTTTTCTTTCGTGGTCCTTGTCACACACCATACACATCCGCTTGTCATTAATTTCTCTGACTCCTCAAACCACCCTACATTGTAGACCAAGACGTGCAGGGCCAAACCATATCATCTCATAACCTTCTGGCTGAAGTCCGCAACACGTTGCGGCATCCGGACATAATCGACGAGATCATCAGCACACCAAACAGAAATGCACTTCCCCAGACTCTCGATCGGCTGCTTAGCGGGGTGGCCAGCAGACATGGGCTCTCCCCTATTGCTGAGCAAGCCATGTCCAGGGCCGAAAGCCAACCACCAACCCAAGAGCTCGCGCCGGCCTTTTCGAATTCATCCTCATCCCAGCCCCCCTCGGCCAATGTTCCCAACCTCATCACCGACACTGCCAACTTCCGGTCCTCGATGAACAATAATCTTCCCACCCAGCTTGAACCACCCCAGGCGGGGCAACCGGAATCAGAACTTTCACGCCAACACTTCACCACCTGGAACCCCCCCAACAAACCTCGTTCCAGTACCTTCCCTACCCGGACGTGTATTTGCGCACCACCTCCTTTGACGACTCCTCCAACGTAGACCCCCACGTCTACTCTGCATCCACCTCAGCCGCGGATTCCAGCGCGAATTTCTCCCTCCACAGCGGTGCCTCCAACCCCCTGGCTCAGAGCACTCTCCTCTCCGACTACGGCGGCTCCGTCGGCTCCGTCGGCCAAGGGAATTGGGCCCCGCCCGCCAGCAACGATGACGGACTAGCGCAGTTCCCGTCCTTTGTCCAGCCGAACCGAGATGGGGATGATGGGCGCGGATATGGGCATGGCTCAATGTTCCTGGGAGGCGATGACACGGCGCCGAGTTACGCTGGACAGCACGCTGTGTCTGCTTCGCGGCAGGGGAGTGATAAGCTCGTGTGGTATGGGGAGGGTGAGGTCTCTGAGCGTCCTGTGGATCCCAATCGCGCAGCGAGGGATCATCAGTCAGCTGTTCCTGGTACTGGTACATCACGAGGGGACGATCAGAGTTGCTGATTATACGGCTTGCAAGTTTTGCAAGCCTATGTAGTTAGGGTAGGTCTGGATGGAGAATGCTGCACTAAAAAGGGGGGGTCCCTCCAGAGACGGACAATGACATGTTCGTCGCCGCCCCAACTTCCAGGTTAGGTTTTTACCGGTTTGGACATCTACGGGAGATGGTACAGATCCCGGGTTTCTAGTGGATATTATACAGGGAATAACTAGAGTGAAAAAGGGGGCAAAAGACATACAACACCAGGGATTCGCTGGTCGTCACCGACCCAACTACTAATCTGGCCCTTACTGGTTTATCTAGGGGAGAGCGGACGGGATCCCGAGCTTTCCAGTAGGTATGGTCGTATGTGCTAGAGCAAAGCGTTACTGTGCCTTTTAGGAAAGCAGCATGTGTCAATTCAGGTGCAAGGAGTGGTGTAGTCAAACCAGTAATTCGTTGATACACATGAAAGCTTCGATTTCAACAGCGATCCAGATGGCGCCACTGACTTGATACCATGATGAATATCCGGCCATTGGCGAGGCAGGTGATTATCATATCACGTCGCGTTGATGCGGAGAGGAAAATGATAATGGACCTGCTTCATACAAGTCTATGTTTTGACATGTTATCTTTATCAGATTACCGCGTCCAACCAAACCCCCGGGGCCGGCCGATACGCCAACCGCCAGCCCGATCGATCGGGGCAAGGCACTGGGGTCTTCGTGTGACAGGTCAGGACAGTGAGCGAAATATCAGGAAGGTCAGATTCCCCCCTCCTTCCCACCAAGAGACTGTATCTAGTAGTGAGCAAAAGGCCTTTTTTGACGGTGTCAGGAAACTCTGCTATTGTGCGCTACTGTTGTGGTTTACGGAGAGTGGTATCTGTTTCCCCCTGACTTCGGCTGCTGCACAAGCCGTGTGTCAACTGTCAAGAGACAGGATGCCTGAAACGTCACCCCGATGCGCAACGTAACGTTACCGGCCGCCCCCAACCTTTCCTCAGACCTTGCTCCTGCGCACAGATACTGCAAGGCTATTATGCAGCCTCGTGTACAGCCTCGTATACGCCGAGCGCAAGGCTGCAGAAATAATGGACGCCGAGGGCCCGAGCTATCCGCGAAAGCTGGTGGATTTCTTCCCGGACGCTACGGGATTGTCTCCGAGAGCGAGTCATATCAATTCCACATTAGAAATATTATAATAGCTTTCCCCCCTTGCCTCTAGCAGCTAGCAATGTGATTGCTAAGGCCAATGTCTCGGTTTAAGGCGTCGACCATTACCTGGAACCGAGTCCGCTAAAACGACGGTGGTCCCATGATAAAACGACTGTGGTCTGGAGAGTTTGGCCAATTAAATGGGGTCTTGGCACCGACTTCCTCCTGCCAAGCCATGAATTCCCTCTGCACCAAAATCCAACATCGAGGTACCATTTGTACTTCGCAAAAACACAACATTCTTCGGCCTCTATAAGCACGAAACTGGATATAGCTATTCGCGCGAACTACAGCTTTCTGTGTCGTCAAAAAACGGGGTAGAATTTGCAAGTTTGAGAGTGATACTCGCTCTTCCAGTGTGGGTAAGGCTTGCACCCGACTACAGTCGTTTTTTCCCTGGGACCACCGTCGTTTTAGCGGACTCGCCTGGAACTTCCGACAATCTATCCCAGGCCTTCGGGAGTTGCTGCCTTGATGGCTCCTATTCGCGGAGCATCTCTTGGTCTGAGACATGCATAGACGAAATGAGCTTGACACCGAGTCACGGTTGGATTTGGCTTAACGCCCCTGTGTAGCCTCGGTAACGGACCCGGCAGCATGGGTAGCGGGAGGTTAGCGTCATGATCGCCACGGCGCTGGCGCCACGCACACGCTCTTGTTTCAGCCATTCTCTCATTCCCAGTCACGTTGATCTGATCTTCTGGGGAAGACGAGGGATAATATGTACGCGTACGGTACTCCGTACGTCTAGGTAATTACCTATTGTTCAGACTCCCTTTACTGGGCAATGCTGCTGGGCGTTGACTTCAATCCCTGAACAACGTACAAGTACCTGGCTTGAACCGGTGTGCTGCGTTTCGAAACTTCTTCCAAAAATTCCTCTTCAGTCTCCGCATCTGAGGCCCACCATAACTTAGTCTCCTTCGTAATACGAATAACTAAACGATCGGTAAGAATAATAATAGCTCAAAGATAATAATGTGAGGGTTGGCTTGGGGATCGATTCCTCTTGACTTTTCGGCACTGTTGCGATCTGAGAAGAATAGTGTACCTGGTAGGCTTGTCACGCCAATCCATGCATATGATCTAAGCGGCATGCTCGGCGAATGTGTCGTCCGATCTTTTGCGGTTGTGAAGGAAGGGATCCCAGGGGTTGGGTTTGTTGCTGCCTGTCAAATATGTAGTGTATACAGATACCGTATGTGGCGATCAGTTGAAACAATAGATCTTGAGAAGTCGTCGGGGGACTTCCGAGACCTGCTGCGGGGCTGACGCAAACTTTCTCCAGCTTTCCCTGCTTTCTGTGAGACGAGCCATTGGAGGTAGCACAAACAATTGATGCTTCTCGAAGCATTTGCGGCCCGACCAGTCGTATCTCTACTCTGAAATAAACCGTACAATGGTCGTTATGCGTCTGTTTCGTATTCTAGAAGTCATCGATCGGTCTTGGATTGAGAAAGGTGGTCGTGTGCTGCGCAAGTCCCGAATCTTCCACCATCTCGGGTATCCCTCCTCGAAGATTGATTGGTGGAGTTCAATCAAGACAGCGTTGATGGAAAGCCAAGTTGGATCTACACGCAAACACCGTGGAAAGCATGTGACTCCTCATCAATGACGTCCCATCCACTTCAGGACCGCACGGGACTCCGGGAGACTTGCCTTTTCCTGCACCGGCCGGCATTGTGATTTGCCAGCGCCGCCTCTTCACACTCGGTGCGGTCCGGCACACGAACATCGGCCACCCACCACCCCGAACTCTGATTCGAATGTCCTGCGAATAGCAGCAACAGCATGCGCTGCTCTGCATGCGGCCACAAAACGTGTTGATCATCGACGTCTGTCGGTCCGGCGCCCGTCGCTCGCCAAAAGGTTCCCAATTGAGACTGCTGCGTTTCTTGGCAGAGCCAACCGTCAGCAGTTGATCGACAGTGATTGACAAAGTTGGAGGGTGTGACGGTGGGGAACCCGTCGACGATCAGCTGCAGATGCGGCCGAACACCGAACAACTCCTGAAAAGCAAAAAGCCAAAAAAAAATGACCGAATGTGGGAAAGTGCCAGATGCTCAGAAGGAGCCAGTGCAGAACAGGACTAGCGCACGCCAGAAGCGCGCTAGAACAAAAAGTGCCAATCTTGCATTGCCAGAGACATTTCCCATGCAATTGAAAAGCCCCGCAAGGAACTTCTTGGGGTATGGGAGGGGTTTATCACCTCAGGGTCCTCGCATCGACTCAGCCCACCTCCACTTCACGGACATTGAGATGGTTTTTGGCAACAGCGGATGCAGATCATCTGCTGTCGTCACCTCCCGTGGCGCCGTTGACAGCGGTTGACTGCGTGTAACTTGCTGTACTGTACAACCACGGCGCACGGTGCAGCGGTTCCGCCGCCCTCGTCTAGATGATAATTGCCGAAGTTAGTTACCAACGCCCTCACTCTCGACTGAGGCGTACCTACTAACATGGTGACGGTCTTACAACTAGAAGCTATTTTACCGCTGTCACCTGGTTCACTCTGCACTACCAAAAAACGTCGAAAGGACTAATGGTGAGGTCTACAAATCCCTTGGATTTCCCCCTTCGCATAAGCAAACAATCTTTCCGCAAGAGCCCACCCGAAGAACATGCTAGGATTCTGTGATCTGCGATCATCCTTGTTTCCGGGGTTACTAATACTGTAACTTGGGAAATAGTGGCACGTATGTACATACAATACATTATATGTGTACTGTACAGTACGGAGTACACTAACACTAGAGGCAGATCTATTTCAGCCGACATTGATGGGCTCCGCTGCTTTTCTTTAGGCCATGCCCACTACCGGATCACAAAATGGCGGTCTGGAGGGGAATAACGATTTGCATGATGGCGATGTTCGTGTCATGGCACCGTCCGTCTTCGTTCCAGGTGCTCGGGAGGAAGAGTTTGCTGTAAATATCCTCCAGTAATTACAGACGCAGGCCCCAAACGACCAGTGATACCTTTCCAACTTCTGTCAAGGATTGGGATTGGGAAGAAGGGGAGGCGGCAGATCCCTTGGCCAGCATAGAGCCAAGTTCGAAGTGTGTTGTCTGTGGTAATTATGAAAGGCAGTTACAACATGTGCCCTCCCTGTAGAATGTAGAAGCATCCATTGGGACGCCCCTTTTTCGAAACCGGTATCATTGCCACGGTACTCAGTACACAAAAGGGTTACAAATATTGTCAGTCGCAAATCTTCATGCTAACCATGCAAGTCAGGATTCCACGGCTAAAGCACGGAGTTAATCTTAGATTTCCCGAAGGCAAGCGTGGGTGCTTGTGTCTTCCCGAAGCAAACATACTTTTCGCCCGAGGGGGCAGTTCCCAGATCTATACACATTATCTTGTTCTCGAAACATTGCCAAATGTATGGAAAACAAGAGTGGCAGATCTCTTCAGATATAGCATGTTCATATAAGGGAGAAGAGAAAGAGCCATAAAACGCCCATGTAAATGCTAAAGTGGCCGCAAGCATCCCAAAACCCATTCGCCGCCGTCGACGCCACGCCGTGAGGTGGAGAAGGCCAATGGATATTCCCCGTCAACCCTGCGCCCACCATGCCCAGTGAGAATAATCCGAACAAGATCCCTTTGTCATGCGCCAATGGTTCGTCTTTGGAAACAACCCGCCTCGATCTATGACCGACCGCCAGGGAAGGGAAAAACATTAGAAACTAAGAATACCGGATTTTGTCATTGTATAGTCGTCGTCGGTCGTTTTATCCAGTACCGCCAGGGTCCCGGATTTACTGGAGAGCTCGTGGATGGGTTGAAGGGCCGAATTAAGAGTGATGGTTTTGCAAAACTCAAGCTCTGGCACTGCCGGCGCTTCCTGTGCTGCTGTTGCTACTGCTATCAAGGTTGTGGCAGCCCCGCTCGTGTCGCTTCATGTTGCTCCGTACGCTGAAAGCCTTGCCGCAGCCAGGAAACGGGCATTTGAAAGGCTTCTCGCCCGTGTGAGAATGGCTGTGAATCCGCAGTGAACTCGGCCGGGAGAAGGCCTTGTTACATGTTTGGCAAATGTACCGATCTTGACTCTGGGAGAACGAGGCTGCCGATGAAGGGGCGATGTAATGATGGTGCTGCCAGGGGTTGGCACCTGGCCCCGGGGCAAGTGTCACCGAGACAGGCATAGGTGGGGGGAAAGTCTGAATGCGTTAGAAGAATTGTTTCTGCTGGGAGAGCTAGCAGGGACGTCCAACAACTCACCTGAGGTAGAGGCCGCTGGTAGTAGAGACCGGGCATTTGCGGCTGCGCTGCGGCAGCCTGGATCGGAGGATAGTAAGAGGGCATGGCGGATTGGCCCAGATACGCCGAGGCAGCGAATCGGGGCAGGTATGTCGAAGCCTGGACCGAGGCTCGAGGGACGGCAGCAGCGGGAGCCATCTGTCGAGGTTCCGCGTCCATTGGACCCAAGGGTGGCGTCGTCTCGAAGTAGTAGTTGGAACCATTGGAGACCTGGCTCACGGACCTGGTGGACGGCGAGTTGTAACCCTCAAAGGATGCATCGGAAGACATGGGTGGGCTCGGCGGCAGCGCCGTCTTGGCCATTGCTTGGTTGCTGTAGTGGGACGAATTTGGCCGCGTCTCAGCCTTTATTGCTTGCGCTGAGCAATGACATGTTAGTATCGAGTTGTCTTGAGATCCAGTACGCAGGCGGTTCATACATTGCTGTTGAGACTGAGGCGACGTTTCTGACGTGGGAGATCCTTGGTCCGCCAGCCCAATGAGGTTTGAGATTGATGGCAGCGAGCACTTTGAGGTCTCGTCCATTGGCGGCGAGGGAGGCGGAATGTAGCCATAATGCAGGCTCTGTTGGGGCGCGTGCGCGTATTGCGTTGTAACTGCCATTTTTTGTGGAGTACGCCAGGCCTAAGACGGGCGAGGTGATGGGTGTAGTGATTACTCGGGTTGGTCGGAAAGGGCTGCTCTTTGATGACCCTTGACTCCTACTGGATCTCGCATACAATGGCAACGGCTCGAGCTAATCGCTCTCGTGAGGCGGTAGGTTGTCGAGGTCGTTGATTAGGGTATATCGAACGCCAGCTAGATAGACTCGGAAGTTGTCGAGAGGTTCTATGGGATACAAGTTGGCAAATCAGACTGCAGGAAGAGTGGATAGGATTAAGTACTAGGCAGTAGTAGTGTGTGTGCATCGAAAAGAAGCTTGTTGACCATCTTGGATGGGGGAGACGCCGCAATTTGTACCGTCAGATCTCCCGCGGGCACATCCCTGGGAAGATGTGTGGATGATGTGGATGATCAAGCGAAAATCCACACGAATCCACAACCCAGTCGATCCCCGGACCAAGACGGTCAGCACTGTCGCAAGTCGTTGTGGGTCTGACCGGCGGCCTTGGGGTGCTGTGCCAGACCAGGCTTTACGGCCCACGGCCGGCGTTGATCAGAGACACCCCTGCTCACCACCTGGCTGTCATCAACATTCGGTACGGATACCTGGCTCATGTCACGGTATATTACCGTAGGTAAAGTACACAGTACATGAACATACGTACAGTAGAAATGCTGAAGTGCATTCCGAACTTATAGTACCTGCTGATATATGTAGTAGTGTAAGTTACAGTACTGGTTTGGTGAGTAGGCACACTGTGACATGAGGCCCGAGCAATGTCGGGTCCATGGCCGGCTCTGCATCTTACAGATCTGATTGCCACTGATCTACCGAGTCCAGACGTCTGACGCTCATGCCAAAGGCAGGCCACTTCGAACAAGCCAATGCACTTCAATGCCCGCCGGCTGTTATCATTGCTGAAAAACGTAGTAAAGTTCAACTGTACCAAAGTGTGCGTACGATTATTGCGTTCCTTGGTTTGTCTTGTGGGCGCCAGCTTATTGCAGGTTGATTTTTTTCTCCCTCTGCTGCAAGCCTGCCGGGGCTCTGGCAAGCCCACGGACCATATTGCCGGAAACGGATATGCAGCCGGATCAAAGGCTTGGAGTGTGGAGGAGTTGCGGATCAGGTACAAGTACGTATAGTACGTACAGTACGTACCGCTCCATCCCTTGCCCGTCAACGACGCTCGAGCGTTTTGGTACCGGGACCCCTGGTTGCGGGCCCCAGGCAAACTTGAGACGAGCAACGACTCCGGAGCTTTGTCGCTGGATCACGGGTAAGGCCACCAGGGGTAGCGCGCTTGGTTCTTGCTGTGACCGGATTGTTGAGCTGATCTTATGCCGTTCATCATGATGCTCTGCAAGTTGCCACTCAAAACGGGTTGTTTTCTCCACGCTTCATCAAGTTCACTCCCAGGGCAGCTGCCGGATCGTCCGTGGATTTTTTGCTTCCAGAAAGTCTTCTGATCCGTCAGGGACATCCCGCCGATTTCCCAATTCATCTCTCTGCTGGAGATCATATCTTACACACATGTCATGTACTGTACATTACCTCGATTTCCTGCTCGACACGCTATGGGCCTCGTTCCGGATGTGCTGCCGGGAAAATTATCATCTCTTTCTTCTAAGGAGGTGGGCGGCGAGCAAGTCAGGCCAGAACAATGGCGCGATTACGGCATCGGCTGGCTGAGCGTCACGTAGAAGTCCTGTTTCAAGGGCACGATGTCTTTGCTGCTTGATCCAGCGAGCTGGGCGGCTTAAGTAAATAAGGTATGTAGGTACATTACAGCGCGTTTGACAAACACCAGTCACTGCTCGGGCTGCGAAAACACGAGAAGTTGTTGAAGCAGTTGTGCGTTCAATGACTTCGCAGTCATCCATTCTTCGCGGATTAAGGTTGTCCAGGCCAGGTTGCGCCCCGGCTCCTGGAGAAGAAAGTTGCCGCAGCTCCTACCAAAAGATGGCTTCTGCACGAACGGTTCCGTGCTCCAGGCGCGTTTCTTGAGAAACATACTGGCGGTTCTCGGAAACAAAGGCTAATAAAAATCTCGACAGATTGGTAACGGGGTTCAGGGGTCCTTGATCATCGAGACTTTTGTAGTGTAGATGACCAGGGCAAGAGACGGATAGACAACAGTCTCGCCTAGCCCCGTGTCTGACAAGCTGCAGGGGCCAGTAGAGATCTCGAGGATCTCGGCGCGAAGATCAGGGCCGGCACGCTGAGTAACAATTAACATTTGGCCCTGGGAGGCAACTGAGACTGAGCAAAGAAGGGTCTGCCGTGCCACACCTCTCTGCCACACCTATGGCTTGCCTGGTCGGCCGGCTCCTCTCAAGGCATGATTGACGGGATGGAAGTTGTCACGGCATGTTGGTGGGCTGGCATCGCCTTGACCTACGCACCGCCATGAGGTAGGGTGAAGCTACTTGGGATGACAGTTCTGCAGAAGCAGGCGAAGCCTTGAGCGGCTGCAGTCTCCCGTCCGACATGAGGTGGAATACCACGCTCATTTCCCCCATGCCATTTCATCGCTGCAGTCTACCACACAGTACACGCAGGACAAGACACGGGGCAGCGCTATGATGCTCAGCTGATGTTTTAAGGTTTCGTCGTTGCCAAGCACCCATGGCGACACGCCCACGCCGCGCCGGGTGCATGGGCATCCGGTACTTCAACTGTTTGAGCATAGCAGTGTAGTTAAGCTCCGTAGAACTCCATACCAGATATAGACAGCAAAGGCGGGTTTGTCATGTCTATACTACAGTAGAATGTTGACAGGCCACAAGATGAAATCTCGTTTTGAGCAGGGAAGAATGGAACTTACAGGTTCAACAGGAAAGGCGGTTTTGAGGTTTAAGGGTAGTGTTAAGGTATCTCGAGTCTGCTGTCTGTAACTTCAGTTGGGCTGCCCTCTTTACCTATGGTATTGACTGTTATACAATACTATGCAGTACCCCAATGTTATAGTGCTACCATCGTAGATACCCGGCTGGTAACCTTACTCAGGGGGCACCTCTTGCTCCTGCTGCCCTGGATGCAGCTAATTACATCCATCTTCACCAGTGTACCTACCTTACCTTAGGCAGGTAAGTGCTTGCAGACACCACAAGCTGTTGTTTCTCGGGTTGATCTGGCAGGAACAATCCACCGTCCAGGTGAGGATCGAAGTCCATGGAAACTGCGATGACTATACTACAAGAATACCTACACCACATGATATGCACTGTGCATCTGATCATTCAGTCTCAACACTGGTTTCATGAATTGAATTATCCCGCTGTGGCGCACATGCCTCAATCCTCAACTTCGGTCATGGTGCTACCATTAATGGCAGAGCAACTCCGATCAGCAACATCCCAACTTGAGCTTCCGCAATATCAACCCTCGATGTGCAATTACCTTACAGTAGAGCGCCATGGCTGGGCCCCAACGGAGGCCGTACCCGCCTGCACCCCGCAACAGCCCGAATTTCACAGCCACCTAGACGCCCGCCAAAAGCCGTGTGCTCCTCGCCGGCTTCCACATTCTCGGTTCGAGGGTAGCGAGGTTCCAGGCCTGCTATTAGGCCAACTCTGCGGCGACTTGTGGCACAGAATTTTGTCCTCCCTCGGGAGGCCATATCAGCCCAGCCCGACCTTCCCCAGACCGGCCGTATTTCTTGGTCCATGCTCAATTGTGACAAGCTCGCTTTGCCGAGGAGGACGAAGATCACTTTTTTCTTTCGGCATCAACAATCAAATCGACGCAGCCATATCAGTGATATCACGTCCAGGGAACAGTAGTTCTCGGTTGTCAACACGAAATTTTTGACTCGTGTTCCGGAATTTTCGAGAGCGCCGATCCCACCCTCAAACCAGAAAGAGAGAACCGGATATGTCTGCCCGAACTAGGCAAATTAGGGTGCGGCGTGGAGACCGTTTTGGGCTTCTCTCATGGACAGATCTGAAGACCAACAATGTTCATTCTTGAGCCTCGTGTGCGTCTGCGTATGTACTCCATAAGTACATACAGTATCTTCAGGCAAGCATTGTGCCACGACGACGGCAAACCGCTAGCAAGAGTCATGATTGGCCTCGCCTAGCCCAATTCCGTCGTTTACATTCCGCGGACATGGTAAAGGTCAGAGGCGCTGTACGGTAAGGAGCGGCTGTACTTCGGAGCCTCTTTGATTGCTCGTCTATATGATGGCTGGTATAAGCCAGCCTTTTGCGCTTCTCCTTCCCAGCGGAGGGTCACACTGGATGCCTTGGCCCCCTGGAGCAATACCGGTTTCCCAAACGGATATTTACCCGTCTCGCAGGCGATCGACGTGGCGCTGCGTTAGCGCCGCTCGCTTACACTAGCGCAGCGTAGGGAAGCAGGACGCAGTGGAGTGATACCACTTCAGGAAAAGGCCCATGATCGACGAGCGTTTTTGACAATTCGGGTTCGGGAAATATGCCACGCTGCAGTCGCATGTCAAGCCATCAACCAGCTTCCCTTTTCGGATTTTTCTAGCCCAAAGACGTCCGTGAAGGAAGCTGGATCGCCGTCCCTCTACCACGGTTCTGTTCCTCAGCTTATCCACCGACGGTTTTCTGCCGGCTTGCTCGTCCAAAGCTTTCTTCGCTGCCTGCGTTAGCAAGCAATCGTCCGTGCCTTGGATGGAGTACTGGTAGCTACGGATACTGAGCGGTCTTCACTTTGTATTAGTCAACCCACGCTGACCGCCACTTGACCAGGGGTTCTGAGCATCCTTTTCTCCATGATACCGTAACGTTGATAGTTGCACGTACTCTCTGCACCAGCGGCGGAGCGAGCGGACGGGGCCATGTCTGGATTCGATAAGGGAAGTGCTTTGGAAGATTTTGATGTCTCTTGATTCCTGTGACTGAATGACGAGCCGTCAGGGATCAGTTTGTTTGCTGACCGGCTCATTACCTACTACTATAGTACTTGTATCGTGAAATGTGAAATCTTTGGTAAAAAGCTCCCCTGGTAAAACCGTGGGGAGCTGCTGGCAACATTGGATCAAGGAGCTGATAATGTACAGTACCGTATTGTAGTGTAATTCCGTCGTGTAGTGTATTCGGAGTGCAACCTGGAATACCGTTTCGATGCTTCATTGTAACCGAGACAAGCCCAAGGAGGAATAAAGTTGTAGAATCTGTCGATCACTGCATTGACGATCCCCGCGCAATCCGAGAATCGCACACACGTAGTACTCCGTAACTATTTTGTATAGACTACCGCTGTGCATAGCAAGCCGCCACAGCATACAATAATTGAGGGAGACGAAAGGTGATTTGTCGAGTTGCTGCTGTAGTCACCGCAAGGCTGCAAGCAACGATGTCGGGAACAAATCCTGGGCTGACGTGAATCGGGTGATATTGATGCCCATGCCTTGACATCTCGATCCTGTGGGCACAGGAACTAGGTACACCACATATCGTTCGTTCCACCCTAACCTCTCACGCCTCGGAGCTGCAGTAGTTAGGTCGATTCCTCTCGCATTCTGTGGCGGTTCTTTCTTTTATGGTACAATACGTTAACGTTACATGGTAGTGCAATATTCTTGCACTTCCACAGCATAGGGTCATTCTTACGCACACGGTGTTGAAGAAGCAAACTCCATGAGCTCCCCGCAGACATTCTGGACTCGGATCTTTTCTTATAGCAGCCACTCGGATCAAGGCCTAGCCAGGTCCCTGTCAGGCTGTCAGCAGATGGAATGTTATATTATCGATCCGCGTCCCAAACCTGTGGCTTCTCGGGTGCGACGCCAGTTCCGGGGGGCTTTGTCCAAGGATTCCCCGATGCATGGTAGTGCGATGGGCGGTTTATTATCATCCCACAAAACAGTCGTCTCCTCAACTGCACCGTGGCGCCCAAAGCTCGATATTTGCCGAATAGTAGTGGGCACACTCGAGGCACACTACTAAGGATTAGGATTTAACGTGATGCTGTCCACGTGTTCTGAAGACGGTTTGGACCCGAGGGGCAGTTACTCTTACGGCCTTCGGGCGGGATGCTCCGCGAGGATCTGGCCCTCAGAGCTGCTGTGCCAGATGATAGTACAGTGGTCAATTACTGTACATCCAGTGCTGGGGTCGTGTGAAATACAAGACTCTACGATCATTCCGAAGTTGTCTACGTGTACAAAGCCCCTGCATACGACAGCAAGAGGAACCACCTGTCGAGGAAGTTCACACAGTACATGGCCGGCGGGAAGAAGGTCGGCTGGAGTTGTATAAGGTGTCGCTCATGCATACCTACTGAGCATCTTCTTGGTACGGGGGCCCTTCAACCCCTCTTGAAATATCCTCGATGATGCTTAGGGATTGCGCGGAGAGTCTTTCAAAGTTCCGAGCCGTCCTCTCTCCCAAAGTACCGGGTCAGCACCATCAACATAGAATCTGATACATGAAGCCAGCCCTAGCATTGTGCTGGCGAGCTATCATAGAGGAACAGGAGGGAGATGGTACTCCCAAGTTTTGTGGTTACATGGCCTCTTTCGATATTGCAACTCTGCAAGCCCTGTCGGCACATCACACTCAGCTTTTTGCTATGTAGGAGAGGAAGTGGGCGCGCCGGATTCACGAGACATGGTCAACCAACCGGCAACAACGCGGCCTGCCTGTGCCGCCCACCTTTTCTCTGATCCTTTTGCTCTCTGCTAGCTGCGAACGGGGAGGATCAGCGAGTAATAACAAAGTTGGCACTTAGCTGTGCCGGTCCTACATATGACAAGGGCTCACCCATCCTCCCTTGCCTCCCAAGTCCCTGGGAAGGTTAGTGGGCCGGCGGCGCATTGGCGGTAGATGGGTGGGATGGCCGGAGTCAGCCCCAAATCGGGTAGTTGGTGTGGCAGACCAGTGAACACCCAAGTCCTTGGTTTTCGGACGTCATCTGGAGTTTCCCACGACCCGAGATCGTCCCAGAGCCGAGATTCGACGGTGATGAGGGCGATCATCCTTCTGGCGAGACGTGCACACAACCACTTTGTTGTGCCGTGGCCTGCCATCCGAGTCATGTCTGCTTGGGAGACGAGTTGGTAGATACCTGGATGCCGTTCGCTCTCCGGCTGCCGAATCAGGTGGCTGGCCGGCCAGAAGGGAGTCAAACATGGTGCCCGAAGTCGCAATTGCTTTTTCCGGCACCTTTCCTACCCCCGAACACGGACTTGACAGACCAGGATGGAAGGCTGTCCACCCCAGAAACAGCAGCTTGATGCGACTCTACCATTCCCGAACAGTAGACAAGTCGAACTCAACTAGCACATGCCGGCGCCGGCACTTTGATTAACGTAACCTGACTGTGTGTGTTCAAGTTGCAAAATGATCTTGTTGCATACCACATATCCGTACAGGAAACACTGTTCAATGGCGATGACAACTGTGACAAGGCACTGCCAGTCCATCAATGATGGCAAGCTTCTCGAAGAAAGTCCGGAATTGTACTCGGCTTCCTGCTCGACGAGTGCCACTCTCGAGTCTTGATCAGCTTCATCGAGTCGGAACTTGTGTACTGTACTGTGTGGAAAGTCAACCCCCAAGCTGCCAAGACCGTTCTTGAGTGAAGTTGAGAGGCTTGAAACGGTCGGAAGGCTCATGGAGTGCATTTTCCTCCGCAAGGATGCCTATTGGCCCATCTCTGGCGCCGTTTCGCGGCCGTTGCAAGAAATGTCTCACTTTTTCAGTTTGGCTTTAGCCTTCTCCATCCCCCAGCCCAGCCGTCAAACATGGACCTAAAATCCCCTGCCAAGGGGAGCATTCAGATCGACAATCGCGATCCCATTGACGCTGGCCATCCGACTCCACAAGAATGAATGGCACTTCTTGTATTCGTAGTGTAACATAAACGCATACTATGTACCATCTTCGCACTTCATAGCCCCTGTCAGCTGGCGTCCAGACTGCCTTCGATGGCCTGATTACACTAGTTACATCACACTAATTACGTCTGAATCAATGGATGTAACTGACATAACTAACCCTTCTCGTGTCTAGCGCTGAACGGGAGGCGCCTCCCTAAAGTTCCCTCACGTCCGGGGGCGGTAATGAGCGGTAATGAGCAGGAATGAGCAGGACTACGATGCCGTCCTGGCAGTAGCAGCTGCCGCCCGGTGGACAACCAGCTCTTGCCTCTTTCACCTCAAAATGTTGCAGAGGAAGGTGCATAGGTATCTGGCCCGGTGGAAAACACCACAAAGTCACACGCACGGAGCAGAATCATGGTCTGCTCTCTCAACATAGTCTCTACGATGGACACGTCGATGCATCCAAGACGGGACTGCTGCAGACTCCCCGGGCTTGCAGCGAGCAATGGAACCAAGTCTAAGCATCCTGAGGCAAGGAAGAAAAATGAGCGGACCAAAACGATGGCTCAACTGTCCTGTCTCAAGGAATCATGACGTTCGATGCCCGCTGACTGGCGCCTTCTGTGTGCTTCGTGGCTTGCTGAATCACAGGCTGCTGTAACTGTTGCAGAACGAGCTATGCCCAACGTGCAGCATCGACATCCTGTCAAGATCCCTGTTCTGTGCTTTTTGTCAACCTACCCACGCTATCGTGCATACACTGTAGTGTACGTATGTGGCAATGGTTGGTGATGGGTGTGCCGGCTATCGCAGGCCTTCTTTGCAGGTCTATAGAGGACCATGCAGGAGAGGCTCCAGTTTTCCAGTGCGAGGTAGATCTTGGAGTCCTCGCTGTCGACAACTGGCGTCTAGCATCAACAACCAGCCGCCCCAGCCAGTCAACGAGTCTGCCACCGTGGAGCGGGATACGGATAAGGACGGCAGATCGCCGTGATGTACGGAGTAGATACATAGGTGTATGGTAGCTCACAGATGCAGTCGAGCCATTGACAGTCGCGAATCCAATTACGTAGCAAGGACATTGACGGGGACCCGGCGTCGGGGTTGGCTTCTACTTGGTTCAGCCCTCTCCCGTCAACTTCCCGGCACTCGCTATTCCTCACCGTTATCTTAGGTCCGTTTGGACTCTTAGAAGTGTATCGTACAGTACACTACCATGGCAACTGATTCGAGGAGTTTTGTATTGTACAACAGTCCAGAATTAGACACCGCACTCCGTATCAAAGCTGGACTCGTACAGCACCCAGTGAGGGGCCATCCTTCAGTGCACGAAGAGTAGTGAGAAAACACAGAATGGAGAGCTCAGGTCCAGTGTCACACACCAGGGGATTTCGTTGGGTCTCATGGCAGACATTCGTGGAAGCTTACATTGCGCGGGGGAAAGACACCCTTCAGTTCGTGTCGAGTCATCCGTCGATTCAAAATCCAGACTTCTTTGCAAGTGGTAGTAGGCCTTGTCCAAACCCTGCCATCATCGGGAGCAGAACACACATACGGACAGAGGACATGCTGATCAACGATACCGAAGCCCTCTTGCTTCAGGTTCCTTGCCGATTCCACCTCTAGTTAGCATGACTATGAATTGCACAAACTTTGACCACCATAGAGCAAGCAGCATTCCAGTCACAATGGCCCCAGGGACTTCAGGCAGGTTAAACACAACATGTATACTCCGACAGCGAGCTACCCTAGACAGCCTGAGAAGTACATCCTTTCCCAACACCAAACATCCATAATGCTTGACGTGAAAACACTTGCTGCTTATCCACAGACGAAAGGGTAGCAATGAGGGAACGGCGTGCTCTTCCCTCTGAGCAATCAGGGGACCCCCAAACCCAACACATCCCAGAACAGAACAAAGGGCAGAAAAAGACAGGTCTGAGGCTCAAACGAAGGCCCATGCAGACCAGCAGTCCACCAAACGCCGTATTCCCCATGACAAGATCCTCTTCCCCTATATGACGCCGACCCTAACCCCCTTTCTTGTACATATCTCGACAAAGCAAACAGAGACGGCCGGTAGAAACCCAGCAGTCTTCCCTGAAGAGAACGGAGATTTATGGTATGTCCCACATGCAGCGGTGCCGACGTTAGGCCAAAGGCTCTCAACTCCCGGCCTCCACACCGCGCAGCTCAAATTCCCCCCTCCACCCCTCCCCACCATCCCTTCCTGACTGACAAGACCCAACAGAGAGAAGAAAAAGTAAACCCAACAGTAACGATCGGCCGCAAATCGCCAACGAACCCCATGGGTATCATCCATCCGACACACACACACACGCACCTCTCAACCCTCTAAAAAGAAGAACAAAAGGGAGAAAAGAAAGATCAAGTCCGAACAACCGGCTTCCGCCTGACCAAAAACGGACTAGGCATCTCGTCCCGGTCCGGATCCCAAACAGCCGCCGGTTCCGAGGCGAGCGTGGGCCCCCGGTTGGCCGCCGCCGCATGCTCTCTGAAGGCGCGCACGGGGCTGGGGACGGTCGCGTTGTGGTTATTGTTGTTGCCAGCACACGCATTAAACGCTGTGCTTGTCGTCTCGCTAGGGAACACAGCGCTGAGCGGCCTGCCCCCGGCCCGGGCCTGCTGTAGCTCCACGAGGGTGCGGCCGCGGATGTTGTTCTTGCCTGGCGCGGGCAATGCCTTGTTGAGCATGGGTGGCTGGACGGCGGGTGCTCCTGCAACACCCTGCGCCCCGGGCTGAAGCTGCGGTTGTGATGGCTTGCGGTTGAGGGGTGATGATGATCCCGAGGGTTGATCACTGCCACCGCTGCCGCCGCTGTTTGATTTCAGGTTGGCCGCCGAGGGTATTTTGGTCAACCGGCGGCTGGGACTGTTGCTGCTTCGGTCCTGGAGCGCGCCGCTGCTCCCCACGTGGCGAAGGGTCTGCAAGTCCGGGATGGATGTGGCGGCTGGGATCGTCTTGCCGGTCTGTGGCACGGCCGATTGCTTGGACTGCAGACGGTGGGCGGGCATGGATTTTTGTGCGTGAAGTTGGGGTCGCGCCTTGGATGTAAACGGGTTTTTGCTCGACTTAATCATCCTTGTCGGAGACGGGATGTTAACATCGTCGTCCGACTCGGAGTCGGAGCCCACTGGGCTGTGCGAATCTTCCCATCGATTTACGCCTCCGTTTTGGTTCGCGGCGAAGATATTAGCGGGGTGTAGGACTGGTGGTTTCGTCGCAGCGGTACGGCGGGGGGATAGTGATAGTGAAGCGATGGTCATAGGTGACGGCGAGGCCATCTCAATATCCATGGGCGTTCCAGGGGCCATGGCGAACATGGTCTGCGCGCGTGCGAAAGGAGTTCGGGTGCTTTTCTTAAAAGGGTGCATCGAGGTATCCGGAGACTCGACCGAAAATTCCGAGATGTCTGTGGTTGAAGGAAATTCGCCGTCGGGGCTTGCGCAGCCAATTGAGGACTGCGGGTACTCGGACTTGGAAAGCGATGAGGATGAGGAGAGGTCGTGCCGGTCATTCTCTCGAAGCGCCAGCGCCTTTCTGTGCGCCTGTAGCTCCATCTCCACCCGGGCTTGTACCTCTTGCTCAAACTTCCTCTGGAGCTGCTCGATCTCGAGGGCAACCAAGCGGTCGATTTCAAGCCGGGCCTTCACTTCCCACTCTCTTCGGAGGGCGGCGTCAATCTCCTGCCGCATCGTGATTCGCTCGTTGTCGAGTTCTCGGATCCGCCTGTTCAAGGATTCTTCCTTGGCCTTCAGTGTTTTGCTAAAGTCGACAACCTCCTTCTCCTTTCGCATCAGCCGTACCAGAGGCAGGTTCAGCAAAGCAGCCGTGTCGGGTCTTCTGTCTGGGTTGACGCGTAAACAGTCCTTGATAATGGTGAAAAGCTCGGCCGAGTAGACTGCCGGCAGAGGTGCAATCTTGCCCTCCTTGATCTTTTGGACCAACTGATAGTGAGTCTTGGCATTGAAGGGAGGCTCCCTCGTGCAGAGCTCGTAGATAATGCAGCCCAGCGACCAGATATCGGACTTGAGGGTGTATTTCTCGGCGGCACAGATCTCGGGCGACATGTAAAAGGGTGTGCCGACATATGTCGATGCGAAATCATGGGATTGCATGACTTTGGAAAGTCCAAAGTCGCCGAGTTTGACCGAGTTGTCCTCGCCGAGAAACACTGCGACCGTCAGGTTTGATGGAACCAGAATCGAATCAATGAAAGTAACGTACCATTCTCTGGTTTAAGGTCTCGATGTAAGATTGTCATACCGCCTGTCGGAAGTTTTGGCCTGGCGGTTTTGCCCAGGCCGAGCACGGTCTTACCGACTTCGGGAGGGTCGACGCCGTAGTGGCAGCGATAGAGGGCCGTCACAAGCTGAGCGAAAACGCTCCAGACAAATGACTCCTCGGCATACTGATTCTTGGCTGCCAAGTCGCGAATAACACGACCGAGATCCCCGTTGCCGCAATACTCCATGTACAAGTGCAGGTCCTGTGTTTCCTTCAGATGCTCTCTGTGGTAATAGCCGACAATGTTTGGATGCTTCAGGGTCGACAGGATCTGAAACTCGGCATGGAGTTGTTCGCGCTCCTTTTGCGACATCTTCAGATAGCTAATTTCCTTTCGGCAAAGAATCATGCCATCTGCCTTCCGCCGCACCTTTCGGATGACGCCGAACGAGCCATGGCCTGGATTGAGGATCGAGGTTAGTGTCGATGGAAGTAACAAAAAATTATAAAGGAACCAACTGCAAGCGAACACATACCGATCTTCTCCAGCACCTCGTACTTGTCGCTTTCAGCCATGTCTGCGTGAATCGAAGGTGTCGGACAGCCTCTTCGAAGTGTCAATTGGCGACCCTTTGCTCCATAAGCAAGAAAGGAAAAGTCGTCTGCAAGTAATTGCCCTGCTTCTGTTAGTATCCTTATTTACGCCAGCCGAAAGCTGGATGCGAACTTGAACAAGAGCAAAATCTTTGGTTGATGCGTGCACAGATTCTGCAATGGATGGTGATGGAAGGCGACGAAGCAGACATGAGAGTCAACACACCACTTCGTTGCCTAGGGAACGCTTTTCGATCTTTCAAAGGGGCCCATCAGATTGCAAGGGTACGGATGCCAAGCTCGGAGCGGTCCATCCCCTTGCCGAACCATTCCGACATTGGAGCTCCAACTGTCCTCCTTCGGCTCCACTCACCCAGCTTATTCATCCTCTATGAATTCATCCTCTTGAGTCACGACTCGTTCAGCAAAAGAGAGATGCCGCTATTATCGACTCATCAATTGCCTTTGCACATGGCTCGTGCCCTCCTACTGTGTCTCCGATATCTCCGCAACGCCACCCATGGACTTGTTCGCCCCTTTCTTCCAATGTTAGATGTTGATGCTTCATCAAAAATAGAATAAAATTCATTTACCTTGGGCCGGTCTTGCATTTGCATTGTAGATTTCAGGTTGCACATCAAAGTTCGGAATATATATGAGAGAACAAGAAATATGGTACTTCGCAAGTTTGAGCTCGAATCCAAGCTCAAAGACGACAATCAACTCATCCGCAGCGGCGTTCTTCGAAACGAGCATCCTCTCGATACTTCTCAGGAATTTCACGAGTTTCTGCAGGCATGTCGCCGGGGCGATCTCAAGCGCTGTCAGGAGCTGATTTCGGCCGGTGTCAACATCAACGCCAAAGACAGCTACGATTATACTCCGCTCATAGTTGTGAGTTTCTAGGTGGATGCTGATCCCTAAAACTGTATCTAATTATTGTCGGGCGCTGACTGTGATAGGCTAGTCTCTGTGGCCACTATGAATTAGTTGAACTGCTCTTAGAATCAGGTGTGTCAAGGTCTGGATCAGGGGTTCAAACTACCAACATTCGGATGCTGACCATCACTCAGGGGCTCTGGCGGACCCCGACTCGTTTGAGCGGGAACGGGCTGTTTACAATGCGCTCAACAACAAGATCAGGAATTTGCTCTTGTCTTACGACTACTCAAAGGCAGCAGATCCGCTGCAGCCATGGTCTTCCCACATCTCATCCCTACTAGTCCGGGACACACCTGTGACGTCCGATATCACTCTCTCGGCCGCACAGGAGGATTTCCGCCTACACAAGTTCCTGCTCTCTGCCAGGTCGCCTTATTTCAACCGCAAGTTTGCCGATGCCCCTGAGACTGTCTTGTACAAGCTTTCTCATGCAATACCTGTTGAGGCCTTCCGTGTCGTCATACGCTATCTGTATTTAGGCGACCTTCCGCGCGACCTTGTCGGCCCTCAGAGCACCGTGTCCGAGGAAGAAGTGTTCAAGGGCATCGACAAGCTGTGCAAGCAGCTTGAGCTAGAAAAGCTGTGGGAGGCTGTGCTGTCCATCAACGACCGCCGATTAGCGCGCCAGCGCCAACAGGACGAAGTCCAGCGTGCCCAAGCCCAGGTTGAGGCCTTCTTTCAAAACACGGTTCTTAAGCACAAGATGGTCGTCGACACCAGCAAGGTAGACAATGTCAAATGGCCGCACCACAACGCTATTTTCGCCAACTGTATATTGCGAGCGGACGAGCCATCAGAAGACGACCAAGGAGAGGATTCTTCTCTCGCTCATGAGAACAGTTCCAACGCGAGCGGAATCCCAATCGGCCCAGCAGAAATCACCCTGCGGCAGCATGAGAAACATGACAACAACACGATCCCGACCCGCCGCCCACGCCGCTCGGTCCTCTTCCCAGCCCACAAAGCCTTTCTGATCCGGAGCCCTTACTTTGAGACCATGTTCTCATCCGACTTCCTCGAAGCCCACGATGCCGAACACCTACACATCATCAAAGTGGACTGCACGCCCGAGGTGCTCGAAATCATCCTCCGGTTCCTCTACACCGAAAAAGCAGACTGCCCGCTCGAGCACGCCCTTGACCTCCTCTACGCCTCCGACATGCTTTTACTCGACAAGCTCAAGACCAAAGCCGCCGTCGCCATCTCGACCCTGGGCAGCGGCACCTCCAACGCCTTGGTCGACCGCACCCACAACAGCTACATCGATTCGGACAGCAACCAACTCGCATCTGGCCAGGCACTACCACCGGCAGAAGGGGACGGAATGGTAGAAGTAGAGCCCATCAACGTCTACGACGTGATCCACGCGGCCTGGGACCTCAAGGTGCAGCGGCTCGAGGAATTTGCCGCGCGCTACCTGGCGAGCAGGCTCGAGGACTACATTGACGAGCCCGAGTTTGCCGAGCTGATTCGCGAGAGTGCAGCAAGGTTGAAGGAGCGGCAGGAGACAGACACCATTGAGCTGCTGGACGATATACGGTACTATCTGTCGGAGCGGTTCAGGTTGCGGTTTGAAGGAGAGGGTTTGGAGGAGATGTTGGATGAGGATCTTGGCAAGGAGGAAGAGGAGGTTAACGGGCAAGGGGAAGGTCAACAAGAAGAGAAGCGGTTAGCTGAGAGGGAAGGGGTCAAAGAAAGCGGTGGAGAAGGGGGCCTGAGAGGTGTCAGGACGCTGGACGGAGAGGTTGTTGAGGACGAGTTTGCCTCGGATGCAGTCAACTATCAGATCCTGCTAGGCAAGATCGACAAGATGCTGGAACGTCTGAACTTGGAAGCATGAGCGGAAGGTGGTGGGTATCAGCATGAAATGACATAGAATTGGATAACTTGCAACTCGCTGTCGTGACGTATTTACGTCTTGATTGATGATGAAAATCCAGAAGCCATTGCTACTAAAGGAGATGCTGCCACCCAGAACAATGCACATGCTAGTTTCAAATCATATCATGACGACTCCCTCCGGCGCTGAACGGCTTACAGCAGAACCTCCGTCCTCCCTCGACAGTTGCCGATAGTTGAAATAACCAACCGGCGACATCGTGACGCACCCCTTCCGCATCGAATGAGCGTCTTACCCACTCACCGCCGCTACGGACTAGGGTTGCCTCCCCGTAGTCATGAAACCACCACCTTTCGCCCGCTTCAGCTCGAAGCCAGATTCCTCCAGTGGAAGTCGCTGCGCATCCACGGCCCCAAGGAGATACCTCCTGTGCCATGGGCCGACAAACATGCCTTCTGGGTCGACCTCGTCCCTCACCTTGCAGAACTGCACCCAGTCATTCCCATACCACTTTGCAAATTCCTCCGGCGTGACAGTAAACGCCTTTGCCCAGTGTGGCTTGCCGCCGAGGTCCCTCATGAGCCACTCAAACGCCTGGTAATACCTTTCGGTAGCCTCGTATGTCGGGTCCTTGAAGTACGGCCTGTACATGGTCGCATTGAGATACAGCGCGGGACCGTCGTCGGGCGTGATATCCAGGAACGGCCGGTTACCCTTGGCGGCGCTGGAATTGACGGTCGTGTCGCTCACGCGGACCTCGACGGGGCTGTGGACCCACAGGCCCTCGGCGCTGAACGGGATGCGGTGGTCGACATAGCCCGGGTCGCCGGGCTGCAGCCTGTTGAGCCAGGCTCCGAGACGTTGTAGTGCCTCCGGACCCTTGTGCAAGGGGATGGCCCACTCGTTGACAAACTGGCTGTAGAGGCAGTTCAGCAAGAAGGCCTTGTGGCTCGGCTGTACCCCGCTGACGCGGGTGCTCTCCCCGTTGCCGAAACCATACTGTAGCCCGAAAACGAACCACTCGACCCAGGGCGTTATCCTGGGGAACCACCTCGCCAACGCCAGCAGATTCTGGTACACCACGTACCCCAGCCGGCTATCCTGAAAGCTCGTGGGCGGCTCATAATGCTTCACCCTCCCCTCCTCCAAATCCTTCCTGTCCACCGCGTCCGCCTTCCACACTACCGCCCGCCTCATATAAGGGAACCACCACACCCTCACAAACTCGGCCTGCCGCCACAACTCCCCCTCCCACGTGGCAAACAGCCTCTGGTCCATGTCGATCGTCTGACTCCAGGCCAGCGAGAACGCCGGCACCGCCTTGAACGTCACCTCAGTGATGATGCCCAGCGCGCCAAGCGACAGCAGAGCGGCACGGAACAGCTCGGGCCTTTCCTGGGGGGAGCAACTCCTCGTCTTGCCATCAGCCATGGTGACCTTTAAGGCAAGGACGCTCTCACTGATGAGGCCGTGGCGCAGGCTGCTACCATGTGTGCCCGTGCTGATGGCGCCGGCGATGCTCTGCTCGTTGATGCTTCCCAAGCTGGGCATGGCCAGCCCCGCCGCGTCGAGCGCGGCCGTGAGCTGGTGCAGACGGATGCCCGACTGCAGCACGCAGATACCCGTTTCCGGGTCGAGCGACAGCACGCGGTCGAAGCGGTCCAGGTTGACCATCCACCCGGACGAGGTGCACGTTAGGTCCGAAGGGGAGTGGCCGGAGCCGACGGTAACCAGGCGGCGGCGGCAGCGGCGCGCCAAGGTCACGGTAAGCTCAATCTCGGCGAGCGACTCGGGCTGGATGAGCAGCTCGGGCAGGCAGGAATAGGTGCGCGCCCAGGTCCGGTGCGTGTAGGCGGTGCGCGCCCGGAAGGCGACGCCGTGTTCTTCTGATGAGGCGAGGATCAGGTCCCGCACCTCCGGCGGGAGGGTGGAGAGGTCCGAGTGAGATGTCATCTTATCAGGACGGCATCAGATCGAGGATTTATTTTTCAACTCAGTATGAGAGAAATTTGGGGGAAGGACAAGTGGCGGCGAGATGGGTTGTGCAACTCCTTGAGTCAAACCCCCGGTAAAGAAGGGCTAACTAGGGAATGGAATGCGTGCTGAGCTGAGATGGATGCTGCTTGTATGCTCCTCGAGACCAGCTACCGACAACTCCGTGTCTTCCTCAACTGTTCAATGCCACTTGTACGAAGTGGAGGAGGGATGGCGTACAAGCGACGGTTGCTGATAAATGCGCGAACTCGGGTTGTGATTGGCCGCCTTATTGTAATGGCCCGCTTTTCACATTGTTTCCACTCCTTCTCCTGTCTCCGTCGACGAAGACAGCACCTCCCCTCATTGAAAGCCAAAGTGTCTCACTCGCTGCTATACGAAGTCAACTTATTGGGTCACTGGCGCGTTTATTTCCGTCCAAAAGCGCATTTAGCGGGGTCGGTAATCGGATGAGTTGTCATCGCTTGTGGGACCTCCATCCGCCTTCATTCACCTCACCGCACCAATCCACTTAGGAAAGGGGGTTTATTGACCTCGGCGAAGCCTTAATCATGACCTGGGATGGTTACCCGGACCGTTATTGCCCGTCGGTGTCTGGTTGTACTGGAACCCAGGCAAGGTTATGGACAGTCTTTACCCTACCCCCCGGACCAGCCTATCGAGCAAGTTCTCCTGGACAACGTCCCCTTCAGTAAGTCCTTGATCCCGGTGCGGCTCTGCTTGTTGAACTCAAATAACCTACCTGTGAGTCTCTCGTTAGACCCCGAAGTGTCTCTGGTTAGACCGGTGTCTTCAGGGGCAGAAAAAAGGGAAGGGAGAAGATTCCCTGTTTCAACCTCAGGCAATGTCTTTCCCCAGATCATCCAGACTATTGCTTGGACATCTGTGCCCGGGGCCCATGGAGACAGATAGTAGAGCCGTGTTTCCTTGTGTATGACAATGGCTGTCCTCATGTTTCCAATGCTGGGTGAGTGGTGGAAAATTGACTTCGAACGGTAGGGGTCTCCGAGTCTTGTCGCTTTGATGGTATATTCGAGCTGAGGCTGGACGCTGGCATGGGTGTTTAACTCGGTTTGCACTTTCAATCATGACATCCGTTTTCCCTGCAATTGTGCTTGGTTGGTGGCTGCCCAGGAAGGAGCGCTCTCTCTTGGGGTGCGACTTCCTAGCGGGGACCAACCTCTGACATCAGATGGAAGGCTTGGGACTGCCTTGATTAATTCAAGAATTCTCGTCAAGGAGTCCACTCCCTCTTTCCTTCTTCCCTTCACTCTCACCTTATCTCCTCTTAGCGTGGCCTGGCCTGTCACCTCGACACTATCACGCTCGGGGCTTTGACGCGTCAGGGCGCGTCACGTCCAGAACTCGACCGCAACAATTTCACCAGACCCTATTCCAATATTTTACTCAATACCAGACTTATCATTCTTGAATTTTCAACGCTATTTTGCCCATCGTGGGGCATCCTCATATTTGGCATATTTTCAGGGGTTCGGGAGCATCCGGTATTAAGGAGTCATCTGCGTGGGCGCCGCCATGTTCTACAGTCACGAAAGTAGGCTCTTTTTATCTTACGCCGGACACAGAGGCATGACAGGAATGCTAACGATATGTTTTAGTTCTTACGAAACGGGAGTATGGCGTTACAACGGTGTGGTAGGTAGCTGTCATCGCTCGTGTATGATTCGGAATAGCCTCATACGTATCTAGGCTCGTGTCCACAATCGGCCTTCGGTCCACCAACCGAAAGATATCGCGGAAGGACATCCAAGCCGTGAACGTGAAGCAGGCATGCGAGACCATCCTCAAGCCTGCGGCGCCCATCGCCTTGCGTCTCCAAGGCACCCTGCTCTATGGGGTCTCGCGAGTGTATTCAGAGCAGTGCCGCTATGTGCTCACCGACGCGGAAAGAGTCCAGGCCCAGATGAGGGCATTCCACAACGCGCTGGGCTGCAGTGATAAGGCCCTTGATCCGCATGCGGGAAAATCCAGGTACGAATTGCATTGGCAATTCCCTTGCTGGCATTGAACCTGCTGGCTAACTTCATCGAAGACGCAAGGAACTCATCCTGGAAGATGATCCAGAGTTCGAACTCAGAATCGACCTTCCAACCTTACAACTTGACGATGACGGCAACCTAGTCGTACATCAACAGGGCAGTCAGAATTCACGCAAGACCTCGTCTCAACTTTCTCCGCCACAGCTCGATGACTCTTTCTCCAGCTCAAATCGTTCTGTTCTCGGTGGTTTCAATTTCTCGCAAGCATCTTTTGGCGAAAACCCTTTGGCGGAAGGAGCTTTTAGGGTAGGCACGATGACGCCTAGCAAGGCTGGCGACGAACTGCTGCCGTTTGGCGACGAGGAGCGGGAACTTGAGGCATTCGACGACTGGGGCATCGAGATTGACGCAGACGGTAACGTCATTCCGGCTGCTGAAGAGCCTCAGCTGCCTCGGCTTCCGCGTCCAGAACCCGCCGGAGATGCACCTATCTTACAACAAGAGGAGTTTTTGCCTTTCGATGCCGAAGGTGATGTCCCGATGAGCGGTGGCACCTACTCCATGGCCTCTGACCCGCCAGTTTTCATCCAACAAATCCAGCAGCAGCAGCAAGAACGGGAGAGGGAACCTGAGATAGAGCGAGAAGAAGAGGAATTCGCCATGGAAGATGAAGCGGTCTTTACCCAGGCTTCAGAGCGCGCTAGGCGCCGTCGGCGTCGTGCGGTCGTAGCACCTGACGACCAGACCAGGGTTTCCCGTCATGAACTCAAATCATGGTCCACGAATTATCTTGCCAATTCAGAGCAGGCCATCCAGCGGCGCCGTGCAACCACCGCTGCTGAAGCACGAAGAAATGCCTTCAACCTGGTTTTTGGCCGCGGCATCGCCGGCGTTGGCCTTCCCACTGGTGTGCCCGGACTTTCCCACCCGCTTTCGGTCCAATTTGCCCACCAGGGGCTACAAGCCCGGCTGCTAGGCATTTTCATTGACCAACCCGATGGCCAAGAGACGCGCCCACGCAGCCGTCGCCGCTCAGCCCTAGAAGCCCTCGAACTCGACGAGGAGGACGCAGAGCGTCGCGTCCGGCCTCGTCTAAGCAATGGACCCGACGATCAAAACCAGGACCAGCATCACGTTCAGTCCGATGACGCCCATCTTCTCCTTGTTGACGATGAGGCCAATCTTCCCCCTGTGGAAGTCGGCAGACGTGCGGGTTCTTCCAACCACGACATTTTGTCCGATCTACCCTGGAATCGCGGTTCTTCCCAGCTGGCCCCAAGCTCTTCAGTCAGGGGCGGCAGCAAGCCGCCCAGCAGGCGCGTCAGCGCCAGCCCACTCCATGGCCGAGGTAGCCATATTAATCCCATCGGGCCAGAACTCGAGATAGAGCGCTTCAGCGACCAGCCCGCCATCTTCGGCTCAGACGACGGTAACTTCGCGCTCCTCCATTCCGCGCAGGGCTTTTCTTCCGACCCTGTCCTGCCGCCCCACGAAGAGAGCCAGACGACCTCACAGATGATGCGGCGCGCCCTGGACCTCGAGGGACGCAACTTCCTGGGCTTCATCGAGGACGTTGCGCGGGCGAAAGGTTACCTTCTAGAAGACGACAACGATGACAGGCAGTGGGTCGATTTCGAGCATCTCTTTGAGCCGGGCGACCAGCAGCGCGAGACGGTTGCACAGGCGTTTTATCATGTCCTTTCTCTCGCCACGAAGAACATGATCAAGGTCCAGCAGGACGGTCATAATACTAACGAGGCGTTTGGGACTATCCGGCTCGGGGTTCAGTTGCCTGAGGCGGGTAGGGCTGGTGAAGGTATGGAGGGTATGCCCGGTCATGATGATAACTAGAACGAGCGTGCCGGTCGTTAGCCCAGATGACCGTTGCTTGTTCTTCAGCAAGGGTTGTTGATATAGCATTGCGGGGTTTTGCGGCGGACTTGCAGCAAGAAAATATGAATGGTACAACCCCAAACTCAACGGGAGTTGAAGGATATGAGAGATGAACACGTCATGGTTCCTTCTGGCGACTATGAGCAGTCGGCGGCGATTGAATGACCCTGGGTCCTTTCGTTAACCTTGGGTGGCCGGTTAGGTTGGACTCTTTGATGACTTGGAGTGCCTGATGATGCATGGGATCAGACGACACGAGGAGATCCAGACACAGGTACACGAGAGCTCATATCGGAGGCTTCTGGCGTTGACACTGATTTATACGGCTTTGTTCTCAGATCTCGGATTCATTTGCTGCATCAGGGAACGGCTTAGGGAGTTTCGTGGGTAGTGGAAGACAGGTTCGAGAATTCAAGAGTCGAACCGGATGGTCGAGGATATGGAAACATTCTTGATTGCTAGCCAGCAAGGATGGCACATTAACCCTATAGAAACAATCGACTGGACTTAAGATACAATCAAATAGTATTGCATTTCATTGAACAGCGGCCTGAAGCCAATCTGGTGGTATCGCGAAAAAATTAAAACCAAGCCTTACCATTTGTCCGGATTACTCGTATACATCATCATCATCCATTGCGCCCTCTCGGTCGGCGAAACTCATGTAGTCTGACTCGGCGGCTGCATCGCCCATTATCCTTTTCCAGGCCTGCTGGACAGGTTCCAGGACGGAGTCGTCAAAGGAGAGGGAGAATGAAGGACTAGGAAAAGTGATGACCGGGCCTTCTGGTTGAAAGCTTCCCGAGCCTGCAAGTTGTTCATAACGGATCTGGATCAGGATCTGGGCGGGTTGGCCTTCCCCGGCGGTCCCAACAAAGGCTTCTAGTGCCTCTTCTAGGAGTTGTCTGGAATCCGGAGTCGAGAGCGTAGTAAGATAGAGAACATCTAGCGATCTGCGGTCAGCATTTGCTCCGATTCAGCGGAAGCAACGAAAGCGGGTTATGTAAGAGAGTACATCAGAATGTCAGAGGTAGTTTACGTCAGTGCCGTAGCTCAGACAATGTAGATAAGTATTCATAATGGTGATCATCAGGGTACTCGAAATGCATGAAGAGATTCATGAAGAACTTACTCTGACCGACGGGGCATTCACCGGTATCGCTGGAGTGAACAGACAGATAAACCGGGTATTCAGACGCCTTACCAGCTGGGGTTGAGAGTGAACCAGCGGGGAAAGCGACGACTGCTACCGCAGGACGCGATGCTCCCTCGACAACGACCTCGAACATTGAGGTCAGCGGCGAGCCTACTACTGCCACCAGCCTACTGATGCCCGTTTGCTCGCTCGGGTTGTCGTCGGCGCGTACCAGGATCCGGGTCTTGACAGTATCGCCACTTGATAGTTCGAGTTTGACCTCATCCCCGGCGGTCTCCACTGCCTGAACACCGGCTCCAAGCATGTACACAGCTCCGCCGACTGCAGCAGCTCGACACGATACCTGAGCAACCTCGGAGAGGCCTCCCCACTTGGGGTAGATAGCCGCGAACCCTGGTCCATAGACGCCCATCGACGAGAGATGGCGACGGATGACAGCCAGCCCGTCTCTGGTGGTAATTTTGCCATTCAGCGAAAGCGTCAGTGTCACAATGTACGTCTGCAACTCGGCGTCCATCTTGAACTCTTGCTGCAGGAACTCGGTAAGCGGGGCCTCGGCATGCGACTGCCACAATTCCAGCTGCGGCGGGTTCTGGTAGTCCAGGACGAACTTGAGGAACTTCATAAGCCCTCGCTTCGCTTTGCTTGAAATTGTGGTTGCTGCGAAGACATCTTCGCGAGTAGATGGAATGCGAATCAAGGCAGGCTGTTGGGCGGAATCCTGGGGGAGCCTGAAAATGAAGAAGGATCCCACGGCGAGGAACTCGACTTGGCGGTAGGCACGGGACGAGACCAACTGTGAGAGCAAGGCCGAGCGGGCATGAATCAAGGTTGGAGCCATCGCCAAGGAGTAGGAGCGGGAGGACAAGCCGGCAGCACTCTCATGCCTGGCGACGGACGCAGACCTGAAGAGGCCCGCATCCTTTGCGGATACCTCGTTGGCCCACGACTCGGCATCCTGCAGACTGAAAGCCGCCTCGGCGCCACCGTAGAAGTGGTTTGGGTCTACATGCAGAATCTTCTTGCCAGACCGCGAGAGGGCTCTTCAGGAAGAAGTGAGACTAAGTCAGTCAGCCGGGTAGACCAAGGTGTTTAGGCGGTTATGCCGCGACTCACAAAGCAAGCAATGACTGTTGCAGGCCAGTGCCGCAGATGACGACATCCCAGGAGGTGTCGCTGACAGATTCCATATCGTCATAAGCACTGGGGACAGCACTAGGGTAGAGACGGTCTGGAGTTGCTGACTTTTGAGAGATGTTTGGAAAATGGCTAGCAGACGAAAGGCGTCGTAGGCAGCAGAAATTTGAACGAAGTTGAAGTTGCGAGGTGGAACCAGCATTCGGCAGATTTTTGGTCCGGAATGACCAACAACGCACGGACCCTCAGTTCTGTCAGCTGGAGGCAGGAAAAGGAGTGGTCAGCGCTTTTTGAGTTCGAAATTTCTCTTTCTCACGATCACCACTCGGCAAACCACGCATCGCTGCATCCTCAACGGCATTGCGAACGGGAGAGGGCCTTTCATTAGGCCCTCATAAGCTGGGTGGCAGATAGACTCTGTCTTCCTGTATCTACCGCCCTGGAATTTACCTGTAAGGGCGGTTCGAAAGGTTTGACACATTTATTCGGCCGGACCGAGGCCCATTGTCTGTGTCTGTGTGCACTGTAATGGAACGGCGTTTGCGCTATCTCCTCTACCCGCCCCTCTCTTCCGCTCCCCTCCTAGCGATTGCATCTCCATTGATATCCCGCCAACCTCTCTTCTCACGGATCGTGTAAATAAGAGGACAGGGCAGATCCTCTTAGTCTTGCCTCAAGAATGAAGCAGTTGAGTCCCAGAAAGCTCCGTGCCTTATAAATCTCAAGCGCCTGCTCCCAGAGCTTCGTGACGGTAGCCTGAGAAAAGCATCGTCGCCAAGAACTATCCTGGGATCGTACGGCTAAAGCCGGGACCAGCATGCTGCGTCGTGACAACCACAACCAAGGGTGCCACGCCCTTGAGATAACCTCTTGTCGGACACAGGCTGGGGCTTCGTAGACCGTCCATTGGGTACAGACTTTTACAGATGATTGTTCTTCCGTCCAGGAGCTCGATGGCCGTCACCTCATCGCCTCCTTGACCTCCCTCCATCTCCCCTCCGCAACGCCTGCAAAGGCCCGTATCAGCTCCCTCCCGAGAACCGTTCCGCCCTGCTTCTCCAGGCTCTTCACCTTGGCCTCTCCGTCGCTACAATCCACCACCATCGTAATCACCTCCTTGCACAGACTCTCCTCCAGCCGATCTGGATCCAACAACAGCCAATGCCTCCCCTCGCCCGGCTCGCCGTGCTCCTTCTCCAGAAAGACAGCCGCGCTGCACGCCACCGGCAAGCCCCTTACATCCAACTTTTTCGTCTCGGTCCGCGAGCAAACCACCATTTCCCGGTCCGGATCCCACCTCGCCGCCGGCAATTTCGTATCCTTCAACGCGGCCACGACCGCCGCCCACGCCGCGTCAAACGGGTTCCCGTCGAATGATATAAACAATAAGTCGATGTACAACACCCAGTACGCGACCAATTGTTGCTCCCTCGCCTCTTCATCTTCCCCAGAACCCTCCACCCCTTCCATTCTGCCTCCTTGATCTTGCTCCCCCTCCGCAGCAGCAGCGGGAGGCATATACCACACCCTCAAATCCTCAGCCCTCACCAACCCCGTGGCATGCAAGAGCGAGTACACCCTCGTAGACAGCGTCTGCGCCAGCGGGGTGGGCGGGACGCCGGGGAGGAACTGCGGGGCGGAGCCCGTGGCGAGCTCGATGTTGGGCACGAGCAGGTCGTACTCTTTGAGCTCCCTCCTGCCCGCGGCGGAACTGCCGTCTTGTTCTTGTTCTTGTTCTTGTTGTTGTTGTTGTGAAGAAGGCGGCCGGAACTGGGGGATCTGCCCTACGGGGAGGATCTCGCCCCGCACGCCGCAGATGACGGTCGTGTCGCCCGTGCGCACCAGCGCGCTGCCGTGCGCGTGCGACAGCGACGACACATTGATCTGCACGGGACGGGCCTCGCGCGGCGTGCGGCCGTTTGTGCGCGTCGCAGGCTGCCCATCCGCGGGGGAGAGGTTGCGCAGGAGGTATGGGTGCGGGGAGAGTTTGGCGAAGACTGGCCGGCTGAAGGTCAGTGACGCCGAGGTGGTGGCGGTGGTGCTCTCGGGCTCGGCCATGATTCCGTTGCCGGGCCGGTAGATGTGCGCTTGAGGTTTTCTTCTTTTGTTTTTGGGGATGCTCCAAAGCGTTGCCCTGGTAGCTACCAATGCAGATCGATGGTTGGCAGGTTGACTGTCTGATTGGAGTGCAGCCTTTGGAGCTCGGGAATTTTTGTTCCCTCCAACAGTTCAGCCTTGCAGATGGTGGGGTGTTGCAGCGTGTTTGAGCAGGCCAATAGGGCCGGTTCAGTGGGCTTCCAGTGGGTGTGCACTGTGCAGGAGCTTGAGCCGCCCCCTGTCGTCGAAACTCCGTTCCATCCTCACAACACTTGCAGCGAATCAATGCTTGTGGACGGGTTGTACTTCGTAACAACATTGATGGCAATCCAAAGCTGAGAGGAGTGGCGAACTGTGATAGTTTGCATACCTACCTACATATGCACCATCGAAGCCCGAGATCTCGTGCAATTTATTCTCAACACTTCAGTTCCATCCATGTGATCTAGACCCGGGAAACCCACCAGCAGAAACAGACGCATAACCCTAACCCAGCTTTGGTGTTATGAAGGTCTGAGAGCCACCTACCTAGAGCTAGGTCGACTCGCAACCCCAGGTTTCAGTGTCTTTTCCTACTCACAAACAGTCCTCTAGCCGAGAGGAACCTCAACACATCCTCCTGTGCTGCAATCCATCTCCATCATGTCGAGGCTTTTCCGCAGCCAACGTTCTCGGCCGCTGCCCTCTCAAGACCACCACTCTGCTTACTTGTCACTTCTGGAACCTCCTGCTTCGACACAACAACAGCCCAGCAGCGGACGAGCATGGCACAGACCGTCACCCTCCGACCATCTCTCAAGGCCATGGCTGACCGCGGCCGAAAGCCGGAGATCTTCAACCGGAGAACGGGTGCCGACCCGGAAGCTGGTCAAGGATATGAACGGGTCAGGTCGGCCGTCCTTCTCGCTTGAGCTCTCCGATACCGATGCCGAGAAGGAGAAGAGTATCGTGAGGCGGCAAATTGCTAAGCTGAAGGAGCTCTATCGGAGAGAGAAGTGATGGGGGTTACCCCTAACTCCTACCTAGAGCCGTAAGTGGGGGTTGACACTACCCCGCCGGGTCTACAAGGGTCTCGAACTCCTGCCTGGACGATTTCCAGTCGGTTTCGCTGGAGAGAGTCCTCGCCCTGTCGGTGAATACCCGATATGATCATCTGGCAATGTTCACGCGAATCGAACGGCGAGCTCCCTGGCAATGACCTCTTTCTCGACATCAAAACCACATCCCCGCGGCCGAGCGGGCCGAGAGTGGTATTTGGCCAAGACTTTTGCCGAGACGGGCCCGCTTCTCCGTCCCGGTGCTGCAATTGATGCCGAGGTTCGGCGATCATCCCCGCCGTCCTCGCCATTTTACAACCCCCTTCAGCGGTTGTGCTTCGCGATCTCTCCCACCAGTTACCCGCCCAATTCACCTACCTAGCTCAAATCAATGCCATCTTCGACATTGAGTCTCCGCCCAAACCTGTCCGGGGTCGGCTTTTACATAACGCTCGGAGCCGCGGCTTTCTCGGCCGGACTCATCGCTGCCCACTTCTTACGACAACCCTCTCGGAGAGCGCAATGCATCAAATCTCCGCGCAAGACCCATCCTTCGATCCTATCAAACGCCGAAATTGCCGCGCTTCCTTACCCGCCCGATGTGTTTCCCGGCGGCCGTGACGTTGAGACTCCCTACGGATGCATCAAGGTATTCGAATGGGGCCCCGAGGATGGCGAGAAAGTCCTCCTGCTGCACGGTATTAGCACCCCGTGTCTGGCGCTGGGGACCTTGGCCGAAGCACTCGTGAGCAAGGGATACAGGGTAATGCTCTTTGATCTCTTCGGGCGAGGGTATTCCGACACGCCCGTGGACGTTCCCTACGACATGCGCCTCTACACGACGCAAATCCTCCTCGCCCTGGCATCCTCACGCCTGTCGTGGACTGGCGCCGACGGGTTCCACTTGGTCGGTTACTCGCTAGGGGGCGCCCTCGCGGTGCCTTTTGCGCGCTATTTCCCGCACATGGTCCGGTCTCTGGTCGTCGTGGCCGGCGGTGGGCTGATTCGATCCGAGCATGTGAGCTGGAAGACCAGGCTGTTGTATTCGACCGGCTTCTTGCCAGATCGGGTCCTCCAGTCGCTGGTTCGGAGGCGTCTTTCGCCCACCAAGCAGGATGGAGACGCAGGAGTTAGTGAGACGAAAATGGCTAGTGAGGTGGTTGATAGCAGCAGCACTAAGAAGAAGAAGAAGCACAAAGACAGTGATGCTAGCGGTGGGGAAGGCTTTGATAATGCGGTTTTGCTGGCGCGCAGGCCGGGTCATACGGTTTCTTCGGTTATGGCCTGGCAGTTGAGGCATCACGAAGGGTTTATCCCTGCCTTTGTGAGCAGCATACGGTATGCGCCTATCTACGATCAGAAGGAGGAGTGGTCCGCCCTGGGACAATTGCTCGCCGAGAGAAGGGAACGGGTCGGTTGGGAGGATGCGACGGACGACTTGCCGGGCTTGCGGGGAGGCAAGATACTTTTTGTCTTAGGGGCGACGGATCCCGTAATTGTCAAGGAGGAGCTCATACATGATGCCACGGCGGTTCTGGGTGAGGACGGGTTTGAGGCGGTAGTGCTAGACTGCGGCCACGAATTGGTCATGAGCAAGGGGAGCGAGGTGGCCGATGTTGTGGCTGGTTTTTGGAGACGCTTGTGATCGAACACAAGGGCCCTTTGTTGCATTAGAAGGTAGTTGTATTTACATATCATGCATAGCGGGCGGAGCATTTACATACAAATAGAGAGTATACTGCACCTGCTAACAATGCTCGTTCTCCTTGGCCTCCAGGACGTTCCCATCATGCCCACCTCTCTCGAGATCAGCTCAGCTACTAACCATTGAGGAGGCTCTGTACTTATTTCGGCTGTCAAGACTTCAGAGAGCTTTCATCGATGGAGTATGCCTCATCCAGATGCCCCTGCATGATGCTTCTCCTTGGCCCGCACTACTATAGACACCACAGCCGGCCCAACTGAATGTTCACAGCTTATTTTTGCTTCATTGCGGCAAGCGCTATGCCTCGTTCTTAACAAGTTGTGTAACAGCCTCCTCAATCTCCTTGTCCGAGAGACCTGCAGCTCAACAATTAGCTCTACTCCATGCTGAGCCTTCCCTGTCGGGTTCTCCATACCTTCTAATGTCTTGCTTTTCTCCCGGCCATACTCTACCACAGTTGTCAGTTCACTCGCGCTCGGAAGTCACCGAGAGAAGAAAGCGCTTGCTGACCGTATCTCGCGTAAACTCTTGGGAGAGTGCCCTGGGCTTCCCGCAGCATGATCGGTATCGTCGGGTTGTTCTTCTTCATGATAGGATACGCTCGTGTGAGAAAAGACCTGCGCGACAATGCTCCGTCAGTCTCGACGTCAAAATTGGCAATGGCATTGGTCATTGGCATTTGAGCGCACCGCGTCGCTGAGCTGTGCTCTGCCGTCTGGCAAAACAGGAACCGGAGCTCCTTCAGGCCCTTGGCAAAAGCATATCTGCCCGACATTTTCGATTGGCTTTGCTATCGATCAGTGTCCGGCAGGGTTGGTTGCTCAATTGGTCGTTGACGACGTCGCTTTGACCGGGCCAAGGCTGGATCCAGCGATAGGGAGGAATGTGCTGAGGCTTAAGAAGTGGTGTTGAGGCTGATCAAGACGAGGCTGGAGCTGCACCAGTGGGCTTGGCACAATGACGCACGGACCAGAATACTTATCTCCGGGTTCCCCAACAAACTGGCGGTTAACCCAAACTGGCCCACATAACCTGCTGTCGTGTGTCCGAGCGTCATCATCATCGGGCGTACGGTGCTCTTTGGCGAGGAATTGCAGAATTTCCATTCCGCGTGCTCGGTGACAACGTCGAGACGTACAGTCCTCTCCACTCATTGTACGTATCGCATAACCTCTGGCTAGCCTTCTGACTAACATGCGCTCGTTTTAGCCTATTTCACTGGTTCCAACTATCCAAGGAAATTGAGGCCTGTCCGACGACCGGAGTACCCAAAAGGCAAACTTGATCACGAACGCCGAATTCCACACCCGCCCAGGTCCGGCCGACCAGCATACCGCAACAGCTTTCCTAGACCTGTCCGGCGGAACATCGGCATAGTCATATTGGAACCGCGACGCCTTAAACGCCCAGAAAGAGATTCAAAACCAGCCATGTCACCAACAAGCACCTTCTTCCGGGCTGCCCGGACTGCCCGGCCAGCCTTCCGGGCCAGCCAATTCTTCCGCCCGAAGCAAACCCGCTTCCAGAGCACGACGGCGGGCGGCGAGAGCGAATCATTTGCCAAGCGCATGTGGAACAGCCCCGTAGGCCTCAAGACGGTGCACTTCTGGTACTTATCCCGATACCCGCCGTCTGTACATCGCAAACTGGCACGCATGCTAACTGCAATCCGTCCGTATGCAGGGCGCCCGTGATGAAGTGGGCCCTCGTCATAGCGGGCATCTCAGACTTTGCGCGTCCCGCCGAGAAACTCTCGCTGACGCAGAACGCGGCGCTCACGGCTACCGGCTTGATCTGGACAAGGTGGTGTCTGATTATCAAGCCCAAGAACTATCTGTACGTTTAACAAGAATTCCTATTTTTTATTCGTTCCAGAGAGAGACGGGGCTGACAAAGTTCAACAGCCTTGCGGCCGTCAACTTCTTCCTTGGCATGGTTGGCATCGTCCAGGTAACCCGTATTACCCTCTATCACCAGTCGCAGAAGAATGCCCCGGCAGCTAGCGCCGTGGAGGAGGTCAAGGAGGCGGTCAAGTCCGTGTGATTGGAGTCTAAAGGGAGAAGAGAAGAAAAGGGTGCCTTCTGATACAAGACGGGGAATCGAAAGCTATATCATATAACAGTATTGTCTTTGAAGCTCTTGTTTCATGGCTACCGATATAGAGGAGGTGAAGAGCTAGTCAACCTGCCAAGAGGAAGGGGGGAGCTGCTACACAGAATTCCGGACTGGAAGCGACAGCTGGCGAGGGAATGTGTGAGGCGATCCCTAGGTTTGTGGACAAGAGATAAAGCCCGGATTCTATGTAAGAGGAGAGTCTTCAACCTACCCCAGTGGCCTGTTCCATCACGGCCGCGCACATGGGGAGGCAGAGCAATGGTGAGGGAGATGGGAATAGGAGTCTTTGATAAATAGACGCATCTTGGGTTCAATTCACGTATTGACGCAGCTGGTGCAAGTCTCAATCGTATCAGAGTAGAATAGCCAACAGCAAGCACCACGGGCGCAACACGCTTGCGCGGAGGAGGGCCAAGGGGAGGAAGAGGCTGAGTGCATGATTTTGTCCTGCGCTGTGTGTGTATTTGTGCGTTTGGGTTGAGGGAAATCGGTCGGAAGAAGGGGGGGGGGGGGTTTATAGGTGGCCCTTTCTTCGGCGAGAGGAAGGAAGGATGGGCGGCGGAGTATTGGGCTCAAAGATGAGCAGGAAGGAACGGTGAGTTCATACCTGGTGGCATGATCCTTCTAGATGTCCAGGTTGTCGCTTTCAACTCATATCCGCGCATTGCAGCGAGGTGGAAAGTACGATGTGATCATGCAAGGTACACTCTGTAGATTTGGAGACACGGAAAGGAGCGGGAATCCCATTCCTTGCTTGGATGCTATTAATAAGAGACATGTGCTGATAAAGCATGGGGCTTTCTCAGGAGTCATGACTGCTCAGTCATCCATGTCTGGTGTGCTGTGTATATTAGTAGGTAGTAATCCCCTCAGGACCGCGATGCACAAGGGTAGTGATTTGAGCAAATGAGTTGGACATATAACATAAATGGCTAAATTCCTCCCAAGAAACGCCAGCTCGCTGATAACCGCCCCATGTCAACCAGAGTCTATGTGCCCGCTACTACTTTCGCACCATGCCGGAAACCGAATGAGAATCCAACAGATGCCAGAGGTGTCATCCTCCAGGCTTTACCCCCGGCCGGACCGGATTTCGCCCTCGCCCGAAGCATCGCCTCCATTGCTGCCGCCTACGAAGCTGCCCCTTCGCCCCCAGTTTCGAGGTTGCCTCTTTAGAAAGGCGCCGACAGCGCCCAGATACCCCTCGTGCCGCAAGAAGTAGGCCTGCTTCGCGCCCTTACTCCAAAACTTGATGGCGTAGCTGAGCGTGTTCATGGTCTGCGGATGGCCCCGGATGAAGGACCCGCCAAAGTAAATGTGCGACAGCTCATGGATCTGGCTCTGCAAAAACGCAATTTGGCCAATGTTGTTCGAGATTGCGTACAGAAGTGAGACGGAGATATCAGCGGACGAGAAGGGCTGCGTATCATCGTGTGAGAACGGGGAAGGTCCGTTTGCGGTGCCGTCTCTGGCATGTGGTGGTTGATGCTGTTGGCCCTCCGGGCGGTGTTGGTCCTTGTATCGCAGGCCGCCACTATCCTCGGCTTCGCTCTCGGCTTGTCGTTTCTTCCGAAAGACTTTACCGAATGAGCTAGCGATCGTCGTGCTTTTCAGCCCGATCTTGCCGTAGTCGGACCCGTAAATATCGCCCACGAGCATATCCACCTTGCTATTGTCCCCTCGCGAGGCGAGCTCCAGCATCTCGTCAAAGGTGCGTGCACCCGTCAACAGGCTGAGCAAGCCCCAGAGCGTGCCACCGCCGAGCGATGTGCCACCCACACGCTGATACTCACGCGGGCCGGACACTTTGAGAAATGACACACCAGAGCCGATGTTCACAAGTAGGTAAGGGTATACATTTTCCGAAGACGGAACGAATCGCATCGGATCCGCCTCGGAGTATGTGAAGACTTCACGGGGTATCTCTGTGATGAAGAAGTCAAGGCCTGCATGCATGGAGTCAGCCATTCTGCCCTCGGTTTGATCATGAATGAGCTTCTTACCGATAATCAGACACTCCATTTCATCTTCCCGCAGCACATCTACCCCAAGTACGTCACGGATTTTGTCGTAGTACTTGTACGCACCGCCTCCCGTCGCCATCACACACAGGTCAGTGCCGCGCGGACTAGATGAGCCATCCCCGCCTCCATTGAGCCGCTGATGCTTGTACTTGAGATTGCGCATAAACTCGAGGCACTCATCAATGTGGTCCGTCTCAAAGCTCAAAAAGTTGAGGCGCCCCCCGGGCTCGGCGGAATGTGCCTCACGCGAGAAGTAAACAAGCTTGGCAAGTGAACCACCAATCTGCGACACGCAAAAAAAGGTATCAGCTCAGGTGCCTGCATCTTGGCCGTTGCAAGCATAATGACATCATCGCGGCAAAGCGCAGCTGAGCACAGGAGAAGAGGAAATGGATTGGAAGAGCTCCTTACATCAATTGCGATGTGGCTCACCACGGCAGTGTGGTTTGGTAAACGGATGTCCTTGGTCTCGTGATGTCCGGGCGATCCGCTGCGTCCGTTGGTGCTGGTTGGAGTAGCGCTCTCCTGGTCGACGATAAAGGCGCCCTTGACATTGATGCGGACTGAGCCCGGATGGCTCAACGTCTCGTCAATCTCGGCAGCGCCCGTCGCCGTTCGCGGGCGGCCGGTAGTAGCCGTGGTCGGTGTTGAAGTGGAGTTCGGAAGGGACGGCGCGACGGGGCCTCCGTCATTCTGCTGTTGGTGGGCTTGCTGCTGCTCTCGGGCCTCCTCGGCCGGCAGTGGCCGCGCAGGTTCGGCTTGGTAGATATCGCCCGGCATCGTTCTGGCTGGGGTTCAATTGCTCAACTAGCCCATGGGCGACCGCGACCGGATTATTCAAGGAGGCTCCTTGGGCTTGTCCATTGGAGTAGGTTTTTTTCTCGCCGAACCCGCCGAGTGCGGTGAATCTTATAATGTCGGGAATGCTCAGAATTACATTGTAGAACTCATCCCGCCGAGTTTCTGGTAGGTGCTGTGACCAAGCGGGACTTTGCTTATCGATAAAGTTCCCGCGTGGCCCTGCCGTTTGCCCGAGGCACATTGAAGTATCCGTACGAAGTACCTTCGTACCGCCCAAAAGTCTCTCAGGGGACCCACTCTATACAAAGGCATGGCCCGCACAACCTCCTTCCTAAGCCCCCTCGATGAGCCAGAGGCCAGGAACTTTAGGAAGTCATGCACGAACCACTCGTCCGATCCTCCTTCTAGGTTATGGCTTCCTGTCATCCACAAAACAAACGAGAGGCAACCGCTATCACCGCTTTGTAGACCTGTTAAGTCACCAACATACAGCCCCTTCCCTTGCATCAAATCGTGATAGCATGCACCACGGGAATTTGGAAACCGTACTTTATACAATACCATCTCGCTATCATTCTTCCCCTTCAGCCTCAGTCCCACCTGCTCACCCAATTCGTGGAATGTTACTGGCCCAGTTCGAAGTATAAGACGATGGCCGGAGATAGTAAGTCGATCGAACTGCCTCAAACAAAAGGAAAAACCTCGGAAAGATGAACAGAGCAGCTAACACCCAGAAACTGTTAAGCCCAGTATTTGACTTTGTCTCCTCGGAGACTCCTGGGATGGCAACTAGACAGAGGTAGAAGATGAGCCAGGCGACGGGGAGCAGTGCAACCGCCAGGGCCGAAACTTTCCATAGGAGGGCCTCTGTCGCCGTGGGAAACTCAAAGTTCCACGCAATGAGATGGACTAAAGCCAAAGACTAAAAGTCCACCAACAGTCCCTGGGAGCATTAGCAGCTCAGCGTCTTTGTCTGGCATTGCAAAATTGGGCATTGTATATGCCGGACGCGGCCATGCACCCATGATGCCAACAGTGCATCGAACGATGGCCTCAAATTCTGTCGATGTTGGGCTGCGCACGGCTCGCAGAACAGTGGGGATGGAGACGTCCTTGGGATGGGGAAGGAGAAGCAGATATGAGATGAGTGCGCAGACGGCAAAAGCCAGCGCCATGATCTCCATCTGAGACGACCGTCTCCTCGTCGAGGCTCGAATTATCAGCTCGATGGGCAACCACACAGCCTGAATGAGCGCTAGGATTTTGATGAGTGCATCCTCTTTGCTCTTGTCCTTGATCTCGTTCTCATTGATTGTGCGCAGCTTGTCGATGATGCCGAACTCGCGAGCCTTGAGGATCTGAGCCGCCGAGAGAACCCAGACGTCCCCACTCAGGGCTCGGCAAGCTTCGCGGTGGTCACATCTTTTCGATTTACACAGGAAGTCTGCCTCAGACTCCAACAGGTCCTTGGCTAGTCTGTAGTGCTCTGGGTGGGCCTTCCAGTCGTAGGCACCAAGCCACGGATGACCGCGCTCGTTGTCTTCGACGAATTCATCCAACCACCGACTCCATGATAGTTCAAAACCTGGCTCAGGAGGATCAGGCTTCCATTCAGACTGCCGTCGGGGAAACCGAACTACGAACCCCCCAATATTAGCGTACATGGAGTGTGTCATAGTCCAGTCCGCTTCATCCTCGTCGCGGTCCTCGCTGCCAGCGCCCCTCGCTGCCAGCGCCCCTCTGCTGGTAGGCCACAATCGACCATGTACTCCTGCGTGCGCTGATGTAGCTGCTCAGAGCCCACCCGAAGACGAATTCAGGCAATATTATTATGATGGCCATCCATTTGGCCTTGCGTGTGAAGAGGTACAGTGACCGTAGGGCGGTCCGCCGGATCCGCCGCTATCGGCTTGCCTCGGGGGGCTGGGGAAGGACCTGTGGCGGAACGGTGAGGTGGAGGATAGACCAGGTGCAGAGAAAGATGAGGGCGAGAGAGCTCCAGATGATGTCCATAGTGGACCGGATGTTCGGCTCCCGCACGAATGCCGGGGCGGCGAGAGGGAAGGTACAGTTAGGGTAAAAGGTGATCATCTTTGCTATTCCTATTTGGTGGCGGGATAGGACCTAACAACTTGAGGAGGAGCGGTGCCAAACCATCACGAGGTCATGAGATGGGACCCAACGCCGATCTATGCGAGCGCGGAGCTTCAAGTGCCAGCAGAGTTTTTCTTCCGCGAGTAACGACTGAAAATCATCCTGAGCTTTGTGATTGGCCATGGATGGTGAGACAACGAGGCTTGTTCAGTCCTTCATAGCCAGAGCTCTCCCTTGGCGCGCAGCATACGTGGACACACTGACGAGTTTACGGTCCAGTTTCGGCTTTGTGGCTTGCAGGCAAGCATCCTGTACGCTCGCTGCTTTCTCCAAGTCTGTACCCAACTACCTTACCAATGCCTCTCGCTAATCTTAACAGTATCTACGTCAACTCCATCCTTGAACCACCGCTCCGTCTCATCGATCTTTACATCGTTCCCGCTCATCTGCCTCTTCCGCATCAAGCCATTCGGCGCAAACGTCCAGTCCTCGAGTCCGTACGTCCGCCACCATTGGCCCGTCTCATCATGCCATTCGTACCAGAACTGCACGGCAATCTGGAGCCCCCCGCCAAGTATATCGTTAGCATAAGAGGATTGCGTGCCACACTCTCGTGACGTTGCGTCTCGGGGATGTTCTTCAAGTTGGACTTACCTTGTCGTCGGTGAATGCGAACAGCTCCTTGCGTAGCCGGTAGCCCTGTTCTTTTGACCACTTCTTGCGGAGGAACTCGACGATCTGATCGCGCCCCTGGAGGAAAACGTCGCGGTTTCGCCAGATGGAATCCGGCGTGTAGGCGAACTGGACGGATTCTGCATTCCTGCCGGTAGAAAATGAATGTTAGGGGGTTACTTTGGCGAACAAAAGGACGTGGTGGGTTTACTTGGTATTCCAGGCTGCTTGGGCAGCCTTGACCTTCTGCTGGGCCGTCTCTCTCGTAAAAGGGGGAAACGGGGGCTTGGACTCAGTCGCCATGGCTACCGCTTGCTTCCAGTACTTGGATGGCAATGACGCCGTCAGAGGTCCAGGAGTCTCCTATTTATGTGATTGGGATGGCTTTGACTGCGCTCGTGGAATTACTAATGAGCTGTGATTGTGAGTGTGGAGGGATGAAGACAAGCTAGGGTCACTTTCTTCGGACATGGCCCGGGCCGCGATCGGGAACCCCACTCCGGCATGATCGGGCGCGCCCTTCAACGAATTACCGCTGATGTCGCGTTAATAAGCAGCTGAGATGGCTACAGAGAAGCCCCGTGGCATATCCATATTTGAACCACACAAGTCAGGCGGCTATTGCTATGCAAGTCACCGTTCACTCGGCACTTATTCCGCCCGGCTTCGCCTCGGGACAATAGCCGGGCAGTATCGGGTCGAGGGGCACATTCATGACCCCTGAGGAACGGAAGTGTCGGCGACGAACTCGGGTATAGAAATCCTAGGAAACTCAAGCTGTCAATGGAAATTTTCCGCCGGCGAGGAAATCAATCAGGTTATTCAACTCGACTTTTGGTGAGGCATCAGGCAACTAGTTGGATGGGCATAGCTCAATTTGGCACCGAACTCGAGCTCCCCTCGAGTTTAAGTGTCTGTGTATACCGCACCGGCTTGGTCGGCCCACGTTGCATTACGTTATCGGCTTCTTGATGACCTAATTCATGAGAACCCTTCTGGCTCTCTGACTCTTCTGAATCTGTCAACCTAGCCGCGTGTTCACTGATTCGGGAACCGGTGTTGAACAGAGGAATTGTTCGAGAAGGATCCACCCGACCCGAACTTGTAAACCTCAAACTTCCCCTCAACTCCATCCACACCTACCATCTCAAGGTCTAAACATCTCGGGACTTACAAATCCATTCATTTCCAGCCAAACAAAATCCCTCCAACTAGAAGTGCTGTTTTCGTCAGACTGGTTACTAAACCATCACTTAACAACCACAATGGCCGGTCTCAAAGCAGATGATGCCTTCCCGGAAGGCGTATCCTTCCTTTACATCCCTCCGACTGGCGACCTCGACCTCAAGGTATGCGGCATGCCGATCAAGTATGATGCTAGCAAGGGTATGTCATGTCATCCCCCATCCTTATCTCAAACAAAGACGGGCACGTTGTGCGTGAGGGAAATCCGCCTCGCTAATCGCATTCCCTTAGAGTTCCAATCCAAGAAAGTCGTCTTGGTCGCGGTTCCCGGCGCCTTCACGCCGACCTGCCAAGAACAGCACGTCACCTCATACCTGGCCAACCTGGAGCAGTTCAAGGCAAAGGGCGTTGACAACATCATCTTCATTGCCATGAACGACCCCTTCGTCATGTCAGCGTGGGGCAAGGCAAACGGCGTCAAGGATGAGTCGATTGTACGTTTTCTGCGAAGATTGGCCTCAACCGTGATTTTGCTAACCACGGGCAGCTGTTCATGACGGACACCGACGCCGGGTTCAGCAAGAGCATAGGCTGGGAGAGCGGGGGCCGGACCATGAGATATGCCATCATCATTGACCATGGCAAGGTCACCTATGCTGATGTCGATACCGAGCGGGGGAGCATTGCCAAGTCCGGTGCCAAGGGCGTTCTGGTGAAGCTCTAGTACGGAAACAAGGGAGTCTTGACAATAGAGGTTCTTGGTTTCTAGAGCGGGACAGAGGAGGGCTGTGATAGAGGTCACTTCCGTTTCTTAACTCATAGACGGCCGAACCGACTTCCCAAGTCCATTTCGGCTGTGCCCCTGAATCGTGGATTTATCTCAGACCAATGCATAAGTTGGCATTCTGTGTGCTACCCATGCAAAATGTCCTCTACCCGTTACGCAGGATCCATGCAACCGGCCCTTTCAAAAACAAGTTGTCTTGTCAACTTGTTGCGAGAGCATAACCCTTTAAGAGAGCTGAGCAGGCAAAAAACCGAGTACCGACCGACCGACTCCAGCGTTTTCCCTTCCGGCCACAGGCAAGACCGTAAGATATCATGTATTTGCTCTCCTCTCGACCATTCCCCTTTGGCTCAAGAAGAACATGCAACCCCCCCCCCCTTTCCCGGACAGCAACCACCTCAAGAGATCTTTAACGGCTCTTGGCAGCCACCTTGACCGGCGCACCCTTCGCGCCCTGCTTGTTGATGATGCGACCTTGGGCCTGGCCCTTGGCGGCACCGGCAGCGCTCTTGGCCTTCTCAGCCTTCTTGGCGGCCTGGGCAGCGGCCTTCTTCTCCTTGCTCTCCTTGATGGCGGCGAGGCGAGCGGCGCTCCGGGCCTCGGGGCGCATCGAGCGGCGCTCCTTGATCACATCGAGAGAAGCACCGACGATAGCACGCTGCGACTTGACGGTGCGGCGGGTGCGCTTCTTCGCGACTTCCTGTAGCAGGAGTCAGCGGGCCGTTTGTGTCATTTTCCTTCCTTGTCCACCCCTTGTGCGGTCATCGTTTCCAGTCACTCCCGCCCTTCCCGCACCCAAGATCCGCTTTCTATTCCCATCGAACCCAACCGGATACACGGAAGGCGGAGTGCTCGTACCTCAGAAATACCCTTCCGGTGTTGCCTCCGGTAGAGAACTGTCCAGGCAATGCGGCGGGGGTTCTTGCGCTGCAGGAAGAGGGACTCGGATTTGCCGTTTTGGAACCGGAAGATCTTGCTGTCGCCACGGACGTACAGCTTACCCTGTGATTGAGAACCACCGTCAGCCATTCAATCGCCCTATTTTCCAACGCTTTTCCAATCGCGCCATCGACGAGTGCTCCAACACCGATCCTTGTCTAGCGTCATCGCCGTTTCCGCGAGCAGCGATCGTGTCGCCGCTTGACTCGGAGGTGGGGAGGTCCTCGCCGTCGGTCGCAGTCGTAAGGATGGACAAGTCGTACCTTGCCAGGGTAGATCCGCTGGCCGGAGAAAGTATCGTCGTACGTTCTCATTGTGGCGGTTTGTTGTCGAAGTTGTCGTTGTCGGGGTTGCTTCCTCTGAGTTCAAAGGTATGAGGTCGATTTTCGCTAATTTCTCTGTTGGTTGTGCGGATAGGGCTGCCCTGTGATAGGCTGGATGCACGGGCCAGAAGGGCCCGCTTTGGCAAGAGCGACGAGATTACCTATCTCAAGCGGCCAACCCTAACCCTTTCAAACATCCCGTATCTTCACCGTCCTCCTCCGTTCTTGGTTTTTCGTCTTGGATATCAAAGCATCGGCAGGTCCATGAATCTTGGAGCTGAAACGGGCCCGGATGCTGTTGCATCAGCCGTTTTGGAAGAATTCAGGAAGCTCCCGGCGAAGCGAAAACCAGCCGTAAGAGACAATGGCCTCCGCGAATGGGTGCCCCTCGCTGGCATCGTTGTTCAAGGTGCTTTGCGGACTCCATCAAGCATTTATCATGTCGAGAATACTAACAGGAATTCGGGACATTAGGTCCACGCTTCATGCAATGTGTAGCGCTGGCGTAAGTTACAAGCCAATCCCCACCAAGCAATTCCCCCCCTTAAGCTGCCAACAGCCACTTACACCCCTCCAACAGAACGGGGATGAAATGTCTTCCAGCATCCAAGCTTTCCCAGGCCAAGGGAATAGCCCTTCATGACTGGCACGCCGAAGTCCTTGCCATCCGCGCTTTCAACCGCTGGATCCTGGACGAGTGCCGGCGTCTTGCCCTGGATAGCACAGCGCAATCTGAGTTTCTCCAGCGGAGAACAGAAACAGGAATCCCTGGCCCATCCGCGGACAAGCAGAGCTGGCACGGCCAGCCATTTGTCTGGCGAGAAGGCCTCACGCTCCACATGTACTGCTCTGAAGCGCCTTGTAAGTCCCGTCTTCCCCCTAGCTGCCCCATTCTCGTCTGAGAGAGGAGCAGCCTCGTGGCCCCTTCGCCATCCCAGGCTGATACAATTCCCCTGTTTACACCCACAGGCGGCGACGCGAGCATGGAACTGATCATGTCCGCACAAGAGGACGCCACCCCTTGGCCAACAACAACAACAACAACAGCCCCCCTTTCCACCACCAGCAACCCATCACCTCCCCCATCGGGCGCCAACGCCAACGCCAACACCAACACCAACCCACCACTCACCCTCCTTCTCGGCCGGGGCTACTTCTCACGGCTGGGCATCGTGCGACGCAAACCCTCGCGCGGCGACGCCCCGCCCACGGCGTCCAAATCGTGCTCCGACAAGCTCGCGCTGAAGCAGTGCACCTCGCTGCTCTCATCGCTGACTTCCTTATTTGTCTCGCCCGCGAGGGTCTACCTGTCTACCCTGGTGCTGCCAGAGTCCCAGTTCAGCGCTGTGGCTTGCAGACGGTGCTTTTCTGCTGCTGGCAGGGACGATGATGATGACGATCCCGCTGGTGGTGGTGCTGGGGATGGGGATGGGGATGGTGGTGGCCTGCTGGAGAAGGGAGATGGTTGCGGGAGGATGCGACCTGTTGCAGGGAAAGTGTGGGATGCAAGTACAGGCTACCAGTTCGTTCCCTTCCTGGTTGAGACCACGTCTATGGAATTTGAGTTCTCGCGGAGGGCGGTGGTGGGGCGGGCCGGTGGAATGGATGGGCGGATGGTCAAGTTGGCGGCGAGCAACCTTGCAGTTGCGTGGACAAGGGACGGGGAGGTGGAGGAGGGGTTGGTTGGTGGCGTGTTGCAGGGGCGCAAGGCGTTCGACCTTAAGGGAGCAAGTTTGACGTCGAGACGGAGGATGTGGGAGGCGGGGGTTGAGGTCGCTAGGACGCTGGGAGATGATGTGATACGCCAGCATCTTGCACAGGGGACGTACAACGAGGTCAAAGAAGGGCCGTTACTAGCGGCAAGGAGGAAGGTGAAAGAAGACGTGAGAGCGGAAGCACTGAGCGGCTGGTTGAGGAACACGGGTGATGAGGAATTCAGCCTGTGACGCCTATCTGTTGGACGCACATTGTCTATGCTGGCATGCCGGACAAGCCTGATCACATGGATTATCATGACACCTTGAAATCCCGCCGCATAGGCATGTCATCTCTGTCAGCGATTAAAGAAATGCTTGGGGATGACCATATGTTCGTTTCCTATCCCACCTAATCAGGAGATCCGGGCGCCGCCGTCCATTTCACGGAAAAAACAGAGCTCGTTTCTGTGCCCCTTGAAGCCAACCCGAGCAGGGGACAGAGTGGACCATCATTTTTTTGCGGTAGACTTTATATTTTGGGAACCAAGGGGCTCTACTCGACCTTGCTTTCAAAGTTCTCGCCCGGCACGAGATCAGGGATGTCATCATCGTCAGCCTCCTTCTCGCTCTTCTGCATGTTCTGGTAACTCTCAGCGAGCTTGCGCAGTGACGCAAGGGAGTCGGGACCGAGCTGGTTCAAGATGCCGGGGACGAGCTCCGTGAGCTCCTTCTCCTCGCCGTTGCCGTAGATGGCGAAGGTGTTGGAAGGGACAGCAGCGTGCACTGGGCCAGTCGTTAGCAGCCGCCTTGCTACAGACAGAGCGGATCATGTCCATCTCCATCACACGCACCTTTAGGGGCGGCAAAGTGGATGACGTTGCCGTCGCTCTTGAACATGTTGACCTCCTCAATGGCCTGGATGGGCTGGACATTAAGCTTCTTGAGCGTCTGCTGGAGCTTCTTGTCGTCGCCGGCCGACCGGGCAGGCGCCCGCTTCACTTTCCTTCGGGGAGTTCCCTTGCCACTAGTTGTCACAGCAGCGCATTAGAATCTCGTAGCTTGTATTGGCGGCTCATGATTGAGCAGCGCTGGTGGATCCATGTCTAAACGTACCCTGTCGGTCGGTGCGGGTTAGTCGGCCAATCTATCTAGAGCGGGGAACCGAGGAGGGGAAGACAGTATGGCGACATACCAATGCGAGCAGAAGCACCCAGCTTCTTGAGCCGTTCCTGGACGTCGGCCATGTTGGGATATGTTGTGATGGAGATGGGGTGGCGGTTGATCGAGAGGAAAGGGTAGCGGCGACTCGGTGAAGCTCGAGCTTGGATTGATCAGTCAGCCTGGAGAGCTGCAGAGAGCGGGCCTTTTGCCTGTGCTGCGATGCTGACGAGCAGTGTCGGCAGCTGCAAAATGCGTCCCAATTACGTACTCTGTCAGTCGCGATGATTTTGGCCCTGGTTTCGCCCGGAATGTCTCGTGATAGGCGCGATATGCCTCAAGCCTTGTCCTGTCGTCAGTGGTTGGAGAATTTGTGTGCGCTTGGCCCTGATATTTTTTCGCTGCCGCAATAACTTTTACCCCACTTTAAAACCGCTGACCGATCCTCTCCGATCCTCTCACCGTGCCCGCTTTGTTGTTGAGCAGCTCTACACCTTTGGAACTTACAGCTAGGCCGCTTTACTACTTCCAGGTTATGAGTAAAGATATGGTGCCTCGCGATAAGTCATCCAAGTTACCGAAGCTTGTTCCGAGTCCCGTTGCCGCAGCCATCTACTGCCCTGAAAATGTAGTCGTCGGCTTCGACTCTCAACTTCGAATTTTAGCCTGACAATGCCGGAGCAGGAATGTTTTGGTTCTGTTATACACGTTACAAGCTAAGTGGTGACAATGGGACATAATACAGATAGTCATCACGTCATCATCACCGATTGCCAGACGCGGATGAGTCCGGTTGCGCCGGCAAGCCGGCCTCTTTCCTCATTGCCTCTCTCCTAGCTTTGATCTCCTCGGCCATCTTGACCGTTTCTGCGATGGACGCCTGCTTCTCCCTCTCCTTCTCCGCTTCGGCCTGGACAGCCCATACTTTTGCAACATGTTAACTCGCCACGTTGAGACTAGTAATGAGCGGGATTCGATACGCACTTGGTTTGTCGGATTTGGAATACTCTTTAAGTTTTGTAACGAAGTCATCGAACTCCTTCTGCCGCTCATACCTCCTCTCAAGACTCCGCTTCTGAAGCTCTGGGTTGTATTTTTGAAATAGTTCCTCGTCTGTGGGGGTAAGCCACATCGTGAGAGCTGGGCCGCCAACCATGATGGCACCGCCTCTATTCCACCCTTGTTAGAGAGTGGCCGCGGTATGGGGGATGGCAAGGAGGTTTCTCGATACTCACACGACAAACAGCTTAGTCCATAACCACCAGTTTACCGGTTTCTTAGCCATCTTAGTATGGTTCAGCAAGCGCGGCTCAAAACACTGTTTAGATAAGTTGACTCCACCATAAGCTAAGGCAACAAGAGCCTTGAATACAGCGCCGAGGATTGAGGCTCTTCACCTTTCACAAAGCCGGTGAATAAGAATGAGGTCAATACAAGGCGGTAGTACATGGCAGAAAGCATGCCCTTTCCGCTTGGGCAGGTGCCGGAAAAGCCTGACACTTGGCCACAGCAGAATACTGTCTGCGCGTCAGCGCGAAGTCAAGCGAATATGGCAACAAAAGCTGACATTGAAAGCAGGTGGGGCAGGCTTGGCAGGCGGTTCCTGGCGGCTCACTCACAGCTTCCGTGCAACTTGCAAGTGGCACCCGGGGTCAACAAACGGTTCCCGTTTCAGGGCGCTCATTAGTTCGCCCAAAGAAACTTGCGGTTTCGACTTTCGAGTTGAACGTTTGCCTCTCAGATCCAGGGGTCCAATAACAACCCAAGCATTCTTCAACCCCTTTTCTTGTTTCTTGGTTGGAATAACTCCACAGTCCTCGCTCTATCCGTACGTTGCAGACACAAATACCAGATTACGCCCTTATTGTATCCAGCAAGACTTCACAGTCCTTGCACATTTGGCCGTCGCTCAAGACAACTGTTGTCTCTTGTGAATCCGAGTCGCTGGATAGCCCTGCATTTTTCTACGTCGGAGAACGTCCTGAAACGCTCGCTGGGGGAAGCCCTTGATGACAGTCCCGGATGCCGGAAGACAAGATAGTGTAGCGAGGGTAAGTAATGCTTGCTAGTATAATGAACCCGGCGTAGCGTTGCTATATAGATTGAACATCATGTTACGAATACTACATCAAGTATAGTTGACGGTTGAGCTCAATAATGTTACTTCCTGGCCGACAAGCCCGGTGTTTGATTGCTGGCTTTCTAGCGTCGTTTCACCCCTCACCGACTTAATCGGCCAACAGGCCCTATACTGACCACTTCATATATAGAGGTACGAGGCTTGGACGGGACGGCGCGCATGCAAAGGGATTATAGCCGCCAGAAGACATCAAGTATAGTTGAATACCAATAATCTTCAGGTTGTGTGGTGGCGTGCAGCGAACTCCTGTCAATGTGCCTTGGATTCGAAGCGCCTGACAAGGCCGGTCGATCCAGCGACACGAAAAAACCCGGTTAGGTTACCTGAATCACCTCAACTCTGTGTTGGGAGGCATGCCAGCCGCAGATCGCCCCTGACGGACCTCAATTTCTTCAAAAACCTAGCAAGCCATGTTCAGCTGGCTTCTTGAATGCCCTGCCGTCATGGAGGAGGTACAATACCAGTAACGTCACACAGCTCCCGCCGCGTTCCCGGTCTGCTCACCGGGTACGGTAATCAGGGCAGAAAGTCTACGCAGTAGGACCGTTGCATTGTGAACTGGCCCAGCAGAGCTGGCATGTTAGGTATTACCTTACGTAGTTGTTTCAGTTCTCTAAATAAAATGCACATAACGTCCTCCAGCTCTTGGTGTTCCCGTCTTCCCAAGGCCCTGCGCTGTTAGGCCAGAAACAGGACAGCAGTATGTACATACAATACATAGTGTCCTTCTGCTCATCGGTCTGAAAGGCTAAATTCAATTGAAGTTGCCTCTGCGCCATTCAGGTATAACAATAATTATACATACAATAAGAGATACCATGGCGGGTGAGGAAACGTATTGTTACTATTGTACGGAGTAGTGTATGTAATTCTTCAACCTTGGGGCCGTCCCTGCATGTAACGACCCTGGCCCCTCCTATTAATTACCATTTTTCCCTCTGCGCTGGAACGGCACAGAATTACAACGCCTCGGCCTCTTTTTGATCCCCGCTGCGCTCCTCAGGGATGCCTCCCTCCCCTTGCTTTGCGACCCATTCCATTCCACCCTCTCTGCTTCGAGTACCGGTATTTTCCTTTTATCCCTTCTTTCCGACTTCCACCTTCGCGAACCATTCCTTTTACCGGGCGACCAAAAACACGATTGAGGCGATCGTGTGCAATACGATCTCTTCATCCCCTCCCCTCGTGTTTCTTCGCTCTACTCGCAGATCGGCGGCCTCTGTCACCCTAACCTGGCTACGCGCTCTCGCCTTTCCCGACACTCCTCGATCTGTAGCAATACTACGGATATTCCAGCCTCAACCATACATAGGTTTCCTGCCATGCGCCTGCTGTAAATCTCAGTCGATCATCGCTCGACGTCTCGTGGGACCTTGAGAGCGAAAGACGGCACCACTAGACACGACACAGGCAGGTCCTCGGCGTGTCAGTATTATGGCATATAATTCTCAATATGGCGGAGGGCCGGGGCCTCAGCGACCTCCGCCCCAGCGACAATACCCGCCCAACCCTGCAGGACCCCAGGGGTACAATGCGCCGCCGCCCCAGCAGCAGCAGCAGCAGCAGTATGACCAGTACCAGGATGGCTATGGCTATGGCTACGACGACTACAGCAATGGCCATGATCAAGGCTATGGCGGGCAGTACAACGATGGCGGTTACGGGAGAGGAAGGCCTCCAAACAGGGATTATCCGCCGCAAGACTACTACGATTCTGGCCCGAACGGACCTGGAAGGGGGGGCCGACCGATGCCCGGGGAACGAGGAGCCCCAATGAGGCCTCCGCCTGGTGATGGTGCCCGAGGAGGTCCTTACCCACCCCGCGGGGGCGGATATACGTCAGGGCCCGGTGGTCCTGGAGGTCGTGGCTTTCCACCGCCTGGCCGCGGCGGCCGGCCAGCCCCTCCAGATCCTGCTGGTGAGTGCAGCACCGGAATTCCGCCCATGCCTTCTCATGCAAATCCATGCTCATACTGTCCAAGGGAACCGAGGCCCTCCCATGCGCGGACCTAATTTAGGGAGCGCTATTGATCAAGGCTTCAATGGTGGTTCTTTCCCTGCATTTCCCGGCTCACAGCGCAAAACGGATCTAGAGCAAGAACAGCAGATCGTAGCCCAAATGGGTGGAATGGACATATCAGGACAACGATCCGCATCAAGGGGTCCGAACGGCCCACCATCGCAACGGGGCCCGATGCGCCCTCAGAATGGATTTGCTGGACCCGGACCAATGGGTCCCCATCGCGGGCCACCGCAGCCTTACCACCCACCAGATTTTCCAGACCAGCGACGCGGCGCGCCTCCGGGGCCTGGGTACGGTCCACCGGGAGGTGGTTATTCGAACGAGAATTTTGGCCCACCCGGGCGAAGCAGAACGATGCCCGTAGACCACATGGAGAGGCATCAAGGCGGTCCCCTTCCGGCACGCGACGGCCCCCCTTACAATGGTCCCATAAGTCGCGGTATGCCGCCGAGACCGAGTACCGCACAAGGCATGCGGGCCCAGACGCCGAGGATATATCCTCCGAATAACAACGGGCCCCCGCCTCAGGAACAGCCGTATAGGCATGGGCCCGACTCGGGTTATGGAGGCCAGGACAGGCCTGAGTCCATCGATAACTTCTACGACTACTACGACACAGGCAATGCCGAGTATCCGGTGCAAAACCCCCCATCAGCTGCATCCGAGCTTCCGGATTTTGATTCAATGACGTCTCAGAGACCCAGGCAATCATTTGACCAGCACATGCAACCAAGCCTTCAGGAGCAGGCTCAGCGAGGACCAGGGAGGCAACCCGAGTTGAGCAGGGCAAAGTCGCAGCCCGACTTGCGCAATTCCCAAACGGCGGTCTTCGAGATGGCAGGCGACATTCCCCCGCTGCCCACATACCGAGATGGGCCTCAACAGTTCGGCCAGCAGCAGGGTCCCCCCGAGGGGTCGCAGGCATCTCAACGGTCGACTCCGCCAGGGCAATTTGGTCAATCTGCGATGCAAGGTTTGCCGGCGAACCCGGTCCCGTACAGACCTCCAGGGCAGTCTAACACTCCGCCGGCGGGGTCGAATCCGGATAGCTTACCATCTCACCCTACACCCGTTCGCCCCGGGCACATGCCCGGGTCCATAGTCAATCTGAACGACCGCCCACCGCCCGTAAGGAACTATAGCGGCGGCACGAGCTACAGCGGTAACACGGTTGCACCCACGCCTAACCCCGGGGCTCCTCCACCGGGGCCTGCGGCCCCGCAATATGGAGCGAATCCACCGCCTGCCAAACAAGTAGAGGCCCCTGTCACCATTGAAGAGTTGGAGCACCTCCGTGCCGTAGTTAAGCAGGACGCCAGCGACCAGGCGACGGCTCTTCGTCTAGCCAAGCGACTTGTGGAAGCGTCGGACGCGCTCGTGCCGAATCTCCCCGATCCCAAGGCCCGCGCACGATCCCGCGAGCGATACCTTGTTGATGCGCACAAGATCCTCCGCAAACTCGAGAAAGCAAACAACCCCGAGGCCATGTTCTTCCTCGCCGACTGTCTCGGACGAGGCCTCTTTGGCGCCGAGCCCAATCATACGCACGCCTTCACCCTCTACCAGTCGGCAGCCAAGCTGGGACACGCGGCAGCTGCCTATCGCACCGCCGTGTGCTGCGAGATTGGCAACGACGAAGGTGGCGGCACACGAAAGGACCCGCTCAAGGCCATGCAATGGTATAAGCGCGCCGCTACCCTGGGCGACACTCCTGCCATGTACAAGGTTGGCATGATACTTCTCAAGGGCCTGCTTGGCCAGCCGCGCAACCCACGCGAAGCCATCAGCTGGCTGAAGCGAGCCGCCGAGCGCGCCGACGCCGAGAACCCGCACGCCCTGCACGAATTGGCCCTGCTGTATGAGAGCGCAGAGCCGAACGATGTCATCATTAGGGATGAGGACTACGCCTTCCAGTTGTTCAAGCAGGCTGCGGAGCTGGGATACAAGTTCAGTCAGTTTAGGCTCGGATGTGCCTACGAGTACGGCCTGCTTGGCTGTCCCATCGATCCGAGGCTGTCCATAATGTGGTATAGCCGCGCGGCAAGGCAAGGAGAGCACCAAAGCGAGCTGGCGCTGTCGGGTTGGTATCTCACCGGCAGCGAGGGAGTGCTGCAGCAGAGCGATACCGAGGCGTACCTGTGGGCCAAGAAGGCCGCCATGGCAGGCTTATCCAAGGCCGAGTATGCAATGGGCTACTATACGGAGACGGGCATTGGCGTAGCGGCGAATCTGGAAGATGCCAAGAGGTGGTACTGGAGAGCTGCTGGTGAGTTGCCCCTTTTCTTGTTGCGATATTACGACGGGAGGCTGACAGGGGAATAATAGCCCAGGACTTTCCAAAGGCGAGAGAACGACTAGAGGACCTTAAGCGCTCAGGGAAGAGCGGGCCCCGCCCACGGGAACGAATATCAAGGAGCAAAATCGGGAAGCAGCAAGAGGGCGAGTGCTCTGTGATGTGAGCTGGATGATGAGCATGGGGTGGCTAGCTGGATAACGATGAACTTGAATGAAGACGAGGGAGGGTGGCATTTTGAGGCTAGAACATGCGGCGGCGTTTGGGCATCCCCGGGCGAGGGACGAAGAGAGGAGTGACTTCATGAAGCTGGAATGACTGATGCCTCTGCTCTGGGTGTTATGAAAATGCGCCGGGGAAGCCAGCTCACGATGTATAAAAGATGGGCAAGCTAATCAGGTCGGCTATGCATTGTACATTACCACCTGCGTGGATGGAAAGGGAAAGCCCGGAGTGAGAGAGTGCGTGAGCCGGGCCTGGCGTTCTGCAATCACTTTCTTTTTTATCCGTTAGACCTTTTTTTCTTAGTCGTTAGACTTATACAAATGTTGTTAGTTATACCCCAAGACACGAGTCATCACCTCACCGTGGAAGAACGAACACAAGTAAGATCACAGGAAGCTGAAAGCGACAGCGAGGTAGGGCGTTGTCGTGACGGGGAAAAAACCTGCTTCTGCTTGCAAGACTTGCAATGCGTTTCTCAAGGCTAACCCCCAATCCAAACAGGCCAAGGAAGAACGACGGGGTGCTGCTCCCAAGCTCCTTGGCAATCTGAGTTGCGCTACACCCATCCGTCCTGAGCCGTCGTATCATCCGCTTGTCGATCAGCCCGTGATGTTTCCCTCATTCCCCCCCTCTTGTCACTTGAAATAAAACGGTGAAATCCGGAGAGCGATACTACATATTAGTTGTTCCCATGGACCTGTCAAATCTTAGTCGACGAACCCTTTTCGTTTGATATCCATGAGTCGGCTGCTCCTCGCCCGTGACCTTGGGGTAGCGCCACCAAGGCCCCGGGGTTGAACGGGAATGCGGCCACCCTGTGTGGGGCCCTGCCGGTCTCTCGGCACCGGGTGCCCCTCGGTTGTTGGTTGGCTCAGGTTGGTTACCTCAGCGTTCGACCAAAGATATTCATGAGTTCATGTGGCGTCGATAGATCGGCAGTCTCCTGTCGGTATCCGGAGGCCTAGTGTACTTCGTAAGGGTGGTGACATTTCCCAGTGTGATATTCGATGCGATCCAGAGTCAACGTGCGACAACGAAAACTTTAGACACCGCCTAGAATTCTAGATAAGGCAGTCTCGTAATAGTTATAGGCCATGCGAGTGTGACTGGTGACGATCGTGACGTGACCACCCTTCGCGTTGAAACGTGGGTTGAGGCCAGCCGTTCTACCCGTGTTTGTCAGGGTCCTCCTTCCGTCCCCCTCCCCCAAGGTTGTGCTGATCAGCGCCAGGTGAGGCGGGGTCAACCCGAATCCTTGTGTAGCAGGGAATTTCTGCTGCAGTGGAGAAGGCACGCCCAAGAATCAAACCTAAGCCACCTCAGGGATGTGAGTAGCTAAGGTAATTTAAGGCCTTTTGGAGATATGAATACAGCGAGCCCCCCGACTGTCAGCTTTGGAATTGTCTTTGTGTTCCACACCACCAGCCCTTTTGCCATGCAGTTCGACCAGAGAGTGAGATGCTTGGTTATGGACAAAGCGCCGCCGTCAGCTTGGCCAGCCACAAACACCGTCCCATGAGGCTCCTTGGTATAATTCGTCCACAGCAAGCACGCCCTGCGTTGCAGATCCTCCGTGCCTTCCGAATACACACGACTCTTCCCGGATCTGGCACACCAAATTCGAACTGAATTGAGGCGATTGCAGCATTGGATGATTGTCGGACATACCTTTAGTGTTGCTCTCATCGACTTTCAATCCTCGTAACATCTCTCCTGCCAACGCGACCACAACCTGGAATCACTCAGCAGGGCTCGCGGTGCTCATTTCGCTCTTCAAGGTAAGACTTCTCTGGCGGGTTGATCAGCTCCAACGATTTCGGTGGACCGAGATCCTAATCGTCAATCACCCGGCCTGCCTGCCCTCACTTTCCATTTCACGTTGCGTCCTGGTAACTGCTTCTATGCGGCCATCATCAGGACCGGTTTCCTCACCCACTCGTTGACATCCGCTAACGGGACCATCCTCTAGGCTGTGACACGGCTTGCTGGCCATCGCCCAAGACTATTACCGGGATACAGAGCCACATTACCTCATCCCTCGACATGGAACGAGAAACGCCCCTTTGGGGTTGGTCGTTGCCGGCCCCAAGGCCTGCCCAACCTCGACGGATGAAGTCCAACTCGTCCGACAGGTCGCACACGTCTGATGCTTCCTTTAGCTCGTGCAGCTCTGAGGATCCGTTCGCTTTCTCTCCCGCTGGTACCCCTCTGAACGAGAACGGGCCGTCTCGAGCCCGGACCTCGGCGCATTCAACGAATCTGGACGGTTTGAGGGACGGCCCAATGCTTGGCAAGGGTACGTAAACCGGGACTGTTTCTGTTACTGCTCTTCCCTTGGGTATCTTGCATACCGAGTTGGGACCGCCTTGCCCGTTCCTACCCCAGCACCGCGTCGATGGCCCTGGAATGATGTGGGCTCGAACCGTTGAACTTGTTTTTCAGCGGGTTGCCGGTTTCCCGGCCCCGGAAAGGCCCCTAAACCCCTAAAGCCTCGTCTGGTGGGGCCAAGTGACCGCTACCAGGGTCCAGGACCCTGCGCTGCCCCTCTGGATTTAGTTAATGTTGCAGTGGCCCTGCACCGGCTCGACCGGGTCCTTGAGCCATGCGTCATACATGCTCTGTCATCTCTTTCAGGCTGGTTGTTTGTTAACATGGACTCTCTCCTAGCAGAAGTCAATACTCGCCCCAAGGTAATCAACACAATTTCAGCGCCAGAAAACTATCACAGAATCAGCCAAGGCGACAGAAGAAAACCGATCCCCATTGAACTCCCTGGGAGACGCAGAACGGATCCGACCTCAGCATCTGTTTGCACGCCGCCAGAGCCCTTGTCTGCTCGAGGGGATATTCACGGGTATGACATGTCTCCATTCCCTGCATGCATGTATCGCTTCGTAGCGGACCTGCCTTGTGTCGCCGATTGTTGACAATGTGTCATGTTCTGCAGAGGATACTTTCCTCTTCACGAAGACCCCCAGTCCCGGGTTCGAGTTCCCCACCCTTTCCAACCACTCACCAACATGACTCGGCACCGGTCCCCGTCACGGTCGGCTGAGCCCAGCAACTTCAGCACGGAACCCCGCTTATTGGGCGCCGGCGACCCTTCCAAGCCATCCCAATCCTTTTCGAGCCAGTCAAACGTTTCCAAGTCTTCTCACACGCCTCTCTCCTCGTACATTCCTAACGGAGCTCAGCAAGATGTAGCCCTCCCTTTGGGGAAGTACTACCCTTCGAACTGGGAGAATCGACACGGACAGAGTCGCCAGAACCGACCATTTTCGCCGTCGAAATGCACGTCTCTGGCAGTCCAATCAGAAACCCAAGTGCCCATGTACCATGGAGATCAGGCACAAGCGCGGTCTGGGTCCGAAGCTCAACGTCGTCTGCAGCAGTACCAAAGAGATATGGTAGCGCAAGCTGCAATGGCTACTAGGGCTCTACTAGCGAAGACCGCATCCACGGCGAGCTCAGCTGCTGCCTCGTCTTATCCCAGTGTCCCAGCGGCTCTTCTAAGATCGCACAAGCCGGTTTCGCCGAGGTTACAGCCCCTTGGAAGTCCGGGTCCGGTCACCCCGATGTCACTGGAAGATGGTTACCTAACCCTTCGTGGACGCATTCCTGCCGTGGGCTTGGATCACAGTGTTCATCATGACGCGGGTGCGGGTGTGAGTTCAGATTGGTCCGGTAATGGAAGGCACAGACAATGCGGAGAGGATTCTCACTTGGCACCTCCGCTGAGCGCGCTCTCCGTCTGAACGGCATAGGAGTCCCCATTATTTTCTAGCTTGTTTTCTGTAACAGGAAAACACGATTCGATTCCCTCGCATGTGATACCCCTAAGATCAGAACAAGTCCATGAAGGCATGCAATACAAGGATGGCTGTGTATATCTAAAGCCTTCTAGTTTGTTAGCAATCTCACTCGCTTGCATTCAGTTAGTTCTCTTAAGACTGATCGTGGGTCGGCCTGGCACGATTTGTCGGTTGTTACGGTGTGAAAACGCAATGAAGATTTCCTGCCCTGCAGATTACCTCAGTTGAGTCGTTCTCCTTTAACTACGAAGTCCAAACACCCATATTTTCTCCCTTTATAACCTGTCTATTTTCCATCTTCTGTTACTTGTTCCAGGCCGCCGCACATATCCAACCGTTGAGCGCGCCCGCATCTCTATCCAGGTGCGATACCATTAACCCATCTTTCTTCACATACTCGCGTCTGCGCTCTTTTTGGTGTACCAAATTTCAAAACTCAGATTCACCACATGTGCTTGCTGACAGCTGTGCCCATGTAATGACTTTTCAAAAACAGCGGCGTCGGGCATTCCGACGCTGCCGTGCTCATTCAGAGCGGCTTGCAATAGTTGGCAGGGAAGTTGCCTCTCAGTCCTCCCAACTCGCCAACCCACCTAAAGGGACAAGCACGCATCAGTTCAGCTCAGAATGCAGGCCAAGGGGTTGAGATGAAGGGGAGAGCTATATGTGAATCTACTCACCAATCCTGGTCCGTATCGGTCTTGGTAACCACTCTGATCCTGTCGCCTTCTCGAAACGAGAGGTCCCCCTTTCCCTGCCCCTCAAACGTGTACTGCGCGACGACCCATTCCTCTGGCTTGGCGCTTGGGAGCCGTTTTGGAGGCGGCGGGGGAGGCGGCTTCTTCTTGGCGGCGAGATTACCGAAGCCGTTCGCGAGTTGGGAGACGCTGGGACTGGCGGTGCCGGGTGTGCTGGCGCCATTCCTCGAACCGAAGTAATCTCGCTGCTGCTGGTTCGAGCGGAAGTTACTTGCGGCGCTGCTGATAGCGTTAGACGATGATAAGGGCTCCGTCGTGGTCCGGCGGACGGTGGCCCCGCCCAGGATGGTGGCCGTGGTAAAATCTGTCGGAGCGGAACAGTCGGGCCGCCTGCTGGAAGAGGAGGACGGGGCCGGGCTGGGCTGGCGCTGCCGGTCTTCGCCAGGGGACGGCGACCGTAAGGACGTGGATGAGGGCGCGCGCAGCATCCGCCCTTGAGGGCCCGGCTTGGCGCTGGGAATCAAGCCTGACCCGACACGGCGGACTCCCTCTGCAGGGGGTGGTGGACCCGAGTGCGGCCCTTTGAGGCGAATGAAACTGATGGACTCGATCTCGCTCCGGGCCGGGCTGACTGCGGCGTTCCAGATGGCGATAACCTCTTCCATCGGAGGGGGCGGCGAGGGAAAGCCGGACTCCTCGCAGTAGCTGTGCAGGGTGGTGTAGTAGAGGCCTAGCAGTCTGTTCTGGATCATGACGAGATTGCAGAGCAGTGGGGGTACCAGGCTAAATGCTGCGTTGATGATGGGGGGTAGGGTCTGGCGGAGATGGTCGTCGGCAATGCCAAACTCCTGTTCTTGTTTGTCAGTCTCGAGTGGCGCTTGCTTGACGGAGAGGAACGGGACGGTGGGGGCTCACCTCGCCCGCGGCTGCCATCTCGGCTTCGACCTTTGCAAGCGAAGCATCCTCCTTTGGCGTCCGGGCTGGCTTCCGCTGGAGCTTGGCAACCTTTTCTTGCAGCTTCTCGTAATCTAATCTCTTATTCTCCCGCTTCTTGATCGTCTTGCGGATCGGGGCAATGCAATCCCGGGCATCAATCGCGGGCTTTGCAATGCGCTCATCGATCATGCCAATTTCCTCCGACAACTCAACCTTTAGCTCGGTGTAGGCCTTCTTTAGCCTGAAGGTCCGTTCCAGTTGCAGTCGGGGCGTCTGGACGGCCTGCCGCCCGTGGCCGTCGGACGCCCCAACGATGGGGTCGTAGAGGCCTTCAAATTCCGCGACAATTTGCAATTGAGTGGTGACGAGAGATGCCCATGCCTCCCTCCACAGTTTGGTGTTGTCGATGAGCTATACAGGTGGATGTCGTGTCAGCGGGGTTGCACTCTGATGGGGGATGCGCCAGCTCCCGACTAAGCTACCTGTGAAAGAACCTTGTCCGCATCCTCATAGTCATTGAGGAGGACCGAGACCTTGGCATTATCTCCGGGGCCCTTATTCCAGAGTTTGCCGAACTGTCTCTGCATTGACTGCATTGTGTGGCGCTCCAGAGCAATCGGGAGTTGGGGGGTTGGAACTTAGAACCGGGTTGTAAAAGGGGTAATATCGCCAAACTGAGATTTCGTCGGGCAATGCAGTGACACGACCGGAAATACCATCAAAGCTACCTCCGTATCATGTGCGAGGGAACGCCAAATGGATCCAGATGCGCGTCACACCATATGCAAGTAAAGATACGGACCACCGGACAACCTAGCAATGTGCTGATTAGCCCTGTGTCCGAGCTTTTACGCGTTGCTTTGGCGGATGAACTCTCGGCAGGGCAGGAAAAGAAACGTAGGGCGTTTGGATTCAAGACAGGAAATACAGAGTACAGACAGGCCCGACATAAAATGGCACATCGGTCGCAAAAAGAGGCGCTAGTTGGTGCTCATGCCGACATTACCTCTACGGCACAGCTCACTGTTGTCGACGAAGAAAGAGGAACTGGTGCTGCATTGCTCTTGTGTAAGAATAACTCCGGGGGCAAAATCCTTGGTTGCAACCGTTCTTCGTCGGAACGGGGCAGAGGGGCCGGTGCAGCACCATGGGATAACCTGGTAGGATTTGGGATTTGCGCATGTGGTGTTACACCAAAAAGGCGGTTTGGAAACATTTGGGGTCGGGCAGTTGGGGGATGAGATCGTGAAACTTGTTGAAGACCCCGCAACATTCTCCAGGGGCGCGGATTCCCAAGTTCAATGCTGTTGGAGCCTGGCCGGCAGGAAAGATGTTGCCACTTGCTAGCACCGTGTAAGGCTGATACAGCGGGGTCAAGTGCTGAACGATCAGGTGATTGCGCGCTTCTCAAAAACGCGACTGTTGGGGTTGGGGCCAAGTCGCGTCACCAACCATTTCACTAGCCAAAGTCAAACATTGAACAGGCAGGCGCAGCAGCTAACTCCGAATCCCGGGTCGGCGCTGGCAGCTGCTATTCTCGAAATCAAAAAGCAATGGCACGGTGACGCTCGCATGCCATGCGTATTGACGATGCCGTCGACTGTTGCTCCCGCATCGGCCGTTACTGGGTCGCTGGACCCGAGCAGCGGCCGGCACAGCGCTACCGTTTTGGAATTCTTGTGCCTCTTCACGCACGATCTCCGGAGAAAGCAGAAGAGATGGCAGGATGGCCGCCTCAAATATCACACCTTTAACAAGCGCGTCATGGTCTACGATGACCGTGGCAATTTCGTGGGAGACATGCATTGGAGGGGGAGCGACTTCGACGAGGGCGAGGAAGTTGAGTTGGAACGTGGAGGCATCATTGTTCAGGTTGCCGAGTGTGTTGGCCGTCAGAATCAGGACTTGTCCGAATTGCTGGACAAGAGGGCCAAGGAGAAGGAACTTCGCCAAGCCCGGGTTGCTATGCGCTCGTCCCTCTCCGTCCCCTCGCCCCAGACTCCTTCGCCTGCGCCCCAAGTGCGTGACCACTTCCAGACCCGCCATCTTCCTCTACATCAGCTCCTCGGCACTCCAACAGGTCACCATGGTCGTGCTGTTGTTCCGACTGAATCGCCCTTTGAGCTTCGGCAGAAAGCCAGGGACGCATCCGGTAATCAAGCGGACGCCCGGCCATCAAAAAGGAGGAAGCATGACACAACACCACCAAGCAAAATGGGCTATGCTCAAAGCCTGTTTGGTGCATCCTTGACTTTGTCTGCGGTGCCTATGAGCTCTGCTCCTCCACGGCGGTTGGTAGCACCATCGAATTCTTCGACCGAGAGGCCCTCCATCCAAGTGGCTCCCGCTACGCATGCCCCCCTGGGACGACTTCCGTCTTTAGCAGCTGGGGAGTCCGATAGGCATGTCCTATCTGGCGAGCAAGGAGTGCGGGAACGAGCGAAAGAGCCATCAATTTGTCTAGATATGGGAAAGGACTCTCCTGGACAGCCTGCAGATTTGCCGCCCACCAGAGGCCGAAATCAGGAACAGCGTAGGGACAGGGCCTCCGAAGACATTGTCAGACCTACAAAGCCTTCCGAACCTGTGTCAAGCAAAACCTGCGTGCCAGCCCTACCAACCACTATCCAGCCATCTCCGGGAATACACGGCAACGGCTCTGGGGTTTCTGGCGCAGCACAAACAGGAACTTCGAGCTCCAGAGCCATTGTCATTGACGAAGATGAAGGGATGGCGATGGAAGAGGCTGGCGAAGCTACCAAGGCCCCAGAGATTGCCGACGGAACTGAGGAACCTCCACTTCCTATTTCAATAACCAAAAAGAAGAAACTTGCTAAACGAAGCAGAGTGGCAGATTTGCCAGCCCGAGTGCCAGTGACTGTGTCAGGTGGAACGAGAAAGATGACGGAAGACGTCGCCCCACCGAAGGAAGACAGGACTGAACTCCGGCTTCGGCCTCGCCAGAAACGAGGTTTGCTGATGCTTTCTGAAGAGAAGGACAGTGATCAGCAGCTCGCGCGTTCTGGTACAATCGCTACAGAACCAAGTCGATCCATCCACGATCCAGCACCATCCGTGGATGATACTGCTTTAGCGCCTGCACCTCAAGTTCGCACTGAAAATCCTTACTCTAAGGATGAGCGGGAGAATAGGCCACCTTCGCCACAGGTTGAGAGGTCAGTGCAAAGGGGCCGGATTACGACCACGGCCTTCAAGGAGAAAGAGCAGCAAATGCAAACAAACCAGGACTCCGAAAACACTTTGGCACGTGTCGCATCTGAGGGCAGCAGGCGGAGATCCTCTAGCCAAACCCGCAGGCTCAAAAATGTCGATGAACAACGCTCAGCAACCTCAAAACGAAAGACGCAGGCAGAATCGGATCGCAGCGATAGCGAAGAACTGCCTCAGGTCCCAGTTGGTCCACGTCTAGCGAGGCTTAGCAAAAGGAGTGTCAGGAGCAGGGAAGTCATTGGATTCGTGCCCTCCAACCCGCCGGTCGCCAATTTGCCGAAGACAGATGAGCCGGCCTCGAAGCGGCTGCAGAAGCCTTCCGCACCACGACAAAACCCTCCATCAGACGATGTTTCTAAGGGTTCCTCTACCAACCAAGCCGTGGAAGAAGAAGAAAAGCCGAGGGCACAGCAGGTCGGTGATCCTTCGAGCCACCGAGAACTGGCGTACCATAAATCGGCAGCCTTGCCCAGGGGAGGCATTGGCGATGAGGAAGCATTCTCGTTGTCATCAGTTGCGGCTCCGGAGAATGCCACCCGGACCGATAATGACGAAATTCCCAAAATCGTGCGGCTGTGTGTGACCAACGACGAGGAAGTGGCGGCGCAACCGTCACGGTTGCACGAACCGCGCAATACGTCTAAGCAAGTTGAACACCCAATGAACGCCACGGGCCATTCTGGGGTTGACTCGCATCTAACCGAGAGTGAAAACCAACCGTCTCCCGTTATTTCACGGCCCGATACCATTATACGGCCCAAAATCATGAACCCGGCCACTCGGGGACGCAAGGCTGCGCTCACGTCAGATGCAGCAGGGCAGGTCCCTCAATCTATCCTTCCAACAGAACCTATCTCTGCGCGCTCGGATATGGTACCGCCTGGGGCGAAACGGCCAGACCCCGCCGTTGGTGAAGGTCCGAAGAGAAGGATGAGATTTCCCGGCTTCGCGTCAGCTAGGGGCGGAGGTCCTTGGAGCAGGGAGGCGCACGACCTCCTGGAAACTGGCCGCCCCTGTTGATTTCCTATGCCAAGCAGTGCAGTCCTTTGCCAGTAGCAGAAGCTGCAAGCTGGGGTTTGCAGTTCGCCTGGTGCCAAGAGCGAGCAACAGCGATCTAAGTTGCTTCAACATAGCATTTGAGTCAAACCTGTGCTCTAACAATCAGGGTGGACTGCTTGGAAAGCATCAAGAATGGGCGAGCAACCTGGTAACCTAGGGTGCGGAAGCAACTCCGGTCCAGCTTCGTTCCGCCAATCCAAGTGCCACCCCCGCTCTCGGTTTCCCATCCATTCCATATGGTAGCTGCCTGGAGTTCTGGGTTCCCATTCTTAGTTTCATGGTAGCACATCGGCTAGTTTGTATCCGAGGAGCAGTAGCCGACTTGGTGCTACTTGAGCAAAGTGTAGGGGGCGAACCACGCGAGGTGAATGTCTCCGGCGCTTGCGGGTGCTCCGTACTGGCTTTGCTTCCCAGCCATCACTGCCCTCAAGGTGGTTGCCGACATCTGGAGCCGAATACAATAGCCCTGATTACGGCCACGGTTGGCTCACTTGCCACAACGGAATGATCGTGCAAACGCCATTTCAGATATATACTATAGGATTTCACCATCTTCTTGGTCATTCCTAATTGCTCTTTGGGGGTGTTGAGGCATGGGGCGGACCATGGAAACCTCTGGCCGGCTCATCTGATATCCTTCGCTTGTTCTTCCAACCGGAGCAAGTCCTGTATTGCATGGGCAAAAGACCGATCGAAGTCCTTGACTTTTACACAAAATGCCGCTAGCTCCGTATGTACTCGCTTCCGAATATCCCTTCCGTTCTTTGGGGGTCACATCAAGCAGCATGCGCCCCAGCCGTTGACAATGGAACGTGGGGGTGGCGTGAAAGCTGAAGGGGAGGGTGTGCGATCTCGGCATGTCGCCAGCCCTACAGGGACCCGCACGTATCAAGTGTCCCACTCGGACCCGTCTCGCAGACAGCAGAGATTGGAGGTGGTGGGAGGGCCTCGGGAGCCGGGAGCTGGTCTACACGGGTCCTTCCCTTTCCGCCGATATGCGCCAGAACCGGGCTTCCTGAGGACATATCGTGCAGGTTCATACCGGGAGTCGGCCTTTACAAGTCAGGGGCATCATCGCCGCAGCTCCCCCAGGATCACATAGGCCTGAAATGCATCGACACAAGCCGCGAGGAGTCGGTTCTGTGGGCCCTTACTATCTCGTCTATGAGCCGGAGCGGAAGGTGACACAGCGTAGGGCTGACACTAGCATGCAGGAGAGCACCCCGTTTGCTGATTACTTGGACCGGTTACTGGAGAAGACAACGGGGCTAGGGATGGTTTAAACCGCCGAACCTCGACTGTTTGGAGCGTTGCATCCATTGCTTGCTGCTCACTGGCAGAGGACGACGTTCACTGATATTGCTTGACATGCGGCGTGCGGTGGCTGTAGGGACAGAAGCTGTAGCTTATGGGGCATGACCAATGCCGAGATTGGATGAACGGCGGTAGGTGTGTGGTGCGGTGTGGCTCGTGTTGAGGAGAAGACCGGCGGCAGTTTCTTGTGTAACGTGCCACAAGATCAGACGGTTGAGCGTGTCTACAGCTACAGTGGGCATGGCTCAATGTTTGTTGAAGTACAAATGTAGCTAACGGGTCTTTATGTGATTAGCGCCAACATCGGACTTTAGGTTATGCATATGTGTATCCGTATGTACCGTGACATTTCTCCTTAAAGTGCATTCTTTTGTAGGCGGCGGTCAATCTTTGGCCCCTCATTCAGGTGTCGTGATTGTAACTTCCAGCTTCCGTCGCTGTCGACCTCCCCTCAATCGCCCAACCAACGTCGATCTGGGGCGCGCACCGTACGCATTGCCTCGTCGACTCGGACCGTACCTCGACCGAGAAGTCAAAGAGGACACCGGCCCTTCTTTACAGACGCTTGTTTGATGGAGCACATCAAATTACAACTCCCAACATCTCCCGTTAAGGCATCATTTCTTGGCAGAAGGTTTTCCTGCCCCGGTCTCAGACCGTTCGCCTTGACGTCCAGGGCAGGCTTGAGTGACAGGACCTCGCCGTTTTCCCCACCCGCACGATCATCCACCATGGCCAAAGATGCAGGCATTCACTATATTGCTCTTGTTCAGAGCAGGACGGTCTCTGCTTATTCCGTTCGTCTGGAGAGTTGTGTTCTACCTACAAAAGGGAGTGTAGATACTGAGTTTCATGGCTTGTTTGTTGCCAGTTGTGCGGGTGACCTCGACGAGGCAGTGCCAGCCATGCTGTCCAAGTCTGCCTCGCTCAGTCCAGTGACCAAGAGCTGCCATACTTGAAACCTCTACTGCCCAAGCTTTTGATCTCTTATCATCTCCCCTTTTTTCTTTTATTGCCTTCTCCTCTCGATCCTCAGTTGTGACAACAGTTGCTCTCTTTCGTTTCCTCGTGTGGTTGGGGAGCGTTGCTCCTCCTGACTGCGGGAGCTTGGTCTTCCCAACCCGCAGCCTCGTGCAACCCAACAAGGCTCGCTCGCTCGTCACGATGCCACCAAGGCCATCCCATCCAAAGCGAAACTTCACATCGTACCAAGAAGGCTCTGGTATGGTGCCTGGTCAAACAATGAACCGCCCAATTTCTCTACAGCGCCCCATCCCAACCCCTGAGACTCAGGAGTTGTACAACAAGATGCGTCAACGAGAGGAGTGGGACTTGTTGCATGCACAGGATGAACAGGGTGACTTTCTTCAGCCTCCATCGCCCTCCCAAGCAACTACCATGTCTCGGTCACCCTCTTGCGCCAGCACCACACACTCTGTGACGCGAGGTGTACACGACATAGAGATAGACGGAGACCACTCGCAGCCCAAGAAGCTGCGCGCTGGTCGACACGGGCCTCTGTCCGACTCCGCTAAGTACCGAGCCGCTTTGATGCGCAAGCTCCGGGCCTGCGGCAGCTGCCGCGAACGTAAAGTAAAGGTGAGAAGAGCAGACCTCATGTCTCCCGTCACTTTTGACTCCGCTGACAGGTAGCTTGCAGTGCAGCCATTTTGATCTGTCTCTTTTCGAAGCCGAGTACATGAGATCCAAGATGGCCCCAGCTCAAAGTTTTCAACGCTTCAACGACTACGTTGACCTTCTTCTCGGAGTCGAAAAGAACCCCGCAAGCATGCCATCTCAGACATTCGACGAGGCTCACGTGGAGATAGAGACGTTGCTACAGCAGACTCGGGCTCAACACGCTCCAATCCCGCCAGACCCTGCATCACCCCTGTATAACTTCCAAACCGGCAGACCCATCGCCGCCCATCCAAGCCCTGACCTTGGAAACGCACAGGACGGATTCAATATGGGGCTTGAGGCGGCAATGCAGCAGACAGCTCTAGTTTCGCCTAGCTTGGGTTACTTTGAAGGTCCCGGACTTACCGTTGCCGACCCGACCTGGCATACTCATACTGGGACGATACACCAGAACCCCGATGAGTTGCGCCTAGGTTACGAGATCCCGCCACAACCAGCCGGATATACCTATACGCAAACCCGAGTTCAGCGAGACCTCGCAACAAGTCCGTATCCTGTCGGACGTCCTGAACTCGCCAGGACTAGCATGAATGCCCGGTACTCTGCGGGAAATATGCACCGGAACCTCAGCGGACCAACCTACGAGCCTGCAGAATCACATTTTCCAATCGGTAAACAGGTCACTCGCAACTCATGGGACTGCATGTGGGGTAGCGATGGATCGGGATCGTCCTTACCGGCAGGGAAGCGACAGCCTTGCAGCCAGCGATGCAGCACGTTGGAAGCTCTGAAAATGCACTTTTCATCCGAACATGCCTCGTTCCGCGACGGAGGCTATATGTGGCGTTGCACTCAATGCGGACTTGACTGGCACACTTCTCGCGAATCGTGTCCCCAGTGTGGAGTGCTTTCCTGGCAAACATGTTACTGGGCTAAAGTATGCATGCCATCGACACCGATACCGAGACCACCCGTTCACGTTCCTGCCGAGGACAGGGCTGCCGGGAGTCGCCCACCACCATGGGAGAACCAGTCTACGCAGACGTCTGGTGTACATGGGGCTTACAATTGGCCTGTTAGGTTCTCAAGTGGGGGCTACGGGAATGTAAGCGGCGATGGCAAATATCTTCATGCCGCGCTCATGGGCACGTTGAAAAGCTCACAGCAGCCCAGGGTTGACTGCACCAAGACTGCGCCCGCAACTTGCCGTTCCGGCAAGCGCCTCTCCGAGCTAGCTCGACACAATGGCTCCATCATGAAGCTTGTTTCGCTCGCCTGTGTCTCTGCAACCTTCCCGGGGCTACTTGTTCTCGCCGTCTATATTTTCATTTGGATTGATCATCAGCCGTCGACTCGGCGATCTTGTGTCCGATATAACGATGCTACCTCGTACATCGTCGACGGCCGCCTTCCTAGTCTATCCGTTGCCTGCGTCGCGGTTAGTTTGATGATGCCGAGAGTGCTGCGGAATGCTAGGATCAGACTGAGACAGCGCCTTGTGCTGACTGGTAAGGTTCACTCGATTCTGTCCAACTACTTCAGAACCGTGCTGACATGGGTTAGCGATCTAAGGTTGTGATTGTCCGAGAACTCCATGGCGAGGTTGAGGTCGACGGAGCTGTTCGTTCGAATAGCATATGCCTATCTATGCTTGGAGTTCTGTTGTGTTTTCTGGGCGTTCTTTCGGTACAGTAAAAGACGGCGGTGATATGGGCTAATGGCGGATAATGGGCGGGTTCACTTTATGTTGGATATGGTGCTATATTGGTTTATACTGGTCGAATTCACTCCATATTTTGGTTTCTGGCGTGTCGCAAGTACTTCTTGGATATTGGAATTCTCTGACTAGCGGTCTCTGCTTTGGCCTGTGGTCAGCAACTGGAAACGGAGATCAGGCCGTTGTCTGGAGGGGTTTCGATGGGCTTTTTCAATGCGATGACGGATTCTTAATGCTCAATCGAGTCCATGATATCCAGACTGTTACAACGCTGGTGAGTGCCATGCAGTTTGCCTACACACGATGTGGAAAATGGCGTTGATGCGTCGTGCAGATGCTCAAATGAATTTGCCCAACACTGCCACAGCAGTGGACGTCAGTAATGCACCTCGCGGACTTGCGAACAGATATCCGTATTGTACGGAGTACATTGACGTTAATAAGCCGCCAAGATAGTCCTGCAAGAGGAGGGAGTCATAAAAGTGCCGCTTCAGAGTTCTGCCGCAGTATTATGCTGTCGCAGCCCCTCGAAGCATGCATGTGGAAACATGCGGAATTGGTCTGATGCACCGCCATTGACTCAATTCCAAGCTTCGATCTGAAAGTTGAGAAAGGCACTGTGTACCTCCGTAAGACTTCAAGTTCCGTTCATAAGCGCAGCAGTTCAGGGCATTTCATCCGCCAGAGAGATTGCCCCACCCCCACGGCTCCTGGGCCCCGCTCAGAAGACAGCCTCTCAACCTTGTGTAAAGCCCGGGGCTGGCAAGCAATTGGAATGGACATGTATGTATGTGAGTTTATGGTGGTCTGTAATGACTGAAGCTGACCGTTCAATTGGAATGCGGGCATAAGACTTGATTGAGGCCGCCGTCAGCAGGAGAGAAGCTGGCTTTGATATTGTTCTGCGGGAGAACGAAGCAATCGGTCCAGAATAAGATCTCTCCACTGGCAATTCGATCTCATCAATTGCTGCACACAGTGCGGGCTCGCAGGACTTTGTGTCCCTTCAGACACTGCACCTTCCAGGATGGGCCGACGGAAATGACTTGTTGACTCATCCGAGGCCAGCCAATGGAACCATCCTTCGCTCCCTCGGCGCCGAGGCGCCGTGCCTCTGCTCTGGAGGACAGCTTCGTTTTTCGTGAAGCGAGTGAAGGTTAACTACCAGCTGAGTGGGGCAATGGGCCGAACAGGCCGCTCGCCGAGTCTGCAGCCATGCAAGCCACCCTCCCGCGGTGATCGAGCAGTAGCAGGTACCGGATAAGACGGGATATTTTGTAGCATGGACAATTCTACCTCATCCATGAAGGTGAGGTTGATTTACCACGCGTGTACAGGAGAAACGTCGGTCGTTCTCCAGGTCTAAGATGCTCAGGTTTTTTTATTCTATCGGCTGAGTATTTGGCCAGAGTTGTAAAGTCTAACAATGGATTGATCTCTTATCGTTGTTAAGAAAGAGCTCGCAGTCTGAAGAGTGAGAGGGTTGGCTTGGATGTGTCTCTTGGGACAGGATAAGCCCGGCGAGAGGTACCCGGTCCACCGCGTCACTCCCCTGCGCTATTCCTAATTCGACTCGCCGAAAACCTGGGGGGAAGCAACCTTCGCTGCGCCTGGATCGAGTTGACCGTTTCCAATGGCTCTTGATCTTGGAACAGAGTGAAATATCGGCCTGACTCCTTCGGTCCTGTGTCTGCCGTTTTCCCCCTTCTTCTTCCTTTCCATCGGTATCGCTATCCCCGTTGACCATCTTAGGGTCAATTCGTTTTGCTTCTGCGTATCCGTATCCGCGCGCTTCATTGTGTAAGCACGTACCTGCCTGTCCGCACTTGCTCTCTTTCCGTGTTGGATCGTCAAACCAACCCCACGATTACGCCCCGGGCGGTTCTGAGTTCCTGTCATTCGAACCACGCCTGGCGAAGCTTGAGATACTTGCCACTACCCCGACCAACTTATTTGTGACCACACCCTACACTCCCGGAACAAGCGTACCAATGGCCGGAATGGCCCGACAAGGCTCGGCCAGTGCCTACCAGGGCTTTTCCGTTTGCCAGCCGGCACTCGGATCGGCCCTGCAGTGGCTCCCTGCCATCGGCACCCCTGAACTCGACGACATGATCAACGCCTTCCTCCCCGGCCCGGCTTCCATTCAGGACAAGCGGGCCCACATCGCCATGGACTTCTTTGAATACGCTCGCCAGACTGGCGAGACCTTCAAGTTCTATCCTGTTCCCTCGGCATCCTTCACTCCGCTTACTGCGTCTCCGGCTACCACTCTGTACGACTCGGGCTACGGCTCAAACTTCAACCTCTCCCCAACCATCTCGGAGCAGGTCCCCTGGACCCAATCTTCCACGACCTTCACTCCCTCAGTATCCTCCAGTGTCGGAATCAAGCCACGTCCTGCTGCCTCCAAGAAGTCCAGCGTCTCCAGCACACGGCAGCACACTACGGACTTCGCAAATCACCCCGGCATGCGAATCATGACTAAGGACGGCCGTGATGTCACCAACTCTGCTTCTCGTGGCTGCAAGACTAAGGAGCAGAGGGACCACGCCCACCTGATGCGCATTATTAAGGCTTGCGACTCCTGCCGACGCAAGAAGATCCGCTGCGACCCCAGTCACAAGAAGAGGGCTGCCTCGCAAGCTTCCCCTGCTCAGGCTGAGCAAAAGCCTGCCAAGAAGTCTAAGAAGGCCCAAGAGCCACCTCCAGCACCATCAATCGAAGCTGCAACCGACTTCATTCTCGACGGTAGCCTCAACACAGCGTTTGACTTCCCCTCCTTGGACGCTAGCTCCCAGGAATTTGAGGAGTACTGGAACCAATTCGTCTCCTTTGAGGAGCCCGTTGCAGTACCCAACGATCATTTCGTTGAAGACTTTGATTTCACCTCCTTCATCGACTCACAAGACTTCTCTTCGCCAAGCTCCCTGTCTTCGGCTTCTCCGTCACAGCTCTTCACCCCGTTCACACCGGCGGCTTCCGGCACATCACCCACTGTCTCAACTCCTGTTGTTGATGTCGCGGGCGATGTCTCGCTTGATGACCCGACAGTACCATACCTCAATCCGGATGTTCTCCATGGCACAAACTATGTCGATTTCAACCTGTACTCGCCTGGTCCCGACTCTTTCGATGAAGACCCTGTTCTTCAGATGAGGGACGTTTCCGTCGTCCGCGGAGCCGCCGTTGAGAGGTCGCGACACATGCAAGTACCGGATGTCAGCGCATGGTCTGTCAATGAACTAGCCTCCAGTGAGAGGCCAGATTGTGATCCTCTGAACGATGTCGGCCCGGTCAATCCAGCACTTCCCGATGGACCCCAGTCATTCGGCTATTCACCGCTGTTCTCCCAGGTTGAATGGACCCGCGAGGGTGGCTCGTCACCAGAGCGACCAGTATTCTTCCAGGGTCACTCTGTGAATGTCGACGCTCCGGAGGGCTATGCTGCGCAGTCCCCTACCGTTGATGAGCACACATCGAGCATTGTGGCGGCCAACATTGTCCCGTCGTCAGTTAGTCTGGGCTCATCACCTCGACCCAGGAGGCCACCACAGGATTCGCCTGGCCTGACGGGCTTGCCATCTTACCCTGAGTCTACCCCAGGGGTTGCCGGTCAATTACACAGTCTTGAACGTGCTTCGGCCCCTGAGAAGGGATCACGTTACTGCAAGATTGGCTCGCCGTCAACAAAGGGCCTGACTGGCATCGAGCCTCATTCGTGGAGCGTTGCCGATGGACAACATGGTGTCTCGCAGGGTACATCTGTACCTGGTGTACCTGGTGTCGCTTCATTGGCGACCGAGTTGATCTCAACCATTCCGGCCCGGCGCATTGTCTCGGGAGAAGTTTCGAAGGATGATTCGACCTATTGTTGGTTCCTGTCATCCATCTTCTTCTTCCAGCTTGCCGTGTTCGGTCTTGTCTCGTTCCTATGTGCATCTGCACTGCAGACACACCTGGCAAGTCAAGCCAACTTTGTTAACATCCTCACCTTCGCATCATTATCTCTTGCCTCCCTGACATCTCGGTGTCTGGGAGCTTCGAGCGCGACACGGGTCGCCTCGAAGACCTTGCCAATACCGACGGCTTCGGGCATCATCGACAATGTCAAGTCGAAGATTCAGGCCGTTGACCAGAGCCTAAGGGGCCTCAGGTCAACGGCATCTCGGCGAGCGAGGGACTCAGTCCCCCGCTTCACGTCGGTCACGTCTTTCAAGGGCTAAGCCTTGGAAGGTGTGGGGCAGGTGTATGAGATCTGTGTCGATGTTTTGTTTGTTAGCGATTGGTTTTTGACTATGATACCCCGGGTTTGGATTTTGAGACAAGTGTCGTCCTCTTCCTTGCATGTACTGTATTCAGGGCTTGCTCTGCCAGACAGGGGAGCATTGGTGTGGTATTGGTTTGGGGGGCGGACGAGCTTGATGGCCGTGAGGACCGCTGCGGGCGATGCAGTCTTCTCTACCTCTTTGTTCTCAAAGGGAAGCAACATTGACTAGCTAGCTTTCAGACTTGACAATTTAAGGTCCTTGCAGGCCATTGAAAAATTTATCCTGATCTGTCCCTTTGATGCGGTGATGCTTTGTGGTCTTTGGCGTAGTGCGAGTTTCGACATGGCAGGAGGAGACTGATATGCCCTTATCGGGGGAATACATAGTACTTTATTCATGGAATAAGTTAACGGGGTTTTCATCACCACCGAGCTAAATTATCATTGCTGCCTTCATGTTGTGAAGTGACAGTTCTAACACCTGGGGACATGTTTCACTGTCGCAGCCAGATCTGCCAACTCTCAAGTTACATTCTCTGGTTATGTCTGGTGTGAGAACACCCAGGTCGCACAGCATCTATCTTCTCATTCTGGCTTTGGAGGCCAAGTATATCCTGACTACTTGATAGACCTTGTCTATCTCCTCACCGAGTTACGGAGTTTGAAGACTTGGCTGTGTTGCCCACGCCGCTCCTGCTCTTGATATCCCTCTTGGTCAAACCTACACTTTCGTGATATTGTTCACAATGGCACATGCTTTTGACTCCTAGTGTCCCTAAGTCTGGAATCGGCACCTGGCAGGTTGCGACTGAAGTGGTGCGGAGTTCAGATTAAAAAAGGTTCAACGAGACAAAAATGGCAATCACTCTTTTCAAAGCCATCTCGGTCATCGGCCTCAAAACCGGTGCTTTCCTGCAGTCGCTCCTTCCCTTTCACTTTGGCAGAGTTCTGCAAGCGCTTAAGGGCCTTTTCAACCCTGGTTACTCAAATCCACCTGGCCTTCCTTGTTCACCCTTCGGCTCTGTTGCTTCTCCTTCCACAAAATTTCATCAAGAGGTCGTCGACATCAACGTCGCCGGCGGCGAAAGCGACAGCGATACCACAGCGATCTCTTCATCTTTGCCAACGGGCTCTGCAATTCAAGGAAACATGGCTTCTGTTCCTCCCATTGTCCCCGCTGTTCAGCGCGTTCTCGCCGAGCAAAAGGAGAACATCCCACTCCAGAACGCTTCCCCGACCGATATCGACGCTCAGCTTGGAGACGAACTCTCTCGCTTAGTCCTCGGTGAAACTGGGAGCACGACCTCAGCAGACCCAACATTGCAGCAACCTGCAGCAAATGGCGCTGGTGTCATCACCGGGAAAGAAAATGGCAAGGATGTTGTGAACCACAGCTCCTCTCCGCAGAAGCACCACCTACCCGCCGGCTTCGCGACCAGCGACACCGTGGGAAGGGAGGTTACTCGGGCGCCCGCAGTAACGCTGACGCACTCGGTCTCTCAGACTAGTAAGCTCAAGGAGACGAGCACGATTCAGCTGGGCGGCGGAACGGTTCAGGTCCAGCCCAAGGATGAGACGCCTGAGCAGGCGGCCCAGAGGGCTATCCACAGTCGATTTATGAGGGAAGCTTTGGATATGGTGCGTCACCAAACATTCCTTGTTCTTGTTGGTTTCCGAATTTTACGGCTTGGTTAATCCCAGGGCCGTTGGTGGCTTGGTGCTGTGGCAGTAGCCTTCTGGGACACATCTCGCCCCAGCCCCTACGTCCTGACCAGTCGTCTCAACTGTCTTTCTTCACGGGTGCTTCTCCTGTCATCTCAGTTTCTCTGGGAAATCTTCTTTTTGCCTGATTACACAGACCCCCTTGGCCGTTACACGGGCTGCATTGTCTCAATCACGCTGTCTCATGTCCCACCCCTGCCTCTGGCATTTTTGATATCCTGTTCGCCATCATTCTCACTTCCTCTTTCTTCACCCGATCCTTGCTAACTTGATGTCGTGCAGGCTAGGCTGGCCCTCAGGACCAATGAGACACCTGTCGGGTGCGTCCTCGTCTACAAGGGGCGTATCATTGCAAAAGGCATGAACGCCACGAATGTCACTCGTAATGGGACCAGACATGCCGAGCTGATGGCGATTTCAGCCTTGCTCTCCTATGTACCGGCTTCCGACCTTGAGACGGCCGGAAACAACTCGTCGGACAAGGCGGCCTCAGTCCGGATGCCCCTCAGTGACAGAACCAACAAGCTGGAGCATGAAGACCCGAGTACCTGGGGCGATGTAGATCCCAGCGATGGTCACCTATACCCTTACGGGCAAAAACTTCACCCCTCTCCTCGCGTGGACAAAACTGTCATCAACGAGTGCACACTATACGTTACGGTTGAGCCGTGTGTCATGTGCGCATCACTGCTCCGACAGCTCGGGATCAAGAAGGTCTACTTTGGTGCTGTCAACGACAAGTTTGGTGGCACTGGAGGCGTATTCCGTATCCATCAGAACTCACCGTACTCGGCGGCCTCAGCTCCTCCGTCGCCCAGACCTCAATATGGGAAGGGCCTCGTGAGGCCGGTTCTTGAGCCCCGTCCGGCTTCGACCGATGGACAGTCCCATGTGGAAGATGACAGGCGGGGCGAGAGAAACGTTGTTGTCCCGGACGAGCCCGCAATTCTCCCTGGTGATGGTGGCAACGTGGAGCGCGGATTTGAGGCCGAAGGTGGATGGGGCCGCGACGAGGCTGTGACTTTGCTGAGACAGTTTTATGTCCAAGAGAACAACCGAGGTGAGTTACTAAACAAACTTGGCCGCTCACACAGTTTCGGCTCATGCTGTACACAGCACCTGTTCCGAGGAAGAAGGAAGGCCGGGCGGCCCGCCTAGCTGCCATGATGGAGCGCGATGGGCACGCTGGCGGCCCTATGATTGGGGCTAGCAGCACGCCAGTTGGCCAGGAGAATTCTGGAGCCGGCACACCCGAGGCGGACGAGCCGAAGGCGGACGAGGTGATGGCGGATGGTGCTGCCGATACCAATGCGTCCTAGCCGGACTCATTCGATTGGCACGGTCAAGGGCAAGAACTGGCTGGGATGCTGCTGCGACAATGTGCCAGCACTTCCTTCTCTGGCATACGGCGCTACATACAACATCCTGCGCCTATGGCGCTCAGGGTTGCCCCTTGACTTTCACATCGGCTGCTTCCAGCTCTCTATAAGGTCATTTGGCACACCGCACCAACCACATCCTGGGCACCCCGTGTTGCCGTTTGCACGGCACAAGGTAAGCCGCTGTCTAACGCTAGGAAGCGTTGTTGCTGACCACGATAGACCTTGCAAATTTCATGCAGCCCTCCCTACTATTGCCCACATCAACAGGGAAGAGGGCAGAGATGTGCATGGCGTGGCGTCTTAGACATACTTGTTGAGTTTTAGTCTGGCCTGTTTACTTGCAATGCGGGAAGCCGAGTCATCTCAGTTTGACCAGTGCTCACCACTTGGGCACATCGTACCTTCGTACCCTGGTTGCGATAGAAGGGCAAGACAACCAGATCCTCAATTCATCTCGTTTATTTTTCATGTCCAACATAGATTTTGCAGCCTCACGGCCCAAAATGCCTATCTTGATGGACTATTCACGCATAATTCGCGTCTCTATCACCTTAACACTTTACTCCTGCTGCTCCCTCGTGACTCCGCGGACCTCCTTATTCATCTTGATCACCACCTCCTAAGCAGCTGCCGGTGAACCAAACCCAGCCTCCAACCACTTGACCACACCCTCCCCGAAAGCCTTTGCTGCCCCGGATCGCCCTTTACCTGCCTGCTCGGAGAAACTGACCCGCCCCGTCCACCATTCCAGCCAGCCTTCCGCCCTCGCACCTTCCCCGGTGCCACTGCCACCGCTACTGAGGGAACGGAAAAGCCCCGCGCTGACATCGATCAGATCCGGGCGCTCGTCGTCGTGCCAAAAGACGGTGGCCCCGCACTGCCCGCAGAAGTTGCGATACTTGCTCGGTGAGGACTCATAGGCTTTGAGATGTGGATGCGGGGTGGCGGTTGTGGTGGAGTGCGATGACGAGGGGTGAGAGCCGAAGTCTAGCGGGATGTATGTATACACCGGGGAAGTTGAGCCTGGGGCTGAGGTTGAGGACTGTAAGCCTGCTTCGTGGTGCCGGATCGAGATATTCCGCCGCGGAATGAAGGCCCAGGTCTGGATTTCGAACCCGGAGGTCTGTCTGCAGCTTGGGCAGGCGCAGGTTCCGGCCAGGTATCTGTGGTGCCTTCTTCCCTCTGCCTCGAGTAGGCTTGGGTTGGGGTCGCGGAGGTACCATTTCACATTGGAAGGGTTGGCGATTGTCGCCGAGGGGGTGCTGCAGTATGGCAGGAGCAGATCCGGGAAGGGGGAGCCAGGGTTGTCCGGGGAAAAGGGGCGAGGGCGTGTGATGGAGAGCGTGATGGCGGTGCAATGACACGAGGCGAGCAGTGGGGTGTCGTGGTCTACCTCAGTCTCTGGTCCTGTCTTGTGTGTGTCCGCGGTACTGAGGGAAGAAAATGCGAGAGTGTTGTCAGTATGTGGCATCCAGACAGACAAACCGCCGTCTCTGGTGTCCTCGGCGTGGGCGTGACGCCAGTTTTTCGGCTGGGGATTGTTGTCGGGCTCCTCCGGAGCATCGATGATGACGCCCGTGGCTACCTCCCACTCCCACTCATCCTCCAAGGCAAATTCAGAAGGGCGTTTGGCCCGGAAGACATGGCATCCGCATGTTTGGCAGAAGTATCTCGCCGACAGCGGTCCTGTCCAGTAGCCCAGCAGCCCGGAAAAGTTTGGACGAGGAGTCGAGGCAATGGGGACATAAGAAGTGCAGAGCAGGCCTGTCGTGTAGCGGCACGTGTCACAATGACAGAACGACAAGTCTGAGAAGAGGTTGCCTGTGCACCGTGGAGTGACCGTCTGCCGGGCATGACCACAGTGGCAGGAGAGGGAGATGGAGTTTGTTGAAGGCTCCATGTTGGTGTAGGGGCAGATCACCTACGAAGGGGTGCCACGAGGCAGGATGCCGCTCTTTATGTCTTACTGCCCCTGTACCTAGAACCGAACTAGAATGCGTTGGGTATGTGTAATACGGTTTTGAGTTTGTCCCTTTAGTTGAGAATACGCGGCAGTTCAATGGTCAGCCGGGCCGAAACCCGAATGGGGAGACTTCACGGCGGCACCTTCCCTTCGTTGATTTGTCATGGGAGCTAAATGTAACTACGTACACTAGGAACACCTGGCACTACCATCCGTGCAATTGTGGCTCATTGCTCAAGTGGATTTTTATACTTGTGGTATACAAACCAAACTACCTGGTATCCGAGTCGTTCATATGGGGCTCCGCTTCAAAATACCCAAAGCTTTACCTAATGCCTCAGTCCTCATTAGCTATGCAGCCTTGTCTGGCTTGCCCAGATCAACAGGCGCATCTGAGCCAGAGATCTTGGGCTCAGATTTCTCTGCCACACCCTCAGCGTCCGACGCGTAAACGGTATCGTTACGCCAAAAGTCCTTCTTGCCCCTTGCCAGGCGGCCAACCCACGGCGGCATGATACCGCCCTCAATCTTCCATGACCACGGCTCCTTGAGTTCCTTGTTTGGCGGGACAATACGCCCGCCCGATGCCTTCTCGATGACCCAGACCAACGTGTTAATCAGGATATAGAGGCAGATGCCGGCAATGAGGCCGTCGGCGATCGAGTACGTGAAGGGCATGAGGGCAATCGTCACAAAGGCCGGCAGCGAGTCGCCCAGGTATCTCCAGTTGATCTCGGTGACGGCCTGGGTCATCATGGAGCCGACCAATACCAGCACGCATCCCGTTGCCCACGGCGGGATAGAGGCGAAAATGGGCGCAAAGAAGATGGAGATGAAGAAACAAAGCCCAGTGGCCATGGCAGTCAAGCCCGTCTTGCCGCCCTCGCCGATGCCTGCGCCCGACTCGACAAATGCTGTGACCGGCGGAGTGCCCAAGATGGCACCGATCGAAATGGTCAGCGAGTCGACCATGTAGCTGGAGCCGGTCAGAGTCAGTCCATCAAGGAAGGCTAAGAGGGTTTCCCTATATAGGGGAGCTAAGGGAGCACGTACGCGAGAGTTGACCCTTCAAAATCCTGAGTGACAGGGTCCACGAGGTTGGCATACCGGGCCATGGAATACAGAGTGCCAGTGCAGTCCAGGATGTCGACATACAAAAAGGTGATCAGAGCCAGCCCAAACTGCCCGCTGTAGCTACCGACATTCCATTCTTGGACATTCAGAGTGTTCCGGATCGGGTGGAAATCGACGACCTTCTTGAAGAACTCGAAATTGCTGTCACCCACTACCGTGTATGGGAAGTAGGTGACTGGCGTCGTGCGGGGCCATGAGATGATCGAAACGAGGATGATGCCGGCAATGATGGCGCCCTTGACCCGATACATCATTAGCATGGCGGTGAAAACACCACCACAGAAGATGCCGATCCACATCATGGGGCTGCGCATCTTGTATTGGTCCGGGCACGATCCGTCTTCTTTGAGTGCATCCAAACAGCCCGCCAGCTCCATAGGAGTCGACGAGCCGCCGACAACGAGACCAATTCCTTCGGAATACGTCAAGCCAATAAGTGTCAGGAAAAGACCGATACCAACACTTGTCGCCAGCTTGATGCACCGTGGGATGATGCGAGCGAGCCACTGCCGCAGACCAAGGAGAGCAAGGCCGAAGAAAATGAAGCCTTCGACAAAGATGGAAGTCAGAGCGACCTGGAACGGGACCTGGCCAGTCCCATGGAATCCGACAACAGTATACGCAAAGTATGCGTTTAAGCCCATCCCAGGGGCAATCCCAATCGGCCTACAAACCGAGTGTTAGCACCTTGTTTCCGGACACGGCCGGGGTCTGAACTTGCAGGTTGGAGAAGAGGCCCATGCAGAATGTTCCTAGGGCAGAAATGGCGGCGGTGGCCGTGATCAGGTCCCTCTTGATCTCGGATACGCAAAGAAGGTAGTCGGTGTCGCTAGTGCAGATGGGATCCGGACCGTCTAGCGGCTGGTGGCAGACGCAGGTACCTCCGGTGTCCGCAACGATGCTAGCATTGACGGCAATGATGTAGCTGGCAAGCAAGACTCATTGTCAGCACCCACACCAGCCATTCGAGAAGCAAGAAATGTTCTTACGCCATGGCAAAGAAAGTTGCAAGTCCCGCACGGATCTCGGTGAAGAAGTATGACCCCTTCCTCTCCTTGGGCTATCAGCCAGCCTTTAGCATTTGACGTCAACGCCACGGCTCCCTCGAAGCGCTCACATGTCCACATCCTTCTAGCTTGAACCAGCGGCCGACAGCGCTTCGCGCGATCTTCCGGTTGGTGTTTTCCACCCAACCCATCCTGTGTCTGTTTTGCGGGTCCCGGGAGGTCTGAGGTGCTTGTCGCGATGGAAGATGGCAAGCCACTTGGACTCGGTGGACTTGCTGGACTTGCTGCCGAAGCTGGGAATCTGCGGGGCAGCCAGACAGAGGCACAGCGATTGGCGTACCGCGCTCAGGAAGCTCGACAACGGGCAGAGCGGTGCTGAAGAGGCCGGGCTGACCAAAGATCCGGGTGGCAATCCATCTTTAAACCGGGTTTTGAACGGAGACTATCTGAAGTGGGAATGGTGCAAAAAAAAATCTAGAAAATCCCTTATCTTTGGGTGACCCAGCTCCCCAGGAATTGGGGTCTGCCATCCGCTCACCATCCCACTCAGAGTGTCCACTTACATCAGGGGACCCGGGACTTCCCTAGGCCCCGCCATGCATGCGTTGAGGCTTGGCAGAAGGGTGTTCGAGAATAAGAAGCATTCCCATCCTTGATCTCATGCAAAGCACCGACCGTCAAGATCTGTATGGCTCTGACGGTTCTATCTTCGGTGTCAATTCGCTGACCCGGCCGTCACCGAAGGGTGCCAAGTCCCTGGAGCCATCCGGCTCCCGAGTGAGCTGTGGCGCCGTCCCGGCGGGAGTGACCGTTATCTTCGGACGAAGGCATTTCTAACGTATCAGATAAACCATCAAGGTCTGACTGTGATTGGATGAGGGAAAGCAGCAGACTTACTTACCTCGGCTGGTCATCCTGGTCAAGAATCAAGTGGTTGCCAAGCTCCACGATCAGGCTAACCCGATGTCTCTTCTCCTGCAAGACATTGGTTTTGTCTCAAGCCACGATCCCGGGAGGATAAGATAAGAAACGTGCGGGCGGGGAATGGGAGGTGGAGGCTTGCATGAGCTGAAGTGGCACCCCCATAACCTACCCATGCAGCGCGCCACGCGACACCGCGGCAGCGGCCAGACAGTTCTAAGAGAATGGCGGACTTCCCCGTGAAGTTTGATCCGGTGCCGGGCGAGCCCCGACTTCCTTCGAGGCCCTGATGGCATTGTTCTCTCCGCAGCCGTGTCTTGATAGAGACAGTACCCCCAGCTTGCGACATTAAAGACAGTTGCAAGATAAATCAGCCGCATGGACAGCGGAAACCCCGGGAGCTATCGGGTTGCACGCGCTTCGCCGGCGGATCCCTCATTTCATTGACGGGGGCACCGTTAACACCTGGATATGATATGGAGCCCTTCAGGGCGCCAGCCCACCACAGCAACCGAAGGCAGAGCAAGGGGTTGAAGACTTTAAGTATGTACTTGTACCCTGACTCGTTGACTCGTTTAGAGCAATGCATACAGTAGTACCTTAACGCAGCTATTGTATTTGTCCACCCAACATGCTTACGAAGGCTGGGGCCAAAAAAAACTTGACCCCCAAGATAACGCCGCGAGCGGGGCGCACAAGCCACACAGTATCTGACCGCATATTCAGGCTCCAACACTACAGAGATCAGTAGCCTAAAACACCTGCAACGTTTAGTGGCTATGTCGCACCAGTTCCCTGGCTACAGTTGGTAAGTGCGCTAAAGCGCTGAGAACTTGGGGGCGAAGGGTGCTGAGTACTTCACAGTGTCAAAATCCCACCGGCATGTTCTTGGCACGTTGCGCCATGGCATGCACTCTCTGGGAAGTCAAGTTTTTTTTGGCCCCAGCCTTCGTACTCGATGTAGAGACAACTACGGATAGACCAGTTGAAGATCAAATCACACCAGACAGGCCGATGCTAACTATCCCTTGAATTCTTGCCCAACGAACCATCCTGGCTTTAGTGGACATATTCACCGACACGAGGGATTGCCACTTGAAAAACCTAGCAACCACCAGATATCTGTAACCCATCTGGCCGGATGGCTTCTGAAGGGTTGTTACGATATTTCTGATTATGGTAACGCTGAACCTAAGAATGTCGAGGAATGGATCCTCGATACTCCCATCTCATTGTCTAAAAGGTCATGCTTACCAGCTGCCAGGTCTCGGCTACTTGGCCTTCAGCCCTTCGCCTTCACCTACAATGACCAGGAATACAACAGCGCCTTCTAGATTGATGTATAAATCCCTTCGAGTTTTGGTATTCCAGTGTTGGGTCTGTGGTAAAGTGGCGCTTAGCGCAGTATGCACTTCTTGAATTCATCTCTGGTATCAATTGGTTGTATCATAGTGATACAAGTATCGCCCGACTTTATCAGAGTAATGCTATTCCTATTGTCTCCCCATGCGCATTATATATAGCCCCCTTTTAGTTTTGGCCGACCCGAAGCCCACCGACCGCTCAAGCCGTGATCACTTCCAACAGCTGCAGGCCTCCCGTATAGTCCCCTATCACAAGCCGCCTCCCGTCCCTGTCAAACGCGGCCGCCGTGGCGGGGGGGCCGCTCCGCGGGAACTCGCCGCGGAACTTGCCCGTCGCGACGTCGCTCACGTCCACCCCGTCCTCGGTCCGGCACGCCAGGTACCTGCAGTCGGGCGACACGGCCAGCGGCCACCCTTCGGCCTGCCGCACCGCGTTCAGGTTGTAGGTGTGCACCCTCCCCGTGTCGAGGTACCACACCACCACGTCGCGGCCCCACACCGTCACCACCAGGTCCCCGCCCGGGGATACCTGCAGGATGCTCGGTGGCAGCCGCGCCGCCACCTCGATCCGGCGCAGCGTCCGCCCAGACTCGACGCTCGTGATGCGCACCTGCCCATCTTTCCCCGCGCTGACCAGCGCGCCCCCCTTACCGCTGCCATCACCGCTGCCGCCCCCAAGGACGGGCGACGAGGCGGGCAAAAACGCCAGCAGCACTATCTCGTCCAGGTGGCCCATCAGCACCTGCCCCGGTTTGGTGAGCGGGATGGACCCATGCTTGGCATCCGCAGGGTCGAGGTTCAGCATGACAACACGGCGGGGATCGCGCAGCGACACGGCGGCGAGGGCGGTGCCGTCCGGGCTCCAGGCCAGGGGGGCGCGGATGGGCAGTTCCTGCTTGAGCAGTCTTTTGCGGCGGCCAAGGTCGTAAATTTCAAGGCGGGGGATAGGTTGGTGCGGCTGGGCGCCGTAGAGGTACGGACAGGCGACGATCATGTCGGTGCCCGAGGGCTTGAAGGCGAAGCCGCGCGTGAGGGCGACGCCAAAGCGGGAGGGGTTGGCGCCCGTGTATGACGGCGGGGCCAGGCGCTGGCCCGTGGCGGCGTCCCATGCCGAGAGGGTGCGGGCTCCATCTGGGCGGTAGTTGAATGTATTTGTGGGCTCGGGGAAGGTTGCGGCAATGTGCGTCCCCGAGGGCGGGAAAATGAGCTGCAAGATTTCGCTAACCAGGTAGGGCCGCACGCTCATGCCCTTGATGAAAACCATGGTGGTGATGTTTTCCGGGGGCGGCGCGCCGGGCCCTTCCTCGGGTGGGTCGTCCCATCGTCGTGGTGACCTGTTGCTGCTGTTGCTCACTACGCTGTGCTGGTCTGGTGGGACCGCCAACGAGTCCTCAATTGCCTCGTTGAAGGACGGCGCCGCGTCACACATGGTCGTCAGAGTCGAGATTGCTAAGGGACTCCTCAGACATTAAACGATGTGGTGATAGGTGGGTGTCAGGGAGCATCGGGAAAGGCCTAGCTTATGTTAGGTATGGGTTGGTAGCCATTGGTATCGTATGTACCCCGTATTGGAGGCAACAACTGTTCTTTGGTTTGGATGTGGGCAGATTTTCGTACAGTACCACAGGGCTGAATTGATGGCAGATTCATCGAGCGCGCTTGAATTCTCAATGACCAACAGTTCGTACGCGTTTCGAAATGAACTTTAGGCTCCCCGCACTCCTGCGCCACTCGCAACCGGACAACTGGAGTGAGAGTGAGAATTTGATGCCATGAGAAATGTCGGCGTGTCGCTCATGGGTTCGTTTTGGTTGGGGCCGTTGGGCATGGATCATGGATGATGGGTGGCGGAAAACACAGCCACAATATCTCCATAGATCCGTTTGCTCTTGCCCCAAGAATTGGCCTCACGAAGCCAGTGCATGAGCCAACGGGTATGACAACGGAAAGCGCCAGCCGCGGATGAAATGAACTCAGCATGTGAATTGCGTTGGATCCATGATGGTTGGTTCTCTTGATTGCTGCTGCTGGGTCCCTACCCCCTAGCCACAACTCATCATCACTGCATCGAGCCAATGTTGACGATTCACGAAGATCAAATCAGACAGAGCATTGGACCGCAAGACCCAAGAGTCAAGCGCAAGTCGAGTGGTCTTATGGTTTGTCTTCTGTCGAATATTGTCCCGCGCCTCGACCGTGTGATGGCATAGTCGACTCATTACCTTGGGGTTATCGCCTCCTGGTGCGTGGACTTTACCGTCTTGTGACGGCATCCCCATACTGTATGGGAAGCGTTGGCAGAGTCCAGACCAGCGCTTGACGAGCTCGCATTGGCATCTTCAATATTGTCGGCAAGATGACTTCGCATAAAATCCCAGATGCCGGCGAGTTTGACGGTTATAATCTCAAGTTGAGGGCTCCCAGCATCCCTCTTAACTGAGCCGAGCGACGCGGTTTTCAAAGCCCCGAGGTGAGCATGCCCGTTGACACCCAACGCTCCTGAATCGCTCAGGGTGTACGAAGTTGTAGTGTGTGGCAAACACTTCCGGTTATAGCTCCCAGCTTTGGGTGCTGGCCCTAATCGGGTGGTAGATGATGATGGGCTCGCGGTGATCCATGATGTTGACCGAGAACTTATGATGCCGGGCGCAAGTACCACCATCATGCCCGGCTTGATGCGCAGAATGCCAAGTGTTGTCTCGATATCTGGCACTCCTCGTCTCCCGTCGTGGTTAACAAGGGCCTTGTTCTTCAAGTCCCAGTCGAAGGCATACTGATGGATAGTCAGACGTTCTCAAGTGTAGCGTTGCCGTTGCCCCCGATGGTTTTCAGGCCTTCGACGAAGCTGGTCCCTTTTGCCTTGATGGCCTTCTACCTCGGGAATGGTGAGATGGTCCAGGCATGCGTGAGGGGCGTGTACACAGCGACGGGTTTGTTGGAGAGAAAGGAGGCTTCAATCTGGCGGCATACCACTAGTAGTAGTGCTAGTAGTACGGAATCAGCAAGATGCAGTGATGACGTGCTTAAGTTATGTGGTATGGAATAAGGTGTCTTTATGTTGGCACACAGAGTTATTCGCAGCATGATGGAGTGTCGTATCTTTTTCAAACTGGAGCACAGGAGGGATTGCAGCCAGAGTAGGGTCACTTCGAACTCGTTGTTTCTGTTACGGTGGCTCAGTCATTCATCAGGGCTATTAGGGCTAAGCAGATAGTAAATACTCTAGTTAGTAGCCAAGGCCCTTTCAGCCCCAGACCGAAGGCTACTACGTTATTCTAGCCCTTCCTGTTTTGTTGCAGTGGTTGACCTTCTGTTATTGCAGTGCTGTTGAAGCAGTATATAACCCTAACCCTCGAATCCTGGTACGTAGTCTCAAAGATGCTGTTTGCATTCAGAGACAAGAAATTGACCGAACCCACGTTTCCATGCCCTTTCAAGTTTCAACATCTGCTCTACGTCCGTCTGGAACGACATGCCTGAGTCATATACGAGAAAGCAGAGAATCATATTTGACCAGCGGCTCGTCGCTTGATTGAGTTCTGGACTTCAGTCTCAAATGGACTGAGAAATCACCGACAAAGTGCAGGTGCAAGATGCCAATTGCCAAAGAGCCAGTCGCTACACAGACAGCAGCCAAAAGGCAAGAGTCAATGAAATGGCCGGAATGTATCCAACCTTCTGGTGCACTATAGATTTACCAACACATTTCATCTCATTCAGAGAGAGCTCGTGACCACCGACTCTTGTCCTTCACTGCAGGGGATTGATGGCTTGCGTTTGAGACTTTGAGTCATCCTCATTACCTGTTGCTTTCTCTCTCGCTTATATACCTACTTAATTCAGTCCATCAGGTTCTTGTCTTGCCTTTCAGTTCACCACTCCTCTTTTTACCTTCGCTCAGTTGTTTTTTTGCACCATCAGGAATTGGCAAAGCCGATATCATTTTTCACAATCTTCACCATGGGCGGCTCAGCCTTTTCATCGCTTCCCGATGCCCCTTACACGCCTCGCATGCCGCCTGCGGTATACCAACATGTTAAGTCGGCATTCCACACCGCCTTGCGAGAGCTATTTGTCTACGTGGCAACGCCTATCGAGGGACCCGAGAAGACAGACCACGGCGACGTGGACATCCTCGTTGCCCTGGAGAGGCGCCTCGCCTTCCCTCACCAACACCCGACTCACCAACCCCAAGATAGCCCGTCTAACCCCCGCGATCTGATAGAGGAGATCAAACATCTCCTCAACGCCGAGTACGCTGTCGTACCCCCGGGAGGAACATCCGCGAATCTTGCTATCAGGTGGCCCAAGGAACTCGATCATCTTGTTGCTGGTAGTAATGGTGGGGACGTTGCGGGGGAGGGCGGCGAGCAGAAACAAGAGTACGTCCAGGCTGACGTTCGCATCTGCCGGGACTTGGATCAGCTTTGTTGGGTAAGTACTGCTGCCCCTGTTCTTCCTGGTTACCGAAATACACACTTGAGTCTGCCCATGCCTGCGCAGACATGGGCCTATATGAAGCACTAACGGCTGGGAAATTACTTAGATACTCTTTAAGCATGCCCATGGTGATATTTGGAATCTCATTGGGAGCACCATCCGGCCGTTCGGCCTCACGGTTGACGAGGAGGCACTTTGGATCCGGATCCCCGAGATCGAGCAGTACGACCGAAAGATTGCAAGGGTGTGCCTTACCCAGGATCCTGTCGAGATCCTGCAGTTCCTGGGCCTACAGGTTGAGGGTTTCTGGACTGAGCCGTTCGAGTCAGTCGACAAACTCTTCGAGTATGTCACCACCTCCAGGCTCTTTTGGATCCAGCCGGCTGCTCCGGACGGGGACGACGCGGAAGGTGCTGCCGGAGTCCTTGGCAGAGAGGAGGGACGGAAGACGCTCAAGTCCAACGACCGCAGGCGGATGAAGGGCCGCCCTGTCTACAGGCGCTGGATCAACGAGTATATCCCCAGTCTAAGGGCCCAAGGGCAGTTTATCCGGGAGGGCGAGGGGAAGTCAGTAAGAGAGATTCGCGACGCGGTTCGGGACGAGGCATTCGCCTGGTTCTTTGTTGAGGCGGAGTACAAGAACCGCTTGAAGGACTGGTAAGTAGAGCCGGGCCTGTTTGTTCCGCCTCTGGGTTGCCTCGGGGATCAGGGGCTGGAGGATTCCTGGGCAAAACCTATTCACGGGCGAAAATGAAAGTCACTGACATTTGTTGACCAGGCAGCTGAAAAGGGCGGACGAGGAGATGAAGTCGCTGATTAAGAGTTGGGTTCCTGACGACTTGGATCCTCAACACAGATCTTGCCTGGTCTCGGCTTTGCGGAAAATCATTATGGAAGATGACCTCTCATTTGGCGTCATCCCACCAAGCCCGCTGAAAGACGACGAGGGATTCTACAAGAAGGAAACGGTCTGCCACTTTGTCCAACAAAATTGGCAGCTAATTAGCAACATTGCATGGGAAAAGCAGTTACAAAGGGCTCGAGAAGCCATGAAGCGCAAGGCGATCGCCAAGGAGGCTGACTTGGCGGGCAATGGGCAGAACAGTAAGAAGCGGGTAGTTGTGGATAACAGCAGTGGAGGGGATTGCGCTACATGAGCTCCCTCAGGAGTTTTGCAAGGGTTTGGTCCGGGCCATACTCAAGAGAAGTCCCTCCTCGTCTACCATGCAGAGTACTCGATATCAGACTGGATAGCAAATTCCAACAAGCAAGCGTTTCTTTGCTTCGTTAACAGCGGCTGTCAATTGCCGTGGAAGAGCTAGAATCTCTTGGATTAATACCATGCCATGGCCTGGCATAAACATGCCGATCCATGAACTGCTATAACCATAGCCCAGTCATATATATGCCGATGATAGTCCCTTGACTCCCTTTGGAGATGGGGCACAGTAGCCCGGCCAGAAACTCCCTGGCCTTCCGGTATCCGGTATGAACAAAACCCGGCTCCAATCTCTAGGGTCCAAGGCTGTCTGCTGCCTCGTAACAGATGCTATTCACCGCATAAACATGCTAGCGGCCACTGAACACACCTCCCCCAAATATATGCCAGATGCTAAACCCTTTCGTCAGCAGCTATACTCTCATCTTCGCCGGGATCGTAACCCATTTCGCGCGCGGACTCGACCTTCTCCCTGGCCAACCTCACGGCCCTCCACGCACTGAACGTCGCTGTGTCCTCGGGATTCTCCGCAAACTGCTTGGCAAGCCCTCTCTTGGCCAACCGCCTCCTGTGCTGCCGCTTCTGCTCCCAGGTGTAGCGTGACGTGTCCACGGTGGCAATGTCGACTCCGGTGGCCGCGTCCCACAGGTCGGCCAGCCAGTCTGTCACCTCGGGCGCGAGGCGAGACGCGAGTTGCTTGCCCTGTCCGCCCGTCGTCCACTGGTCTAGCTTCACCGGGATTGCGTAGCCCCAGGTCGGGTCATCAGGGGACCAGTCGCATGGCGTGCCCGGGTAGCAGTACTGTGGTTTGCAGTACAAGAAGCACATCCACGTCTCCATGAGATACCACAGCGACGTAAGAAACAAGACAAGCCCTAGGAGAGTGAAGCGGAACCGTGGCTGCCGATACCAGAGGCGAGGGAGAGGCAGGTGGACGTAAGTCACAGTTGGAGACGCCGTGAGCTGAGTGTCACGGCAGAGGGGACAGGACGGATCGGCTGTAGTGCTGTTTCCATGAGCGGCATGCGGATGGTCCTTGGTATCTCCGTGGGATACCTTTTTCTCAAGCAACTCGATGCCCTGTTTTGCGGTCCGGATGCCGAGGAGACCGGTCTGAAGAGACTGGCTCATACGGGCATATGCTTCAAGTTCTTCCTTCCTGTCGAGATTGTCGCTCTCGCCAATCTCGGACTTCACCTCGAGCGGGCCCGAGACACGGGCTTTGCCACTTTGTTGGCCGAGGAAGTCGGCAATGTCATCCAGTGTCGAGTCCTCGATGTGGTTGTCCCGATGAATTTGCAACAGGTCATCTTTGACAGTTGGTGGCTTGGCGGAGTTGACCAACGGAGCGCGGCCCCGCGACAACGACCTGGCGCGGCGGCGAATCGAGAGGGATGGACGATTCGAGGATCTGTCCCTTCCTCCCGTTGATTGTGAGCTCTTTGGCTGCCGTGCTGTGATGCCGTCTCTTCTTCCCCGAAGCAGTTTTGCATCTACGGTGCCATTGTCTTTGGAGGACTGCTCAAGACCATTAGTCTGCTGTTTAGAGCTGCCATCTCCAGTAGCCACACTCGCTGTGCCCGCGTCTTCGGCCTTCTCTACCTTGACCGTCGCTGGTGTGTCAACATAGGCTCCGGTAATCTTAGGAGTTGGTAGCGTTAGCGGGTCGGTTTTGGGATTCTTTGGCGTCTCCTCGGGAGTTTCTCCCTCAGCCTCACCCTCAGGTTTGTCCTCAGGTTCTTCCTCAGGCTCCGGTGACGGTGCTCGCAACGAACCCTTTTCTGATTGGTTCTCCAGAGGCGCGAAGAGCTTCATTTCCCCTTCTATGCGCTCCGTCGGGTCGATATCGGAGTTCACAAAGCTTCCACGCTTGACAAGCCCGGTCTCGGCAGACGAGCTTCTAGAGAGCCCAGCAAAACCGACAGTATGTCTGAGGTCGCTCTTAGCGCCGCTCAGCCTCTTCTGCCTAATTCCTCCACCGGTCTCCCGGTCGCGGAACGCAAGCCCTTCAATGACCCCTCGTGCGTCGGGCGCTGTGCCCGGGCTCGCGACGGCTGCTAGACGGCGCAAAACATCCGCCGGCTCATCCCTGGTCTGCAATGTGCTATGGCCGATTCCAAACTTTTCGTACGTCTCTGGATCTTCGCTCAAACCGACAGGTTTGGCCTGAGCGTGGACTCCGATGATTGAGGGAATGTTGTCGTAGTTTCTCTGGCCATTGGTGGGCTCTTGGGCCTGCAACGCCGAGGCAAACTCCTCAGTCCTTTCTACCAAGCTGTTGCCATGCGGAGATAAGGCCCGCACTGGCTCTTTGATCGACTTCCGCGCTATATCTGGTGATGGTGAGCGTGATGTAAATGCGGCATCTTTTCCCCGAAACTCATCGAGCCTGGCTCTCGCGAGGGCCCTCCTAGATAAGCTCTCGATCTCGCGCAATCTGAGCTCGTCCGGCCTACTGTTTGCTCGGCTGGCAGAGCGGCTGCGGGGCGGCACGTCGTCGTCTTTTGGCTTGGCCTGGTGAGCGCCGCCATCATCATCGCCTTGTTCTTGAGGCTCTTCCTGGAATTTCAGAGCAGTTTCAATCTCTAGAGCGCGGATCTCGTCTAGCCGAGTGTTACTCCGACGAGGTGGGTGCTTCTCTACGAGACTTTCGTTGACCTCGGCTTCCAGGGCGCGGATGTCCTCAATTTTGGTATTGCTGCGCCTAACCGGAGGACTGCTGGAGATTTGCAAGTCGCCGGCTGTGAAGTCTGCGTCGGCCTGCCAAGCAAAGCTCTTGTTTGGAGATGGGAAGCCGGGCGAAGCAGTGTCAGGCTGAGGAGGCTGATCGGCAGGGTCGCGGTCGGCCTGCTCCGCGTCTATAACGTCAAATTCCGAAGAAGTATTGCTCGACTCTCGTTTTCTTCCTGATAATCGACGTGAAAGCCATGTGCCGTTGCTTCCAGTGTCTTTGGCTGGGCGGGGTGAGAGTTTGTCTTCTAGGCTACCCCGACTGGTCTTCCGTACCAATTCCTTGCCCGTCTCAACAATCTTGGATCCTAGCCTCGACCTCGAGAATAGTCCATTGGTGCGGCGAATTGACTCGTCCGAGTTTCGTAGATCTGGAGCAGGCGGGCGGATAGTCTCATCAAAGGCGCTGTCTGAGCCGTAGCTCTGGCGCAATTGAGCGCCGCTGGTGGCGGCGTTTGTCCCAGCCTCTAGGGATGTTTTGTCGAGCCCTCTGCGGTTCTGGGTTTCCCTGGTGCCGGCGCCCCAAATTCTCGAGGTTCTCCCATCACCTGATGCGGGACGAGACCGCCATGACCGCGGGGCAGGGCTGGGAGATCCTTCGGCGGCTTCCTCTTCCTCGGCCATTCGGTAGGCATCTGAAAGGGTGAATGGGCGGCGATTGGCTGCTGGGCGAGGGATTCTGGTATCGCTCGCCGAGGCGGGACGGGAATCGGAAAGGGCTGCAGAGCTAGCTGCGGGAGCTGTGTCCTCCTTTGGCCGTGGTCGTGAGAACAGGCTTTTCCTCTGTGACGCGCTGCCAATGACGAGTGGTGAGGTGAAGCGAGAGGTTCTCTGCGGGATTCTACTTTCCGCACTCGACGCGGCCTTTTCAGTGCCATCGCGCTCCATCTTAATATATATCGCGCTGTCCCGACGGCAGCAGACCAAACGGTCGGGGCCACAAGCAGATTGAGAGAGGTGAGAAAAAGCAAGATTAAGAGGCGAGATGTAGGGTCGCGATAATCGTTGTAATTTGGGGGTGCGCTCTCATGGCGAGAAGATCGGTTTTGCTTGGGCTGTTGACTGTATCAGGAAAACCCAACTGCTTGTCGTGGACCCATGGCGGAAATGGCAAAGAAGCCCAACAGGAACAATAGGGCGAGCAAGTTGCGGTTTCCGAATGCGCTGGAGGTTGTCGTTGCCAACTGGATCGATGACTTGGCGGGTCGTCGAGGTCGGGAGCTTGGGCAGCTGGTCTCGCTGGTGTAACGACATTGAGCATAGCGGGAACACGCGCTATTGGTGGTTGGTAGATGCATGTCTTCGGCATTGTTACGCGATCACAACTCCCCTGTTTTCGTCACAGCCGAACCTTACAGCTTAAGCTGGTAGGTACAAAGTTGCTGAGGATAAGTCGAGAGTAATTGAACGTGAGAGGGAAAAAGCATGGTGAGTATAAGGCAGTTAGCTAGCTGGATGATGTTTCCAAAGCGTTCTGCAAGCAAATTATAAGCCAGCAAAGAGAGGGTACCTAGATATGGAGGTATTGATGAGGTGAATGCTCTGTATTCGTTGTTAAGACCCTTAAAGTAGCATGTAATTTCCAATACCAAAAGGTAACTTTCGTCGCACATGGGTCGGCTACCCCCCGGAAGTCTTGGCACCCAAACTTGGTTTTCTGTCGGGTTTCTGCTTCTGGTTCCGGTTCACAACCGCCGAGATCCAGAAATTTGGGGCGCTTGTTGTTCAGGTTCGAGATTTCGAGCCAGGTCAACAAACCTGTATTCAACACAATCTTACCGAGAGTACTGGTCGGCCAATTCGCCCGTGCCTCCCAACTCTAGCAGCAATGACGGCGTCTCTGGTGGGCGGCAGATCGCCGACCTGCCTGGCGTGCCTCCGGAGACTAGCACAGCCATTCGGCAGCAGCATCAATGGCAGCGCCGGCAGCGTGTCGCTGGTGCAGGTGCAGGTTCGCGCAAAGTCCAACAGGATGCAGCCGCGTGACCAGGGTGTTGTTGTCCGCTTGCTCGAAGACATTCCCTACTATGGCCGCAAAGGTAGGCCCAGTTACTGTTTACCTACCCGAGTTGCCGCACCCTGTGGGATCATGGAGGAAGCTGACGGCGGGCCTCACCTGTGTCTGTTCCTTTCCAGATTCCGTCTTCCGCGTCGAACGCGGCCGTATGCGCAACGTGTGGTACCCCAGAAAAATGGCTGAGTACATGACGCCCACCCGGTTCCGTGAGCTAGGACTCACCAAGGACGACATTGGCGAGCGAGACACCCTCTTTGGCTCCGCGGCCGCAAACGAGTCCGAACAAGACTCGGAGCAAACAGCCACGAAGGCCGCTATTCCCAAGTCTAAGCCTAAGCCCATCGCTGCAACAGTACGTCCACTCGCCCTCCTACTCCTAATACCATACCATTTCCCGTATCTCGCTCATACTCCGTGCGCTTGTTTTACTAACGACATATAAACAGCCCGAGCAGACGCATACCATCCTCAACTCGCTGGTCCCCGAGACGCTGACATTCTACCGCAAGCCAATCCCGGCGCCTACCCCTGCCCGGTCCGCTGCCTCTACCTCGGAGCCCCGGCGCCGGGTGTCTCCCCTCGTAGCTTCCGCCCAATCCCCCGAAGCAAGCACACGCGCCGATGCTGCGGACAAGACACCGGGCGCTGCTTCTCAAGCCATATTCGGTTCCGTGTCTACCGCCGACATAGTGGGTCACATCAAGGGACTGCTTGTGGCGGATGCCGATGCGAGCCGCATTTCCTTGGACGCTGAGCAAATCCGCTTCGTAGGTCTGGGAGCCGACACAGACCGGGTCAAGGCACTGGGCACCTGGGAGATTGAAATTGCAGTTGGAGGCAACCTGGAACCTGTCCGCAAGATGGTCGATGTTATTCCGCTGGAAGAAACCTCGAGCAACACCGGAGCGGAGCCGGCCCCATGAGCCGAGCAGGTTTGCTTGCCTTAGTTGGGGACCTTCCACGTTTCCCGGCGTCCTGGCGGGCGCGGCTTGTAGAAAGATTAATTTGCGATTTCGCATGTAACTATTACTGTATCTTGCTATACGTAGACGGCAGTCCTCTGCGACATCATCTCATGAGAGTTCATAACATACGAGTGCTTCTCAGCCCCGCGTGGGCCTACTGCTGTCGCGAGCACTCTATTCTTCTTTGCTGTCAGACCTCCAATGCTCAGCAAATCTCGCCAATAAGAACCATACGGGGGAGCATATGCGACCTGATGCAGTGGGTAGCCCACTAAGTCTGCATCACACTCCGTCTTCATAACGGATTCCAAATCACCGTGCTGACGACGCTCCCCCCCACCGTCATGAAAACCAGAACCAATTCCCAAAGGTCGATAGGCTCAACCCCCGACCCCGTAGTTGACATCCAGGCTCCAGAGCGAATCCCAAACAACGCTCCTTTTCGCTGGACTCAAAGAGGCAGCACTGTCCTCTCGCTGTGGATGGGAGCGGGCCTGCCAACATTGCGTCAGCAACCTGGGGCGGTTGGAGCTCACTCAGGGACCCATCAAGGAATCCATATCGTTGCGAACCTCGAACTGCGACTGTGACGGCTGCTGCTGGCCATATACGGCCTCCGTCGACCCTCCACCGCGGCCGCTTGTCTGGCCTGTCTCGGCCGCCTGCACCGATGCTTGTAAGGGATCATGCTGTGCTGCGGTGCTGTTTACAGTGGCATGCTGCTGTGTTGGGCTCGTCGCCCCTGGAGTGTCTGCAGCCACGGCACGGAGTGAGTTGGTTTCACTGGCTACGGCACTGTCTCGGCCCCTGTTAGCCCCCATCGCAAACGGCAGGGCTTTCTTAGAGCCCGTGCTGGAGCGGCGGCTTTCCAGGCTCTTGGACAGTGTCTTGCTCACTCCTTCAATACCCGAAGCCACGCCGCCGCGGACACCCAGTCCTCCGCCCTTAGAGCCTGACCGCCCATGCGTGTGCATGTCGGCCATTGCTTCCACGTTATTAGCCGCGACAGTGCTCTTGGCAAGCCCCGGGGTCGACGGCGCCCCGGGCTTGTCCTCGGAGGCGTCGATCAGGTACCAACGCAGGCCGTCGGATAGATCAAAAGGGTTGTCGTTATCCTCGTCGTTCGGTGACTCGGAGCCCACCGCAGCGCCCTTCTTTGATGACATGGTTGACGGGTGCTGGAGCGATCTAGACAAATCCACGACACGCTCCTGGATCCGCGTGATTCGAGCCAAGAGCCACTCCCGAGTACGCAACCTATGCGCCTCTTGCTCCCGCAAGAAGTAATGGGGAAAGCCCACGTTGAATGCTGCCCAAGCTCCAGTTGTCTGATTTCTAGTCGGCAGGAAAAGGGCAAGATCGCCTTCCTTGAACTGTTTGTAGGCAATTTTCTCATGTGCTTCCTTTTGATATGCATGGGCTTTCTCCCTGTACGCTCTTGCGTCGCGCTGAAGCTTGCGAGCCATGTGCTCGACATCTTTCACGCGGCGGTATACGGCTTCAGAAAAGGCATCCATGTCGAAGGACCCCAACGAGGTGACACAAGCCTCGTACTTGCTTGCCTCAGTCTGCATATCCTCGCTGTCCATCCAGTAGATCAACTCCGCATCAACCGTTTCGGTAGCAGCACGGCCATTGAAGGTGCCGGATCGACGGAGAGATGAACTTGGATCCGAATCATTCGCATTCTGTGACGAGCGCTCTGATCGAGGGACCTTCTGAATCACCATGGCCCCGCTGGCCTGGCGTGTCACTGAAAACCCGAGCCGCTCGAGCAGGTGAGTAAGGCGCTCGTTTTGTAAGTACAGCCGCCGTGTGAGGTCCTTGGCGCGCTCTGCTCGGGCCTCGAACCAGGGGCCCAGTTCCGACACCTTGGTTTGGGATTCAAGCAGCCTTTCCTTGAGATGCCGGACCTCTTCCTCCAAACTACCCACTTGCGACTGCCGCGAAGCAAGCTCTTCTGTGACACGCGTGATCCTTTCCTCCTCTTGCTTTAGCCGCTTCCGGAGGGATTCAGAGCCAGTCTCCCCGTCCGCGATCCTTATACGCAATTGCTTGAGCTGCTCATGCCCGTTCGCCAGCTCACCCTCAAGCGCCACTACTTTGGCCTTTTCTTCGGCAAGGGTTTCGCGAAGGCGGCTCGACGCTGCCTCCTCAGTCGCCAGCCGCTCTTCGACGGTCGCCTTTTCTGCCTTTGATGATTTGACCGTATTCCGCACCGAGTCAATCTCCAGCCGCAGCATAGACATGTCAGCATCCAAGTCCCGCCATTTAGCCAGAACATCGCTGACCTTGACCAAAATCCCTTCGGTAAGATCAGCGAGGTCCTCAGGTACAGCTTCGCCCGGCGAGAGTTGACCCCAGACATCATGCAGTGCCTTGAGCTGCACGTCCGCAGCACTGCTTAGCATTTCCAACTTCTTGTCGAGTCCCTTGGACTCGTCCTGTGCGGTCTGAAGCTGTCGTTCCTGAGCCTCTATCACTTCGCGCTGGCGCCGCGTCTCGTTACGCAGGTATTCGAGTTGGCCTTCCAACTTGAGTGTCTCGTCACCTCTCTCCTTAGTCAGCCGTTCAACCTCGAGCTCGAGGGCGTGGATCTTTTCCTCAAATGAGGCCTTTTCGTTTTCCCTCGACTCTCCAAAATGCTCTATCTCATCCTCGGTATCCTCTAGTCGCGCCTGGAGTCGTCTGATCTCGTCCTCGAGTGATTTCCGCTCTTCGGTAAACTCTCGTTTCAAAGCCTCTAAGTTCTCCAGGAGATCCTTCTTTGTCGAGTTGACTTCTTCCATTTGACCTTTGATGTCGTTGTGTAGCGTTACCCGCGCATTCAAGTCCTTTTCAAACACGGCCGACCGCTCCCTCTCTGCTCCCAGCTCGGCCTCCAGCTGCTGGATTCGGTTTATAAGAACGTCAGTACCTTCAACAGACTTTCTCCGGTCTTCTGAGACCCGGGGAGATTTGACTGAGTTGGTAGAATCATATCGATCTGGAAGTTGCTGGCTTGGAGTCTGGAAAATGTTGGCCAACGACCCCCGCGATGCTTGAGTCTGTCTGTGGAGCAGGTCCTCCAGTCGTCGCACACGGCTTTCGGCGGTCTTAAGCTTGCTCTCCAGCTTCGACTTGTCCTCTTGTAGCGACCGAAGCAGGTCGTCGTCACCCCGAATCAGCAGCCCGCTGCGTCCAAGAGCGGCCTCATGTATACTGCCATTCTTAAAGGCTTTCATCCTCTTTGACTGCTGCCTGGTGGGGGTGCTTATCTCTGCGATGAGCTTGCCAACATCGGCAACAATCTCGGGATCGGCCTTCTGAGTCTGCAGGAGTGCGTAAAAATCCTCCAGGTCACTCCTGGTCATGACAGGCCACTTCTCTTCCTCCCCAAGGAGATTCACTTCCAAGCCAGGAACGTTGCCGTCCAAAGTAGGGCTCTCTGGTCCATATGCGTTACCAACCGACTTGTGCCATTTCCTGCGTCGCTTGATCTCCTCTTCCTGGAAGAGGGCCATTTCGTTGGCGAGGGTGGACGAGTCTTGCTTTGCTTTCTCAAACCATTCGCGGCGCCGAATAGCTTCGGCCATGAAGGATGCGTACATGTAGGGAACTTGCTGTATCAGGCGAAGATAATCAAACGCAGCAAGTTCGTCATCCGGGCTGACGTCGTTCAGCTGCGACTTGAGAGTATTGCTCAGGGCTGTGATGGCAGTAATGCTGCGCATGAACTCGACCGACTCGGCGGCCAGTGAATTTCTCGTCTGTGTCGCGTAGCGAAGCATGTCGTCCATTTCCAAAGCGCGCTTGGTCATGGTCGGCAACAAGCGCTCCGTGTGAGTTGCTGCAATTCTGGAAGCCTGCTGAACGTCGCGAGTCGAGCTGGTGTACTCGAGCGCTGTCTGGTAGTCAATGTCAATCTTTTTAGCCACAGCGTCTATATCATGAACCAGCTGCTGGGCTTCACCGCTATGCGACAAGGCAGAGCGCGACACGGTCTTTTCAAACTCACGGAAAAGATCCTCTGCGTCGTGAAACAGGCGGTTAGCAGTCTTCTCGAGCTCTGCGACACGGGTGCCGAATTTGCGCAACGCCACGGGCGCGAGTCGGCCGGCCTTCCGCGCCGTGTCCAAATCCACGAGGTCCTCGAGCGTCGTCTGACGCTGGGGCCGTCCTTTAATTCCGTCAACAACACGGCCCGTCATGAAGCGCACCATAGCGGCGGAGACAGGAATGCTTCGTGCAAGGGATAGGTACTGCTCCCAGCCCGCCGTCAGCGCGCCATAATCAGCCTGCGCCGTTGGGAGCCATTTCTTAAATTCGGCATACTTGGGATCAAGACCCTTGATGACAGATTCCAGGTTTATCACAGCCGCGTCAAGGCAGCGCAGCATGACATCGATTTCGCCGTACCGGTCCTCGGTTGCTGCAGCCATGCGCCTGCAATCCTCGGCCACTTTGAGCGCCCAAGCCCGCCGAGTCTTGAAGAGTTCCTGCCATGATGGAAGACGTGTTGCGTCTTCAATGGAATTCGGCGGGTCAAGGACCACGTATTGCTTGTGAACCGGGAGGTCGAGTTTTGGCGGCGCCGAGGAACCCGGTGAGGGCGGCTGTGTCAGCCGACTGTCATAGACACATATTTCGTTCTGCCAATTACCGGGTCAGGTTACGAAGGTTCTTTTCAGAGGGGATATTAGACCGCAAACCTCTGTTTGGATAGTCTGTAGCTTCAAAGGCTTCCCCTGGTTGGTCAGGGTAATGATGTACTCGGCAGGTATGGATGTCTGCCGGCCCACGGTGGCTTTGAGCTCATCTACTCTGGAAGGTGACGGTCAGCAAGGGAGCTTGGCCCAAACGACCAAGAGCGAGATTTGGAAGCAATTCCGTACGACGAAAGATGCGAAGCATCGATTTGCAGGCGCTGGCCCGTGTGGGCGATCAACACCTGGGTTGCCATGCCCTCGCATGCCTTGCGATATTGAGGCGAGTCTGTGTGCGTTGCGAGACAGGTTTGGATGGGAGCCCTCGAGACCCGCCTCGCTGCTGCCTCTCGACCTTGTAGTCGTTGACCCCGTCGACGGCTTCGGCTTATTGATCTTGGCTCAGCCGGTTACGCCGATCGATCCGCGCGTAAAACATCCGCAAGGAGATAAGAGCAGTCCCAGCGACGATGTAAACTGGAGGCGAGGTCGATCCACGTACAAAATCACAGAATAAGGTGAGTTCTAGGCAGTCGAGTCTGTTGACTCTGTTCGGGTTGTCAGGAAGCAGCCATCCACATACACCGGAGGTCATTAACCACCATGCAGGGCCACTAAGCCCAACCAAGCACTGCCATACAGTACAAAAGATGAACCTGAATAGGGTATTGATACTGTCCACTCCTGTACTAGTAAGTATCCTCCGTATTAGAGTACTAACATACCGGAGCAACTTGAGCTATGGCTTTGATTCTCTAAACTCTACTTGTAGAAATGAACAAACTGCGAAGTTCATGGAACAGATTACAAGCTTCGGAATCCTTTGATGAGTGCAGTAAGCTTGTACACTACCCATTGTACCATGCGACGATGCGGTGGATACCGTGCAGACTTCAAGTTGTGGCTGGAGTTGGACTGCGTTGCTGCTGCGGAAGTTACTACACGGGCGGCAGCAACCACTGTACCAGTGGCAAGCACCGTATGTAAATACAGTACGGTATCGATAAGTATGTATTTTACATACATACGTACCTGAGTCGCATCACATTGCGACAAAATGGGAAGGCCACTCACTGTTGATTTGATCACTCACCTCAAAATATACAGCATACCACATGCCAGCATGATTGATGCTAGCGGTATTAATTCCAACGATCCCCCTCCTATGCTTCGTTTTACGGAGACCGAGGCCGCCGTCTTGAATCTGTACGACGACCTCCGTCGACTAGAACTCGAGCTTACTCTGCTGCGATCGCAGCAGAGTCATGTATCAACCGCAGGTCAGATACCCGAAGCCCATGCCTCTGTTTCATGCGCGGACCTTCGTTCTAACTGTCTTCAGCCCATGCTTCAGCGAAAAGCCAAATAACCGATGAACGGTTGAGTCTTCTAGAGGCAAAAGGAACGCTTTCGTTGCGAGACAGCGTTGTCGAAAGCGTTGTGACAGTCAAGCCGACCCTAAACGCTGTCCACAATGCAACGGATGCCTCGCCGTTGGAACGGTATAGACACAGATTCAAGACCTTGAGGATGGATCAATCTGCCCAACAAGGCGATTACTAACCAAAATGTAGAGAATTGCTACCCTACATCGAGCAGCGTGATGCGGCCGCTGCGAAAGCAGCAAACATGTGCTCTGCACTGCAGACGGCTAACAACACTCTGGCGGAGCTCGAGGTCAAATGTCTCCGCACCCGTGATCAAAACATCAAGCTAGCAACCGAAATATTGGAGCTTAGTAAAAAGGCCCATCAGAGCGGGCCAGGTATCATTCAAGATGCGCGATTCAAGGAGGAGATAGCTGCTCTGGCGGGTGAAATGAAAACCAGCCGGCGCAAATGGAGAGTGATCAAGGGCGCAGCCAGTGCCATCGTTGCAGGAAGTGGTATCGATTGGGTTCGAGAGTCACGTTTGAGGGATCTGGTACTTGACTCTCCAGATTGACAGACAATAGGCCAGGACATAAACGACGGGAGTCTTCAACTGCCCAGTATCTTGCATTGTCAGCTGGACTGGTAGTTACAGACTTCTGTGTACACTAGGGACATACATCCAGCCGCATTGGACAAATACATGGGGTCCAGATGGGTGCTTGGTTTTGAGTGCCTGTCGCGGACTCGCGGTCAGCACCGCGTCCCGCGCCAAACAAAATTACGCGAAAATGCCCATGGACCTCGCTTGGAGTTACACACTCATCACGCCAATTTGTTCGGGACCGGTGAATTCAAGTAAGACACATACTAAAAATACCCCAAAAGTACACGATCTACTTGATTTATCATTCGATAACACGTTCAGGATGTGTATCAAATGGTATATGTTGGACGAGAAACTGCATCCATCTCGAGGAGAAGTCAGGGGCAGTTACAAGCTACAACGGATGGCCAGTGCATCGAATTCAAACGCGGGTGCACAGATCACCTGAATGTCTCCTGAAAGGGTGGTGGGTCTTCCAGACACAGATTTGCCTGTTGTGCATGGCCCCAGCCCATTATGATTTCACACAGTTTGGATAGTCAAGCTGCCAAGTCTACCCGTCTGCTCCTCAATGCGAACGAGACATCTACCTTGCGAAATCCATTCGGGAGAGACCTTCTGCGGCTCGGACGCCTTGTTGAGCAAGGTGCAGGGCGCCTGCGGAACCAACTGCTGTCTCGGGTGAAGAAGATGGATGGGAAGCCGCCTGTCGCGGCGACTGGCATTTTCTGCGGCGAGGGATGCCCAAAGGAAATGGTGTGATTGACTGAAAGGAACCAGCCCCCGAATAAGGGTGACGCGCGGAGGTGCGTGCTCATACCGGTACCACGCTGCGAGCTGGGCACTGATGTTTCCCAATTGTATGGGGTACTTGGCTCGCAAAGAATTTTGGCGTCATCCCAGGTACCGATGAGACCAGGAGAAGTACCATCCAAGATACTCCTACCTCTACCATTTACTTGCAGCACATCTCAAAGAGACATTTGCAGGCAAAGATGCTTCCATGAGACCAGCTTACAGAACCTATATTAGGTCACAGCAAGAAGAGATTAGACTCACTACAGTGCTGCTTTACAGTCTCGAGAGTCAACCTGCAAATAGACTAGAAACATAGAACTCTATGTTGTCGGTCAGTGTTCCCAGCTCAATTCATGTTTGCTAGTTTAGAAGTGATAGCAACTGGGCGTTGGCTGGCTTGTTGTAGCATAGGTATAAGGAAGGGAAAAGACACCTTCTTACATCCAGTCAGAACCTTCAGGACGATATACCAGCAGCGCTTTCTTTGGAGAGCCTAGAACCTTCATCGAGCGCATGATAGGAAACTCCATACACTGATGATCTACGCCTAACAGATGAAGAAAGGCTCACTACCTAGACAACTCAGGTTGTGGCCCTTGCCGTAAGCCTCCCAGCTTTAGGAGCCTTGAACGCTAAAGCGCCCTTTGGTAACAACCAAGGAAGAGCAGTGTAAGTGAAGCCTGTGTGTTTTGAGAGACACCTAGGAGATTGGGCTTGGTACAAGGTACATCGGTGCACAGTCCAGCGCTACATGGATGCTTGTATTTTGTACCTGGAAATTTGGGTCAGCTAGAGACAGACACCTTACCACACTGGCAAGCAGTGTGGGCAAAGAGGGGTTGGCCTCGCCCCTCCCCAATCACGGCCAGAAAATCAGCCCGCCTGCACCTTTTTTTGTTATGAGGCAGGAAGGAGCAAGCCCCCTCCCGGCCGTTCTCAATCAGCCGCCCATAGTAAAATACGGGGAGAGGCGTCCCCCTTCCCCTCGCAAGATCTCCCTCCTCTTCTCCCATACAAACTGCGCCCGCGCGAAACTCTCTGCATTGCCTACACACAACTGCCAACCAGTGAGTACTTTCTTCCTCTGCAAAATCACAGCCGCATTCAAAGTCACTCGCCCTTGGTCCTGATTGGCTTCATTGCCTTCATTGGAGTTCATTTCTACGTTGTTTCCTTGGGCCTGCGATTCTTGTTTGGCCGTCGCGACTCAACGCTAGTCGTCGCCTTCGCTTCCTCCCACAGCGCTCCCCTCTGCAAGTGCATTACTCGCATCATTGCCGTCCGCCAACCTGCTCCAGCATCTCGAATCTAAACAATTGGGCGTTGTCTCTAACTAGAAGCGCGATTCAACAGAACGCCTCAACACCACTCTTCATAATTCTCCATTTCCATCCTCAGGTGCGTATTTCGATCTCATTAGATGGTCCATGAGTTCTATGACGCTTTTTCGCGTCGTGGTCGACCGCAATTGCATTTGCGACATAACGGCGTAGCAAGGCGCGCGTACAACCGGAGCAGATCGCGCCAACGCGCCTGCTCCCGCTACCCCTCGCTCGTGTATTTTGTTATTTTGAGATTCATAACGTTCCAAATCTGCGGGCTGCGATCTGCGAGGCGCTGCACCAGTGACCCTGGTCCATGCCATTTATCAGAATCATCCTGACATAAAGTTCGTGACGGTGGCTAACCGTCATAAATAGCAAATCAGTCAAAATGCCTAAGGCAGCTAAGGGCAAAGCTGGCAAGACTGATAAGCGCCGCAAGAAGGGTAAGTGAGCTCGGTTGCGTGCATCGCAGTTTTATCCCCAAACTCCCCTTCCAAAGATCGCTTGACGCCAGTTGCGCCTCTCTGATGGTCCTAATCTCACTGAATCGTGCAGACCCCAATGCGCCCAAGCGTGGGCTGTCTGCGTACATGTTCTTCGCCAATGAACAGCGCGAAAATGTTCGCGAGGAGAACCCCGGTGCCACGTTCGGCCAAGTTGGCAAGATCCTCGGTGAGCGGTGGAAGGCTCTGACCGACAAGCAACGGGCGCCGTACGAGGCCAAGGCCGCCGCTGATAAGAAGCGCTACGAAGATGAGAAACAGGCGTACAACGTGAGTTTCCTAGGTTCATGAAAAGTGCCACAGTGACTGACGGGAACGCGCAGGCCGACGGCGAGGAAGAGGAGTCTTCCTAGGCGTGCTCTATTCTCGCCGACGCATTGCGCTCTTGGCGACCAGTCTTGATACCTCAAGATGACCAAGCAAGACGATGCGCTTATCATCAGGCTTTCATTTTCCCCTTGTATCTTTGGGACGGACGGTGTTGCTTGGGGCAGGGCAATTGGACTTTTTGGTGCTTTTTTTTACTTTTTTCCTAGCATGGTTTGCACGAGGTTACTATGATCTAAGGGGACTGGAGGGTATGATTCCACGGTTCCTTTAGTATGGATGGCGGTCGATCCATACCATCAGAATAGGGGCGCAGCGCTGAACCCTATGATTATGTATAACAGAGACCGATCTTCCTTGATCAAGCTCAGGAAACATCCAAGTCCGTGGGAGACGCGATGAACTGGCGAAGCGCGGCCTGTTATGCTCGTGGCTTCTTGAGCTCCTCTGCGTTGTTTGTGACAGCTGCCCGGTGTGGTGTTTCGTAACCGAAGAAGGCATCTGAATCGCCTGGAAAAAAGATGCTTGATGCTGATGATGGTGATGGTCAGAGTTCGGGGCAAGCCGACGTCATACCGGTACTTCCCCGTCCGCCAGGCAAGTAAAGCAGGTGATGGCTGGTCGACGGTTCGACCATACCTAGCCCTGTGATCTCTACAATTGTAGATAAGGGTTGGCGATCAAGGTTATATAGGTATGTTCTTCACACCTCAACTCCCGCCCCCGGCGGGGACAGCCTCCTCCCACACTGATTAATGCAGGATCGGCACGTACCGCCTGTTGGTTGATGCCCAATTATCTTCCCCTGCTTCACGGCACCAGATCCTCATCTCGGCATTCCTTTCTCCAACAAATGCAAAAACTGTACGGTACTTTGGTTTCTGCTCCATCGCATAGTATCAGAATGCCTTCATATCGCGATGTCCTGGTGACAACGAGGGACCGGACCCTTGATATAAGGTACGGCCAGTGTCGGCACCGCGGATACGAGAACTCCCAGTAACTCAATGATTGAAGAGCAGATGCGGAACGTCGTCCAATTGCAGCTCGTTCGTTATTGCCTAACTCGCTCCCTCGCGGTGCATGGACCCGTGCATGAATCTCAATTTCTCGCTCAATTGGTTCGGCTGTCTTTGACGGCGCCGACATTCCACCCAGATTCGCTCTTGCAGCCGAGTGCTCAGTTGACAGCAAGCCGTCCTAATGCACGTCTTTGGCTTCTCTGCAACTCAGGCGATTGGACGGGGACTTCGTGGCAGTCGCTGACTCCCCAGGCCACCTCACCTTACATTTCTCACGTTGCTTGCACTGCAGCAAGCGTCGCACCATATCGCGATTCTCATTTGATATTTCTGCATGCCAGCCTCTCCCATGCCGTGGTTGATTCGCAGCGGCAACCATCCATTGCTGGCGTGGGATCCTCGCATTGCCAACCTGAACGCTTCTTGCTTGGCGGGTCCCTTCACACTCCCCGTCCATACAATCGATGCCCAATTCCCGGCTTTTCTTGCGTTAACCCTGACCCAGAGATTATCCCAGTTGCCGCTGCCCTCACGGGACCTTGGGGGGACACACGGTTTTGTGCTCCCCTCGGCAGTCATCGCACCCAAGCAAGCTCCTTGATGAGGTCTTTTGGCCGCGGGGTGGACCAAGTGGCCATACCCTTGATGCGGGCGGTGAGATCGTGATTTGGGCGATATCAGTCTGAGGCTCCGGCTCTGAGCCGAACTAGCGTCTGCAAGACTGCATCCTTAGAAAGGGTGGTGTTAGCGTGGCCAGCCCAGACCATGGGCCCCCATTCTTTTCCCGAGTCTTGTTCCCACCGTGGGCTCACATCGCCTATGAAGCTCCGTCCTCTTCCTTCCCCTCGTCCTTTCTCTTGTGCTCTCGAAACTTCTACCCCAGATTTTGGGTAGCACCAACCCGCTTTGCATTAGAGGACCATTCTCATGGAGCCCATCCCGGAATATACGACTATGAGGAGGGCCAGGACGATCGAGTAATTCGAGTGACCGAGAGTGTGTCGTCAAACTAGCGAACACGCAACCACCATGGTGTGTCTCGGGTCCGCCATGGGCCGATGCTTTCAAGCCGATCTAGTATCTATCGCTGTTCGATCCGCCATCACCCTTGACTGGTAAACTCGGGTTCGCAAGGGCGAGAGAAGGAGCCAAGGGAAAATGGAGCAGCTCGGCAACTTTATCCTTCCCGTTGAGATGCATCACCTCCTCCGGGATTGCTGCCGCGAGGCTGAGCGGGCCGATGTTGTCTCCCGGGGTCTGGACCTACTGCGCGCGGCGCTCCCCGAGTCGTTCCATGGCCATCTGATAGCCCTCGCCGGAGAGATTCGAACCTCCAGCAGGCTCCTCCGCGGTCTTGCAGATCGCTCCCAAGTGCACATTATGCGCGTACCCATCGTCACCACCTACCTAGACGTCGTGCTGCCCTGCCTGTCCAAGTCTCTCAAAGATATCATGGCTTACTACGAGGACAAGACCCTAACGAGGGAAATACGCTGGCGCAAGATGTACAACAAGATGACCGAGGAGGCAGGGGGCCTTCCTTTGCCCCAGCGCTTCGTGCTCTACAACCACTACCTCTCATTGCTGAGACAGCTATTGACCAGGTAGGTGCCCTCATCCGGCCGGCCATTCCCAAGCCCCACCTCCTAATCCTCGAGTCAGGTCACCCAGTTTCGACCTGAATACGTTGGAGAGTCTCCGCACGCGGATTCTGAAATTGCGGGAGCAGAGAGGAATCCGTAAGTGCCTGTGGCTGTCAGCAGTCTGGATTGACCTCACTAACCTTCTTTATAGCGGCGCCACCTTTGCAAGTTGGCCCTCTGGTCCGCCAGGACCTGATGTCTCTGGCAGTATTGCAGGAACCTGTTTGTAACCGACGCTGTGAACAAGTTTTGCTACATACCCTAACACGTGCCGCAGAACGCGCATTGGGCCGAGCAGATATTCTCACTGCCCTTGCCGTCACGAACGGCCCTGAAGCATCTGAAACCGTGGGTGTCCCCCGTCTGGGCTACAACTCGACTCCAATTCTTGCTGATATCGTCCCAGCTCCAAATCTTACGGTCCGTTCTACCCCTGGGGACATATCGCTGTACCACCGGATGCAAAAATACTCTTTAGGCGGTAGGCCCCAGCCTTCTTTTGCCATTCCCAGGCCTCTTACTCCGAGCCCTTTGGTTGAAAGCGGTGTCTAATAGTCCGGCACGACAGGCCGTTCGACAACGATACCATCTCCATCGTAGTGTTTTTGAACACGGTAAACCAAGCTCCCTACTTCTTGATGAGAACCATGCAGGGGGACACGCCGTGGTTCTCCATGCTCGGCGCTCATGAGATTTGCATTGAGCGGGAGGGAAGTGCGCTACAACTGAAGCGCTGGAGCCGATCGGATCAGTGCAGTAAGCTCTGGGCGGCATTATACTTCCAAACGTGGGAAGGTATGTGGCATTCAAGACGAGACCACCAATGGTTTATGAAGCCGTCTGACCAAGTGCAGAAATGGTGCTGTTTTACTGCAGCTTTGTTGCGCTCAAGGCTCGGAACGTCCTGACGATTCAGATCCATCCGAATGAGTTCAAATTGCGGAGGGAAAGACGCTTGTTTCAGGCGTACGTCACTCGCTTTCTGCTCTATAGAGCCTGTTTTTACTGACTCGGGGGCTTCGGCAGTCAAATAATCGACGACGGTTTCAAGCATTCGCTCATTGTCTACGAAGACCAGCAGACTCGTGGCCTACGCCTCCATGCCGCAGTCTGGGAAGGTGAACTCAGGCAGTGCCCTGTCTGGACCGCCTTTGGTACGAGCGAGCCCCTGTTTAAAGCTTCCGCAATGCGTCTGCTCTGTGGCTAATGGAGACCGATTACCAGTTACACACCAGTCCCAGTCGCCCACATGGCTCAGTCGGCGCTCAAAGAACCGTGTCTGGCTCAAAGATGTACAACTCTACGTATTCTGCAACAACTATCGGCAAGAAAACATGCGCCAGAACAAGTCGGGCGCATTTGAAATCTACTTTGACCGGGAGGAAGGTATGTAGGCATGGCATCCTCCGTGCTCGGATCATGATCTGACCCAAGGTTATCTATGATACTGATCCTCTGGCGAACACAGGGGCCAGGAGATTTAAGGAGGTATTTGCACTCCGGTCTGCCTCGTCCGAGTCGTCGGAAAATGAGCCTATCGCCGGCACCTCGACATAGTCCTCCTTCCTGCTCCACCTCTTCTACAGTGCCCACTTTTTTTTCGGCTCTCTCGTCAACGGATGTGAATGTATACTATATGGCGCAGTGACAATATCGAGTGTGCTTGCTTCAGGGAGAAAGCCGCAAGGATCGCCACGGTCTTGTCAGGGGAATACGACGCGGTGAGATTGTAACTACAGCGTGAGCAGCATGGGAGCAAGGCGTTTCTGACTACACACCTTCCATAGTACTACAGTAATAACCGGTACAATGTTCCAAGTAATTAGGGTCTGTCACATTGTGTAGTTGATGACATCACGATTCGATCTCTGGGCACCGACAGTAGCCACACGTACAGGCAGTTGCTCGCACCAGCCCTTGTGCATGGCAAGTCCGACTGTCAAGATGCTTTTTACTGCGTAATGTAAAGGCCCCATACACATACATCAAGGTAAGAATCTAGAAGACGCTTGGGAACTTGGGTTGATCTCATCAATAGTGTAACTTGTGCGGGCTGAAGTTGTTGATAGCCTTGTGGAGACAAGTACCAATAAGAGCATTGAGATAACCCACGCTCCGCGAAGTGCAAACAGAGAAGCTGCCCAGCACATCGGGTGCGATCGGACACGCCACATCACACGCTGCAGCCGGGAAGTGTTGAGGCATGGCACCATCTCGGGCTAACGTTACTTTCTTTTTCCTTGGAACTATGTATAGTTAGGCTCCGTAACACTACGACTAACTACCCGGGTGTTTCTGCAATGCACCAGCGGTGGGCAACAGTGGGCCCGGGTCCTCCCGCTAGAACACTATTGCGGTGTGCGATCTTGTTGCCGCGGGGGGCTGCTTCTAGCTTCTTCCTCCACCACCTAAATCCAGCGGCCCCTTTTCCAAAGGGTCGATTTTCCTCTTTGCTGTTATCACCCCATTGAAGGATCAGTGCAATCCTACTCCATTGCATCCACAAGCCGTCGCAAAGATGGAGGTCAAGACCGTTGAGTTCAAGCCTTTCACGGACCAGAAGCCCGGCACGTACGTCATAGCCCACCCCGCCCCCGCAGGGCAGCACCCCGCCAGCAGAGCTTCGAGCTCCTCGCGGTGATGTTGCTATTGCTGTTGCCGCGAAGAAAAAGCGCGCAATGCTGATGAGGAACAACACATCACAGATCCGGTCTTCGCAAGAGGGTTACCGTCTTCCAGCAGCCGCATTACAGCGAGTCGTTTGTTGCCAGCATTCTTCTGTCGATCCCCGAAGGCGCCAAAGGTGAGCAGCAGCTCCTCCACACAACAAACCGGGATTGTTTGGTCATGAAGAGAGAGGGGCAAGACGAAGCTCACCAAATTTGTGCCAAAAAGGAGCCTTTCTCGTCATTGGTGGTGATGGCCGATTCTGGAACCCCGAGGTCATTCAGTTGATTGCCAAGATTGGCGCGGCCTACGGCGTCAAGAAGCTGTTGATCGGTCAGAATGGCATCCTTTCGACGCCCGCCGCCAGCCATGTCATCCGCAAACGCAAAGCCACCGGTGGCATCCTGCTGACTGCCAGCCACAACCCTGGCGGTAAGTTCTGCACATGTATCAGGCCCTTTTGGGTGATGAACCATGTTGCTGAACGCTGTATCCCCTGCAGGACCAAAGAACGACTTCGGCATCAAGTACAACCTGGCCAACGGCGGCCCTGCGCCCGAAGCCGTGACAAACAAGATCTTTGAAACGTCCAAGAATCTGACCTCGTACAAGATCGCCAACATCCCAGATATTGACATCTCGGCAATCGGCACCAAGACATATGGCGACCTCGAAGTGGAGGTTGTCGATAGCACGGCCGACTATATCGAGATGCTCAAGGACATCTTCGACTTTGACCTGATTAAGAAGTTCTTTGCCGCTCATCCCGACTTCAAGGTACTCTTTGACGCCCTCTCCGGCGTCACGGGCCCCTACGGCAAGGCCATCTTCGAGAAGGAGCTTGGCCTCGGCCCGGAGTCCACGCAGAACTGCACGCCATCGCCCGACTTTAACGGTGGTCACCCGGACCCTAACCTTACCTACGCGCACAGCCTGGTCGAGGTGGTTGAGAAAAAGAACATCCCCTTCGGGGCTGCCTCGGACGGTGATGGCGACCGTAACATGATTTACGGCGCCGGCGCCTTCGTGTCACCCGGTGACAGTCTGGCCATCATTGCGCACCACGCCCACTTGATACCCTACTTCAAGAAGAACGGAGTCTATGGGCTGGCCCGCAGCATGCCCACCTCGGGGGCCGTGGATTTGGTGGCCAAGAAGCAGGGTCTGAACTGCTATGAGGTGCCCACGGGGTGGAAGTTCTTCTGCGCCCTGTTTGACGCTGACAAGCTGTCCATCTGTGGTGAGGAGTCGTTTGGTACCGGCAGCAACCACATCAGGGAGAAGGATGGTCTCTGGGCCATTGTAGCCTGGCTGAACATCATCGCCGGGCTGGGCATGGCCAACCCCGGGGTTGCGCCGAGCATCAAGCAGATCCAGAAGGACTTCTGGAACGAGTATGGCCGCACCTTCTTCACCCGTTACGACTACGAGAATGTCGATTCTGAAGGCGCCAACAAGGTCGTTGGTGTGCTGAAAAACTTGGTGGCGGATCCAAACTTCGTCGGCAGCAAAGTTGGCGGTAGGTCCATGTCTCTGTTATGGTTTTAGTGAGAACTTCGCTGACTTGCCGTGCCTTTTGAAACAGACCGCACTGTGACCAAGGCTGGCAACTTCTCCTACACGGACCTTGATGGCTCCGTCTCGTCGAACCAGGGTCTGTATGCCTGCTTCTCTTCCGGCAGCCGGATCGTCGTCCGGCTGTCGGGCACCGGCTCCTCAGGCGCCACCATTCGGCTGTACATTGAGCAACACAGCAGCGACCCAACCACGTATGACATGGATGCTCAGGACTTCCTCAAGCCCGAGATCAAGATGGCGACGGACCTGCTGAAGTTCAAGGAATTTGTCGGCCGGGACGAGCCGGATGTCAAGACATAGGAGGAGGCTAGAGTCGCCAGGGAGAGGAGACATCCCGCCAAGGGAATAAAAGGAGATTCAAGTGTGAATCAGAATGCAGATTTGACAACTTATAGACCCAAATTCCAATCCATTACCCGGTAAACTGGCCATGTGCGCAGACCGGCACTGTCGAGACGGCGTAAGGGCTAAGGTTCAACTCCTGGCAGGCAGGAAAATGGCCGCCCTGTAGTATCTTGCCTCGTCAATGCTCTCGAGTATATCATCCTTGGCTTTGTGTAGGCATTTCTTGCGAGGCGCGGCGGAGGCAACCTCAGGGCTGGTTTGGCCTTGGTAAGCCCTTCTTCATGACAAGTGCGGCTACTCGTAAAGTTGCTTGCTCGGTGCTAAAGCTTGCAAACGCTAGGGTACAATACATACCACCACCGACGTGCGGCCTCCTTCAGGCTACTGATATCTAGAATACGGTAGTGCAGGTGATCAAGAACCTTCTTGTAGGGCTCTTTCCGGAGAAAGGCTCGGTCCGCGTGCACACTGTTTCCGGCCAAAAGAGCGGTGCCCTTGACGGGGACGTGTTTTTGTATGTAGGCTAGCAGGCCTGAGGCTGCTTCCTCTGCGGTCACGGTCGAAGCGATGACGGCGGCGGTCAATCCACTTTCTCCGTCTGCTCAGGTCCGGCAAACGAAAGGCAGGAAAAGAATGTCAGTTTGTCTCCTGTGACTCTTTCTCAAGCTCTTTTGCAACTTGAGCACCGGTTTGGGGCGATGCTTAGGGGCTTCCTTAAAAAGGGGGATCACTGTATCTGTAACATACGAGTTCGAGTGCACCACTCATCCATCTGGTCCATACGCTCCTTGGTCTGGTGCACGACGGTGCCCCAGCCGGAGGAGTCGATGAGATTGAGTTGGCCGTCAGTGATGAGGCAGTATATCTCGATGATCTCTTCCTTGTCCGGATCGAGGCCGGTCATCTGAATACAAGAGGAGAACGTCAGACTAGTTGCACCGAGCCAAAGAGATTCCACGAATAGTCACCTCGCAGTCGATCCAGACGAGGGCATCTTGTCCCTTGGCCGAGGCGGAAGCCGAGTCGGTGACGGGCATATGGTATGTGAGGAATATGGAAGACGTTTGGTCAATCAAAAGGGATTGAGGTTAATGACTAGTCCCTGTATGCTATCCAGAGTGATATAGCTTCTTGCGGTCCCAATAGTAGATGATAGAGGTAAGTGAATGGTGAGGGTGGAAAGTATGCATCAACAGTCATGAGTAGTGGTTGGTTGACCAGAGGGTGGACCCTGCACAGCACAGACAATATCTGATATCAACTTGGGAGTTCGTTAAGGTATCTTACAAATGGGATCGAGAATGGGTCAGGTCGGATTGGAAGTTTGCAGCAGTCGTTGTTGTCGCTTGTAAGAACCCTGGAATGTCAAGCTGCTTCAGTTATCCTCCAATCAGGGCTTTGGTATTACATAGAGAAGACCGTAAATACACAAGTGTGCCTGCCGCAAGTAAGCTAGATCCCTCCGGCCGGCTTATACCCCTCGCAAGCATCATCCGGGCGTCGATGAGTGTTAAGAGACACTCACGCCTCGCTCCGCTCTCGCTGTCTCACACCGAGCATACGTTTCCTCCGCTTAGGCCGGGGAATCAGATCGTCATTCTACTCATTCACAATCCGCCATGTCAATAGCCGAGAACACGGCATCGCCAGTCGCCAATGGGGTGCATCTAGTCTCCCGGCCGCGGCCGGCCTCCTCAGCGGGTCCACCCCGCTTCCTGATCATCGGCGCTGGTTCCCGAGGCACGGCATACGCGGAGGCCCTGAAATCATTGAGCATCGGCGTGGTCGCCGCGGTTGCTGAGCCAGACGATTACAAGAGAAAGCGCTTTGGTCAAACCATGATATGGGGTTCCCGAGAGCCACCAGCGGAGGGCGCCGTCTTCGCCGACTGGCGCGAATTTATCACGTACGAAAAGCGGCGACGGGATCGTGTAAGGGCGGGCGAACAAGATGTGCCCCTGGGTGTGGATGCCGCCTTTGTTTGCGTCCTGGACGAGATGCATCGCGAAGTGGTTGTTGCCCTTGCCAAGCTGGGCGGATTGCACGTCATGTGTGAGAAGCCGTTGGCGACAACCCTCAAGGACTGCATCGAAATGTACCAAGCGCTGCGGGTCAACAAGCTTGATGACGGCCAGCAGGCTCTCTTCTCCATTGGCCACGTCCTTCGCTACAGCCCGCACAACATTCTGCTTCGTAAGCTAGTCCTCGAGGACCGCGTCATTGGCGATGTTCTTTCCGTCGTGCACACCGAACCGGTGGGCTGGTGGCATTTCGCCCATAGCTATGTCCGGGGAAACTGGTATGTACTGTACTGTAAATGGCGAGAGGCATTTGATGGGAGATAAGAGGAGCTGACAAAAGTGATCAGGCGCCGGGAAAGCACGTCAGCCCCAAGCCTGCTGACCAAAAGCTGCCACGACATCGACGTTCTGTTGTGGTTACTGTGCTCGCCCGTCAACTGCGCGGCCCAGGATTGCCCGCCACCTCACCTGCCATCTACCGTCAGTAGCAGTGGTTCGCTGCAGTACTTCAAGCGAGCTCGCAAGCCTGCCGCAGCCGGCACGGTCACAAACTGCCTGTCATGTCCGGCCGAGGAAACATGCAAGTACTCGGCGAAACGCATCTACGTCGGCAAAGAGCTGGCCGGTCTTGAGTCTGGCAACAAGGGTTGGCCCGTGAAGATCGTTGTCCCCGACATCGAGTCTTACGGGAGCGACACAGAGGCAAAACGGGCGCTGCTCACCGAGCTGGCTCGCGACTATGACTCGAGCACGCCGGAGCCGCTGATTGCACGGCGAAACTGGTTCGGCAGGTGTGTCTACGAGTGTGACAACGACGTTTGCGACGAGCAGGTAGTGACTATCAGCTGGGATGATGTCAACGTGCCATCGCACCCATCGGATGCAATCAACGGATCAGGAGGCATGGAACAGCGAGCTGTCCCCCCGCCGGGGCGCGGCTCCAAAACGGCGACCTTCCACATGGTAGCTCAGACCAAAAAGATTTGCGAGCGATACACCCACCTGTACGGTGTGGATGGCGAGATATTTGCTGACTCGAAGGCCATCACGGTGGAGGACTTTCGCACTGGGGAGACCACGGTGCATCACCCCGGCATCGAGAGCCTGGGCCACGGCGGCGGAGACCTGGGCCTGACCCGTCAGTTCGTTCTCGCAGTGGACAAGGTCAAAAACCAGGGCTGGTCGACCGAGAGAGCGCAGAGGGAACTGATCGGCTGCACCCTGGACGAGGTCATTCGTAGCCACGCCATGGTATTCTGCGCGGAGACGGCAAGGCGGGAGAAAAGGGTCGTGGATTGGTATGTATACGCACGCTGAGCCCTCCAAACAATGAATGAAAGCATGGCTAATGTCGCTCGTTAGGTCCGAATGGTGGGAGACAGAAGTCGAGGCCAAGATGCTCAAGCTCCCAGCGTAGTAGATAGGAAATACCCGTCGAATGATATGGCTAGGGGAGGTAGAATCTGTAGGCGAGGTGATTGATGCTGAGATGCTAATACATACAAAACAACTGAAGGCTCAATGCCGAGTTTACTGATAAGAAGCGGAAGGGGTTCACGTGCTTTGTCCGCCCGGTTTCGGCCAGGCACAAAAGCACTTCACTTCAGCGCACATTGGTGGCTACGTCAGAGTGGGGCGCAAGTGAGATGAGCCTGAATTTATCGTTTTGGGCGGGAACCTGCATTTCATCCAAAACCCCGCCAGCACCAACACCATATGTACAATACCTTACCTACCTTACAACTTCATCCTCCCACATCTTGCACCTCACATCATCCCACAAACCCCACCTGCCCCTTTTCCTCTAAACGTCAACTCAGGGTAGCAACTCGACTCCACTGCTGTCGGCATTGCTACAACGACTTACAGTGCCGTTTACCTCTGCAATCACTTTCGAGAATCTTTAGAGGCCGTCAGTAACCACTTGTGCAACGCCCTGGTCGCCGACTCTCCTCTCTGTGTCACGTTTTGAGAAACGCAAGGCACAAGGGAAAGAAGTGTCAGGGAGAGAGCGAGATCTTGTCCCTTGACTGGAACATCCATCACTTGGGGGCAGCCATGGACTCAGAGATGGCACCGCAACAGGCATCGATGGGGAGTAGCTGGGCTGCCTTCCTCAAGTCTATCGCCTCTTTCAACGGTGACCTTTCCAGCCTCACCGCGCCGCCCTTCATCCTCTCCTCCACCAGCCTGACCGAGTTCAGCTCGTACTGGTGCGAGCATCCCTCCATCTTCGCTGCCCCCGCCAAAGAGCCTGATGCCGCCAAGCGGGCCCTCCTCGTGCTGAAGTGGTTCTTGACCACGTTGAAGCAGCAGTACGCCAGTCGAAGCGAGCAGTATGGCAACGAGAAGAAGCCGCTCAACCCTTTTCTAGGCGAACTCTTCCTGGGAAAGTGGGAGGATGACGCTGGGACAACAGAGTTGATCAGCGAGCAAGTCAGGTTAGCACTCACTCACCCCTCCGATCCTAATCTCAGCGTGTGGGCGCCCTTGTTGACCGAGAACTTCTTTCCAAAACAGCCATCATCCGCCGGCGACTGCTTATAACATCACCAACGTGCCAACCGGCGTCCGTCTTGAGGGATACAACGCCCAAAAGGCATCCTTCTCCAAGACGATCAATATCAAGCAGATAGGGCACGCTGTCCTCACTGTTCCGGTCTTATCCTCTCCCGGAAATTCCGATACCTATCTCATTACTCTCCCATCCCTTCACATCGAAGGGCTCATATTCGGCTCGCCCTTCATCGAGCTGGAGGGCAGCTCGTACATTGCCTCCTCGACCGGCTTCACTGCCAAGATTGATTACAGCGGGAAAGGCTGGTTGTCGGGTAAGAAGAACTCCTTTACCGCGACACTCTATCCCACAGGCAAGGAGAAAGACGTGCTCTTCAACGTCACGGGCCAGTGGACCAAAAAGTTCGACATACATTCCGGGCCTGCCAAGTACAGCAGCAAAGACAACCTCGTCGAGACGTGGGATCCAGACGCCATCCCCCTGAGCGAGCTCAAGGTTGCGCCCATTGAGAGGCAGCACCCGCTCGAGTCGAGGCGGGCCTGGGCCAAAGTGGCCGCTGCCATCGCCAAGGGCGACTTGGATACGGTCAGCCAGGAAAAGGGCAAGATTGAGAATGCGCAACGGGAGATGCGCGCCAAGGAAAAGGCCGAGGGGCGAACATGGCAGCGGCGCTACTTCACCGCGCGGGAGGCGACGGACAGGCCCGACCAGGTCCTGGCTAGCCTCGGGCCGGCAGTAAGCCTGGCCGAGCACGGCGACGCCGATAAGACGGGCGGCCTGTGGCGATTCGACGCGGCGAAAGCCGAGGCAGCGCGCAACGAGCCTGCGCTGAGCGAGGAGGATGCTAACAAGCTTGCGAGGGAGTTGCTGGGGCAATGAACCATTCAACGCCCTGAGGAGTTGGGTGGTGCAGTTAGTCCGGATGGCACCGTAGCTTGGATGTAAAATTCCTTATCACAAAGGGTGCTACCGCTTGCATCAGGCTGCGCAGGAACCGTGCTCGGGTGGTTTGGAAAGCTTTCCTCGCTCGTTGGACGAACATTTATTTAGAGCACACCGTTTATGTTGGTATCTTTTTCATGCCCGCTCTCCTCGGAGCACCATAGAGCTGTTGTAATCATTTTGTGACGCTGGAATATGGGCTTTCCTTCATGTCTTGCAAGCACAGTGAAGCGGTTGTGACCAATCTCCCCGCGAAGGGGCTCCATCTCTCTGGATGATGATTTTGGCTCATGATTGGATACGGTTAGCGTTAAGATTTACAATGTCTATAGATGAATGATATGGCAACTACCTCTATCTAGCGTTTTATTACTTGATTAGCTTGCTCCAGGGATCTACTCAGAAACTCGAGCCCCGTGGCTTGCTGATGACGGTATACCTGGCCGCTTCCCGGAACCGTACAAATAGGCTGCTGTACGCGAACGCAAACACTACGCGCTCGCCTTTTCGAGCTCATAAAAGAGCAGGTATACTTCCCGTTGCATGCTCAAAACATCGCGGGTCGTCGCTTCTTTCACCTTGTCGTCGCTAATCCGCCACCAGCGAGCCTGCGGTTTGCGCTGCTTGTGTTTCGAAGGCGCAACAGCTTTCCCGGTTATGTCATCGCCTGTCTTACTGGTTCCGACTGGGGGCAAAGATCCGGAGGGAATTCTAGATGAGTTCGGTCGAGGGCTTGCCGTGGCCGGTGCAACGCCGGTTCTATCCACGCCAGAACCAGCCACGGGAGTCACGGCCGAATCGAGAGAAGGTCTGGAGGAATTTGGGCCAGATTCAGACGCCAACGAATACCGCGGCGGAGTCAAGGCATCCCCATCCACTTCCCCACGGAGGGAATGGCTTCGCGGCGTCGACGCAGGGCTTGCCGCTTTGCTGTACGCCCCAGAGGGTTGAAATGTGCCCGGATTTGAGAAGGGCGGGTACATGTTCTGGCGCCGAAAGGACTCGTAGTGCCCGCTGTGGTGGCTGCCCTTATGCGTCACGACACCGATCAGTACGTACTTTCGTTGCTGGAGCAGGCCGCCTAGCGGCAAGCGCTCGGGAAATGCCACTTTCGCCGAATTTTTTAGTGAGTGACGGCTCGCGTCGAATATTGACCTGGACAGGTGGACAGCTAGGATTTTGGGGAAAGCAGTGAGGCGAATGTGCCTCGCAATCCGGCGCCTCGGCGCATAGCGCATGTCTGGGAGCGTGATGTCCACGGGTGGCTTCTCGGGGTCGGTTTCGATAGCATCCCTCAGCGCCTTCACTGCTGCCTCGGCTTTGGCCTTTGCGACCTCGGACGTGCTCCTCCGGGCTTCTGACTCGAACAGAGTCACGGCATGCAGAAGACGACACTTTTCGCATTTGAAATCATCGATATACTCCGTCTTGAACATGCCGTCGAAACACGCGCTCAGGGTTGTGGTCTGGGTCTGAGGCACATTGAGTGTCAGGGTACAAAATGTTGACTCGGTTGGTCGGGGTTTGAACCCGCAAGTCAGGCACTCGATCTGGGACTCAAACCTGCCCTCGAGAGGAAATCCTTCCTCCTCCTCCTCGCCCTTATGTAACACAACCTGCGCACTGCCTGCCCCTGGTCCGGTCGCAGCATCTGGGGTCGTGGCAGCTGCCGGACTCCCCATGCCTTGCAACGGTACGCTCGACACGTCACCCGCGTCGTCTACAGCTGGCTGTGTGGAGGGTAAACCGGTTCCAGGATATGCGGCTTGTATTGCAAACAACCGAGCTCTGCGCCCCGCGTGGTATTCATCACGCAGCCTCTCAGCCACGATCTGCAAGAACTCCTGGGCATCTTGCTGCTGCCGGCTGACGCGCTGCCGGAAAGCCTCCTCTAGCGCCCTAACGAAGGGCGCAGCGGATATGGTCTTTTTGTAAAGTGGACGCTCATTCAGGGCGTCCAGGATATCTTTTAGGCTCTTCGTCACGGTTCCGGTTTGCAACCCTTCAAGCTTCCACTCTGGCATATCCTTGCTGAAGCGCGGCGGAAGTCCATCGGCTTCCTTTCCGGCCAATGCGCCGGGTGGCACTGATTGCGTGTAGATCGAGTCATCGTCAAGGGTGCGGCGATGGATTTCTCGAATAAGATAGACACGAAGGTCGCCGAGGCCAGCGAGGGCCTGGAGCACCGAATTGATGAAACAGTCGTTGGCAGGATTGGAGAGCCCCACGACACCGCCGCTCTTTCGACTCGAGAAGGCGCCGTTGGACGATCGAGACGGGTCGCTGTCGAGAAAATACGTCGGCCCAAACACGTAGATCAGGGTGATTGCGGCGAGAGAGGCCCCGGCAGCGTACGTGACTACTTTGAGCGTTTTATCGGGCATGCTTGGATGGAAACTCGGCAGGTCGGCTGGCCGGCTGGCAATCCACGCGCTTGTGACTCTTGCAATTGCGTTGCGTAACTCGACTTGCACCGTCGTTCAGCCCGCAGAGACTGTGTTGCTGTTCCGGACGCTGCCTGCGAGCATGCCGGTTGTCATTTGATACTGTATTGCACTCAGTATACAAGTGGAATAGTGGATGCCGATGGTTGAGGGTCCGCGATAGCTAAATTCTGAGGCTAATGTTTGATTGCTGCTGCGGTCCGTGCCCTTTTCGCCACTGGCCCTCAACTTCTCTTCCCTTCCCACGTGCATGGCAGCCCAGGAACTCCATGACTAGCGCCTGCTATCTTCATGTTACATTAGGTAAGGTACTCTTTCGCACCTGCCGGAGAACGTAAAATGTAGGTACCTGTAGCAAAGGTATCTGTTTCTCCAGTCTGTTAGTGCAAACCAAAGTTCCAACGGTAAAATAGGTCCCTCTACTACCCTCAATAACAGACTCCAGGCCCATGGCTCTTGAATTGACAGCAGCAAGCGGTCACTACCAGTACATCTTCTTCCCCATGAAGCAAAGCCAGGAGTTGCGAACATCAAGACTCCATTCGAACGGGTGCCATCTGTATATCGACTACTGGTTCTTATGACACAATATCAGCCTGCCGGTGGCCTCATACCTATCTTGATCATTCAGACCCTCGAGCCAGTTCGCGGCGGTCCAAAACTCCTCCCTCAGCACCACCCATACCATGACTCTCGCCTTCTTCTCTGGGTCATCACCATCCATCACCAAGTCAAACAGCGCATTCAAGAGCAGGTTGATGCAATCCCCTTCGCACGATTCGGGCCGGTCCACAACGATATAAATGGTCCTGCCGCTGCTGCCCGCGCTAAGCCGCCTGACAATGCGGAGGAGGGCATCTCTACCAGCCTTGAACTCCTGCCGAGCCTGTGCTCTGGTCTTTGCGCCCGGTGACATGGATTCCACGGGCTTCACCGGCGGCGGGGTCGTGGCTGGACTCGGACTTGGGTGCCTCCAGTAACTGTAGCTCCTACATCCCTCGATGTTGGACTCGATGGCGCGGAGGTCATCGGCGTTGCGAAGGACTGTCGGATTGCTTTCCAAAAGACGGAAAATGATGTGTGACAGGACGTCCTTGTGCTGGTTTCGGTTGCCACGGAGGTGATTATGCCACTTGCCGTAGGGCAGCTTCCGACTTGCTACCGCTAAGGTCGGTGCTTATAACTCGATCGCGGGTTCAAAAAGCCGGGATTCCATGTTGGTCTAGTCAATGGGAAGTATGTTGCCGCCGCATAGGACGAGCAAAGACGCCTTGGCTTCTGTCCATCTTGTGTATTCTGGAACATGAAAGTACTGAAGTCCCGAGACTGTCAATCTGGGCACATTGTAATAATCTTCACCTTGGGGGAATTCGCGCGTGAGCGGGTCCTCGTATCCCAGCAGTTTATGGTCCTGGGACTCTCTGTTGCAATGTTTTCCAGGCCAGGACTGCGTTGGATACTTAGTAGGTATTGACAGTGAGGACGCATTCTTGGTCGTGTCGTCGATCCGAGCCTGCAAAGCAGTGAGCACTGGTACAGGTATTACACAATGTCTTCGACTTACAAATGCCTGGGGCCGGAGTCTGCTTCGGAAGCGCTAGAGATTGTAAGGGATAAGTATCGACAATACCCTCGAGTTTCTGGAGAAGGCCTAGTAGTGAGTACCATCAACGAGGAGTTTCTTGTCAGCTTATTCGCTTCTTTGGCATGGTTTCGACAGCACCCTGTGGGTAGATGGAGGGTACACTCAGTCGCATTCTCCTTCTTTAGGTCGTCCACCTGTGGGCCAGCAAGGCCTCAGTTCTAGTGTGGGCACTCGTAACGCACTGGGCGCATTTCCTCTGCCATTGTTTCGAATGTGCCAGGCTTCGCGATGCTCCGCAATACTCTCACTCACTACTCGCTGATGAGCAAGAGAGTCTCTGCTTGACCGGGTATGGTGCACAGCAAATAATGACCCCAGACTCACCGTAACGGTGACAAGTATTCAAGGGATAGAGAAACAAATGACATTGACATACACATCTGCCAGGAGTCTTTCAAAGGCCCCGTTAGCATAGGCTCTTTGATAGATTTCGAGGTCTGGAAGCTGGTCTGTGATCTGCTGCATAACCGACTTGATGGCCAGTTCACCAGCTGCCTTGTTCTTGACAGTCTGCCAGGAGGGTTGGGGCTGTGAGCAAGCATTGGTAGAATGGAAGCATCAACAGGAATTGGGAGGTAGTTACTGACAACAAACAGAGGGAGAGCGTGGCACTTGCGGCATTTCCATACTGAGAATCCGCATAGGCCACAACCTCAGACAACTGCCGAGTAGGCGCTGAGG